CCGTCGATAGTTTAAAAACATTTATCAGAAGGAAATAAGTGATGGTGAGACAGATGTGGTGGCATCAAAGACTCATTGAACTTGAGCTCAGTTTTGGGAAATGTATTTTAGATCATTTAAATTCCTCGTGTGTCATGTGGACAAACAGAACTGTACCAGCGAGATGACTGCATGAAGATTCCAAGTGGAAACCACGGTCAGTTGTAATCACGAGCAGCGTGACATGGAAAAGAGTAAGCCACGTGGCGCCTGTATCACGGACCCAGATTATAAAAATCACCCGCAAATTGGGAAATCACATCGGAACAATGTCCCCTAGTGACAGAAAATAACCATTTGTGAAACATAGTTCCTTTGTGAAAGCCTCGTACGATAAGAATGGTACGAATACCAAATGCACGAAGCTATGACTAATAGCTATCACTTGGATGACTCAAATGAAAGTGGCAGGAGTGGATGGAGGCTGCTGCTGCACACATCACCGCGACGCTCATCCATCCAGAAGTACCCCAAAGATCACCAACCTCAGTCATCCCTTAACTGAGTCACCCTGGCAAAAGCCAAAGCAGCAGCAAAATAGTTTTAATTTAAGTACTTTACGCTCACAATGAGACACTTTATTTATTTTTCCATTAAATAATTGACGAGTTTAAAATAATGTTTTTTTTTTACCTAAGCCGCAAATACATTTTAAGATACTGCGGTTGGCGGGCTTGGGTAGCCATCTGGAACATTTTAAACGACACATTTTTAAATTGACACAGTCAATCTATTAACCCCCAAAACACAGCTCATACTTTGGTTGCAATAGTGTATTCAACTCGGCACACCGCTTTGAAAAAAAGATCGAATGCAAAGCAATTCATAAAAGCAAAGGCCGTGTAATGATGGAATGTCATTGTGGATCTCTTAAAAGAGCACAACAATAGCCGCCATTCGCCACGAAGTGGCGGTGATGTCACCGCGGCGCTCGTACCAGGCTAGGTGCACTTTGAGGCCACGCCAAGTGTCGAAGGCTCGCTGGCCGGAGGTCACGGGACAGACCCAGGTGCCGTGGGTTGACTGACGGATATGACTGGCAGATGCACCACTACATGTATATACACACGCACATGAACGCATATCCACCGCATATTGCGACGTCACTATACAGAGAGAGTATAATTGCGGCCAGTGGTGACTGTGTAAACTATCTTTAAACAGTACGCAGCTCAAATACAAAACAAATCCCAGTATTAACGGCAGTGATGAGATCAACGATTCTTGCAGAATGCCAACACGGAGAGAATGAATCGAACGACAGCGATTGGGCGGTTAACAGCAAATAGAGCCCTGTAAACAATGTGGGAACAATGTTCAATACTCTGTGGTCAGCAAATGTTGTCCAAAATCACATGCATTGACCTTTTCAGCGAGTGTAGACATGACATCTTATTAGGCACCACAATCATCATCAGTGATGAGTGAGAGTTATTTACAGTGTGTCTGAGATGATTCGGTGCAATCACTCACCACGCATGCCTCCCAGGCCAAGACCCCCGTGTGGTTTTTGCTTTGGTCGCGTTCATATTTGATGGTGATGCAGTACCCGCATTTACTGTGCGATTGGCACCACGGTGCAGGAATGTAAATAGGAATTTTCCATCGATGCAAGAGAGGCCCTGTTCAGACAGGACGATGCAAATGGTGACTTTAATATTCAATGGAGCCTAATGGGTTCATGTACATTTTATGGAAAATTGTGAACTTGTCACCGATATCGGCTGTGCTGATGAGGAACTGGCCCATTCTACGAATTTCTGAGGAATTTAAGTTTTGATTATTTGATGTCAGAAATTCTACCGAGTAATACTGCTCTAACTAATGGGTCCCTTTTTGAAGAGGGACATACTCAAGTGTATTTGACTATGGTTATGTCGCTTTTGTTTTTTTTATATATACAGTAATTCGAAACTGCTGCAATGATAAGTGCAGTTGATATTCTTCCTTCAGATAATTGGTGGACAATCCACCAAGCATCTCAATTGACTCCGTCATCCACCACAAATCCCGACAATTACCTGGATTTAACCCTCTAATAATATACCATAAACATAAGGAACTAGCGCCGCCTACTCATAGTTTTTTTTACGTGTGAAGTCGCATTGGGGGATTTTTATTTATCAGCTACAATTTGTGTTATTCGTTATACCCACCTCCGATTACCACGGTTGGCTACGTACGGTGCGAAAGAAGTTCAACATACATACATACTGAGCATTGTTGTTATATCAGTGTTCTGATTTGTCCCCGAGATCCACAAAGGATATGTTGCTATCCACTAGTGGACTGCGATCACGTATTGGCCACTGCTGCGTTAGAGCAGCATGGTTATGAAATGCACGGCTTTCAGAATTGTATGCACGTTTGGCTGATCGTACAACCCCTGAGTTGCACAATAATTATATTGTGAATATTCTTGCATTGTGGATACAGAAGCTTCGGGCCCCTCTGTCCCTAGAATAGCGTTTTAATGATTGCCGTCATATAATGTTAATGCTTGGTATACAGTGAGGGAAAAAAGTATTTGATTGCCTGCTGATTTTGTACGTTTGCCCACTGACATAGAAATGATCAGTCTATAATTTTAATGGTAGGTTTATTTGAACAGTGAGAGACAGAAAAACAACAAAATCCAGAAAAACGCATGTCAATAATGTTATAAATTGATTTGAATTTTAATGAGGGCAATAAGTATTTGACCCCCTCCCAATCAGAAAGATTTCTGGCTTCCAGGTGTCTTTTATACAGGTAACGAGCTGAGATTAGGAGCATACTCTTAAAGGGAGTGCTCCTAATCTCAGCTTGTTACCTGTATAAAAGACACCTGTCCACAGAAGCAATCAATCAATCAGATTCCAAACTCTCCACCATTGCCAAGACCAAAGAGCTCTCCAAGAATGTCAGGGACAAGATTGTAAACCTACACAAGGCTGGAATGGGCTACAAGACCATAGCAGCTTGGTGAGAAGGTGACAACAGTTGGTGCGATTATTCGCAAATGGAAGAAACACAAAAGAACTGTCAATCTCCCTCGGCCTGGGGCTCCATGCAAGATCTCACCTCGTGGAGTTGCAATGATCATGAGAACGGTGAGGAATCAGCCTAGAACTACACGGGAGGATCTTGTCAATGATCTCAAGGCAGCTGGGACCATAGTCACCAAGAAAACAATTGGTAACACACTACGCCGTGAAGGACTGAAATCCTGCAGCGCCCGCAAGGTCTTCCTGCTCAAGAAAGCACATATACATGCCCGTCTGAAGTTTGCCAATGAACATCTGAATGATTCAGAGGACAACTGGGTGAGTGTTGTGGTCAAATGAGAACAAAATGGAGGTCTTTGGCATCAACTCAACTCGCCGTGTTTGGAGGAGGAGGAATGCTGCGTATGATCCCAAGAACACCATTCCCACTGTCAAACATGGAGGTGGAAACATTATGCTTTGGGGGTGTTTTTCTGCTAAGGGGACAGGACAACTTCACCGCATCAAAGGGACGATTGACGGGGCCATGTACCGTCAAATCTTGGGTGAGAACCTCCTTCCCTCAGCCAGGGCATTGAAAATGGGTCGTGGATGGGTATTCCAGCATGACAATGACCCAAAACACACGGCCAAGGCAACAAAGGAATGGCTCAAGAAGAATCACATAAAGGTCCTGGAGTGGCCTAGCCAGTCTCCAGACCTTAATCCCATAGAAAATCTGTGGAGGGAGCTGAAGGTTCGAGTTGCCAAACGTCAGCCTCGAAACCTTAATGACTTGGAGAAGATCTGCAAAGAGGAGTGGGACAAAATCCCTCCTGAGATGTGTGCAAACCTGGTGGCCAACTACAAGAAACGTCTGACCTCTGTGATTGCCAACAAGGGTTTTGGCACCAAGTACTAAGTCATGTTTTGCAGAGGGGTGAAATACTTATTTCCCTCATTAAAATGCAAATCAATTTATAACATTTTTGACATGCGTTTTTCTGGATTTTTTTGTTGTTATTCTGTCTCTCACTGTTCAAATGAACCTACCATTAAAATTATAGACTGATCATTTCTTTGTCAGTGAGCAAACGTACAAAATCAGCAGGGGATCAAATACTTTTTTCCCTCACTGTAAGCAGAGTTCTCATACAAGCAATGAATGGTTATATTACACTGGTGGTGGAGGGGATGCAGGGGAATGCAAAGATTAACTTCTGATACAAGCACACTTTGGATATAAGCACACTTGGCCTTCCAAGGAATGTGCAAATATCCAGTCTACTGCGTCGTATTGCTTTAACGCAACCACTCCTTAGCTTAATACCTAACCTAAACTTGAGCTCGATTTTTGTTAGCATGTCAGTTGTGAAACACCTACCAATAATTTTAGGGCAAATGTGGTCAATTTAAGAGCTGTTAATTATTGTCTTACGAATGCATGCAGCTGGCGATGGCTACTGTGAAAGTCTCATAGTGGAATGGCCCAGTTGCCATCCAGGTAGGGTTGCCACCTCTCTGGATTTTACCTGGATAGTTGGCAGTCCAAAAATTGACAGTCCAGGAATTGGCATCTTTGTTCTGGTGGCAGGAATTGATTTGTACCGAGTTTGGTACCGATATTGTGCACCATAGGCTGACTGAGAAATAAGTCCAGGGTTAGGTGGAAAAGGTGGCAATCATACATACAGGCGAGTATTGTTAAAATCATCAGTGACTCGAAAATATAAGCGACTGTAGTTGGAGTGGTACTGCAAAGGAAGGAGGTTTTACACCAGCAACGTAACTGTGATTATTTAAGACAAGCGTGCTTACTCCAGGAGTGTGAGCACCATCAGTGGTTCTGTAGAAAGTGATATCAAAACCAGTATTTCATATGCATATATTGCAGTGTAAAGAATCCCACAGAATGTGCCAGAGCTTGAATAGCTTGGCACATTATATATAAAAAAGGACTTCGGCAAACGGCTCCTGATAATTTTCGATTGTAGGTCATGAAGTAGGTCACGAAGTCCAACAGACAAGTTTAAAAAGTAAATAAGTGTTTCAAACATACTGAACTGTAACATCGCCGATGAAGAGTGCTACATCTCATTAGAAAAGGCCAAGGCCTCACAGATGATGTACTACTATGGTATGTTCAGCCAAGCTCTTAGAAAACCAGTAAACTGTGCAAGTGTGCTAATCACTGGTTACAATTACACATTGTAATGAATTATACGTGCATATTTATATAAACCTTTAATGTGTACTAAAAGGGCCAAAAGTAGATATGCAATACCATAAATATTATAACTGTAAATGGTCCACTTTAAAATATACATCCCAGGCTAGCTCCCGACAAGTTTGCTGCGAGGTGAGCCAGTGGAGAGCATAATGTACACAATATAACATGGTTTATGAAAGTATTTACTGTTTCCATCCCAATAACAAAAAGTACACATTACCATGTAATGTGCTTGTCAACCAAATGGAGCGAGATCTGTTAGTCTCCTATTTCACAGACACGTTAAACAAGAATACGAACATCGCAGAGAATGGTATCCAGAAATATGGCTGCAGTAAGTGTACCCAAGAGATCCCCCTTGTAAGGAGCCGATCTCCATTGGTGATGGTGGGTTGAGGAGCACGTGGCTGGACTGACGCAATAAATCAACCTGTGCCCTTCATTGTGTTAGTCAGCCACGTGCTCAGCGAGCACGTGTCCCAAGAACACAATTTACATTTAAGTAATTTAAAATCATGATATGTATTAAATTACACATTTTTACCCACCACCTTTGGCAATTGCCCTCCTCATCGCACGTCAAGAGCAGCTGTTCCATGAGCTACCAAACGTTCTGCCTGAGGTCGTTTGGTTGTAGGGATGGCTATCACGTGATACCAGCATGCGATGCTCAGAGATGTTACAAGTAGAGGTTGTATGCCACTGGAGTTGCTTCATCCAGCAAATCATATCACGAGATATGCCTCAACACAGTAATGCATTGACTTGCTATGCTGTGCAAATGTATATCTGAACTGGACATTGTAAGACAGAAGTAGACATTACAGTCTCACAACATCGCGATTGGCGTTATAGTTAAGAGAGCTTGACTCACAATGAGAATGTTGCAAGTTGGAATCCTACTTCGTGATGAACTCAGACCATCATCCCTTCAGGGTCAACAAAAAAGTACGTCGTACAGCTTTGAGAGAAGTCAACAGTGGGAATCAAATGTAGAAAAAAAAATTGTCCCAAACTATGACAATGTTGAATTTATACCAAAGGCTCGGAGCCACCAGTGATGAATGCCATCGCACTGTTCATTAAAGCAGGGCGGCACTTTGGCCCCAAATCATACAAATGTTTAGACTCTTGTCATTCCACCTCATTGTGATGGTACAGTCAGCCCGATTGGTCAGCTTGGCCCGTCAGCAGGCCAGCCCTGTTACGCGACACTCCCACAACAGGCGGCCGGATCCGGTACGAACGGCGCGTGACGCCCCTACCACCCTGCGGATTGTGGCCAAAAACTCGACGCGCATTGTTTGAGGAATCGCTCTTCTAGCATATTCCATCATTTAGCTCCATTTCAGAAGTAGTGCGAAACCAATCTATACATGAATGGGGGGGGGGGGGGGAGCTTTTTTTATTAACTGAACGCCGTAGAAAAGTTGAGTGAATTTCATACCGTGTCAAACCATACGGTTTACCCGTATTCTTGTCCAGGGAAATTACATTTTCAGGTCCATACGGTGTACAGCCAATTTAAATACGGCCAACAACAAAAATCGATGTTTGTGTTTCTTCCTTGTGATGGGACTTTGCAGGATTAAAGTTGACACATAAGATCTGAATTGGTGTGTAATAAGGTAGGCACTGATAAGGGGGGTTGGCAGGTATGGAATTGTGACACTTGGCAAACAATAAAAAGAGGAACCAGTAGCTGTGTAGAAAATCACAGGGACAGCATGAATGAACGAAGAGCAATACAGTGTGGGATAATGTACCCAGTGTGATTATATTTCTATTGATTAGGCACTGGATATCAGGAAGACTGCCGTGATACGAAGTAATCGTCCCGTGCCACATTGCATCGCGCGTGGTCATTTCAGAGCCATGTTGATCAAATTAATATTTCGTTGGATGTGTTTGCTAAGGAACGTTTTAACCACAAGATATGCACATAGGCTTGGGAACGAAAGAAATTATCCATGCCAAAAAATGCACTGCTGGATTGAAAGTGCAGCCCGCTGTTGTCTGTAACTGTATGAAACGTACGTAACCACGAGTTGGGGTGAGCCCTTACGTCGATATTCATGGAATGCAGACTTGAGATTGATTGCGTCAATAATGTTCATTTAAAGGATTAAATTTTGTTTACTCGAGAGACTCAAAACAACACAGTTTAAAAAACAACATATCAAACCTCGAAAGCAGTTTGATAAGTGCATTTGCCATTTTGGTATATTGAAGAGGCTTCGTGTAATTTGTTAACAAATGAATTACATTTGAATTGTGTTAAGTTTCTAGGAACATCATAAAATGTATTAAAAATCAATGTCTCCACCCTCTGTTCACTCACCAAAATATTTGTCTCTTTATATATAATAACACCCCTTGTTTCTGATTCGCTAGGATCGAACCATGGGTGTTCCCATTGGATATCCATTGAACCTGACCTCTTGAAACTTAGTTACAAGCAAAAAGAGTGTTGTGCTTACGTAACATTAACAAACTGGTACATTTAAAGTTGTAAATTGCTAAAAATGTGTCTGACACTGAAATTACGAGAGGTAAATGCCCTCGTTTAAATATCTGGATATGTCCACAGATACCATCTGCTAAGAGGACACCAGACCACAGGTTGCATGAATCCTGAAATTGAGCTGCTTATCTTTTAGATAAGATGTTTTTATGCCTCAGTACATACCACTAATGCAATGAAAACACAACTTCGCAAAACGAAACGCCAAGAAATATATGGGACTGCATTGTGAGCAGTGTACAAGCACGAGGAATGACATATGGAGTAACCACATTCTTAAATTAACACTGACCTTATTCAACAAAAATATAGGAAACTAATTGTTTTGGACCAGCCCTTCAGAGCAGGAAAAGGGGTTGCCGGTTTGACTGACAAAGTTGGTAAAAACGCACCTTATAGTAAGGTACCTTAAAATACAGTAAAACATCGTGAAGCTAGACTCAGGTAGGCCGCAATTCGGGGTACCGAGATCAATTTTGTAAAAATGCAACGTTAAACTCTGACCGGAGCACCGTTCGATCGCAGGTTAATTAGCGAGCAGTCGGATAAGGCATGTGTGCTAACCTTACATCTTCAATTCTAAATGCGCTTATTTAGATGGGGAAGTGTAACATGCTATCGCCAGCCATTGCAAAGCAGTAAATACAAGGGGTGCGCACAAGCAATTCGAAGGCTAAATACATTACTGAGAATCTTCGGTAGCGCGTGCTCTCGCTAAACCACGTGCTTTGCTTGGGGTTTATATCTCGCTCTCTCGTTCGCGTTGTTATATTTTTTACTTTACATATATTTCACAACAAACAAAAACACCTCTTCAAGCTCATTAAGAATTAACTGCCGTTTCTTGGGATTAATCGTCAGTCTTCCACATCTGCTTCACGTTGATGGTGACTGATTAAACTCTAAAAGGAGTGATTCTCTAAGCGTTATTCAACAATAAAAATTACATAGGAAATATCGAGTCATAAGTTATTCACTCAATAGATGTTGATTAAAGGAGTTGGATCTTAATTACAAGTAGAGGACTTGAACGTTACTAACTATGTGTTATTTGCAGTGGGCTTGACAACCCCGGTAACGGGAAAGGCTCTCCTTCGAATTAATTAGGCTTCAAGAAGTTGCACTGTATCTGGCAAATATTTAAAATGTTGACATTTGCCCGGTCTACATTGACAGCATGAAGAGATTTTCATTACACTTTTGATTTATATTTTTGTAACTATTTCTATTTGAATTCGAAGCTCAGGAAATGTTTTTGATTTGTATCTATCGTTTAAATAGTCTGTTGCCAGATGTATAGTCTCAGCTGATAAAAGTCAGCGTCTGCTTGCTCAATGGAGCAACGCTAAAACGTTCATCAAAAGTATTAAAAACTACACTACATATCAAACAAAGTTAGTCGTAGCCAGAGTAGATTATTTGTATATTTTCGTTGAGTTCTTTTTAACAGCACTTACATGAGTAATAACTAACTTTTACATTTCTCTCACACTTACATGAGATGTCCTTCTCCACAACCTGGCAAGCCTGTCTATGTAAATATTCGTAACGTGAGCGTATAAAGTGGTCCCTACCATGGATGTTTTACTGTGGCACGAGGTGTGATGTGAGGTCATGCTCAGTCATGGCATCGTCATGCAATGCTCTGCGAGTTGTATTGTCACGGGTGCGTACTGCCTTAGCTTTGCGATTTCGGGTCGTATCGCGTGTTGTTCGGCAACGATGTCCGACGTTTCGCTCCATGCGCTGGTAGCTTCATCAGACATAGCCAGAGTCGAAGATCACGCGAAATAATACGCGGTGAAACCTGAAAACCCGTCAGAGAGCCACACTGCACAAACGCGAACACCTCGGCTCTGCGCATTGCCTCGTGTGGCACATCACGAGCAATCAGGCCACAGCGGCAGTGTCTCCGTATTCGCTGTTCCACTTGATGTAGCCTTCCAGAGTGACGGTGTTCACACTGCGCTTGATCTTCTTAAGCGAATCTTCAAAGTCTGATGTTCGGATGTTTCTCACCTAGACACGCACAATCATTATGAACCGTTAATGTTACAAAATAACTTCAATAAAATTCACGAATGAAATCACTACATTGATAGACACTAATTTATGTTCATTAACCACGTGATATCAATTACAGCTGACTTTCCTCACCTTAGCACAAGCCCATAAACATATTTATGAATTATTTATTTTATATTTAAAATCATTAAGTCAAGTAATGCTCATTCACAAACCCAACCACACATTCTTATCCGGTTATTAAAACAATATGAAAACAGCAGAGCAATGTAGTACTGACAGCGAATTGTACCGTACACAGTGATGTGTGTACCCTTAGTTGTCAGTGTTAAATGTATCTGCTGCAGGACTTGTACCATTACCTCTCTCATAGTAACAGAGCGCTCATCTCATCGTGTGGCATGAGCATGAAGTATGTGAATAATGCAGGGTTGTTAGGATCTTGGTATTGTAGCTTTCAGAGTGTTAGGTCTTGAGGCTGGACACTGAAGCCTTAGCATGAGCGACCCTAAAACTAAATTGATGGTAGTGGTTTGGGTGTGAGCCTTGTTCACACCCTGTGAAAATGTTGGGAGAGAGTATAGGTCTCTACTTAGGTACTGGAGTGGCGCCCAGAAGTCAGTGGCCAAGGGACAAGATCTGGAGGCAAATCATGGGATATGTGACATTACGACCTCTCAACTCTTTCCCCTTCCCATGACGTACATGTACTGATGATGAACACAGTTTTGGTCATCAGTTTTTCTTCCAATTCTGTCGCGATGATGTACACGTACATCACGAAAAAATAAAATAAAACGACTTCATCGGTACTGAGGTTCCCAAAAGGCCATGCGGCAGGGCGTGTAGCACAGTTTGGCGCCTGCTATCATAGACTGCGGTCGTGTCGCTACAGTTCTCTGCGGTGAGTACAATAACTTTAAAAACAACGGCGATACTACGCATCTCTAAATAAAATTAACACCGAGCCGCTTGCGCGTTCAAAGATTCAGAGGTGACCCCTCACCCTGCAACTTGCAGACATCTCGGAACTAGAGGTGAACCCTCACCCTGCAACTTGCAGACGTCTGGGAACTAGAGGTGAACCCACACCCTGCAACTTGCAGACGTCTCGGAACTAGAGGTGAACTCTCACCCTGCACCTTGCAGACATCTCGGAACTAGAGGTGAACCCTCACCCTGCAACTTGCAGACATCTCGGAACTAGAGGTGAACCCTCACCCTGCAACTTGTAGACGTCTCCAAACTAGAGGTGAACTCTCACCCTGCAACTTGTAGACGTCTCGGAACTAGAGGTGAACCCTCACCCTGCACCTTGCAGACGTCTGGGAACTAGAGGTGAACCCTCACTCTGCAACTTGCAGACGTCTCGGAACTAGAGGTGAACCCTCACTCTGCAACTTGTAGATGTCTCCAAACTAGAGGTGAACTCTCACCCTGCAACTTGCAGACGTCTGGGAACTAGAGGTGAGCCCTCACCCTGCACCTTGCAGATGTCTCGGAACTAGAGGTGAACCCTCACCCTGCAACTTGCAGACGTCTCGGAACTAGAGGTGAACCCTCACCCTGCACCTTGCAGACGTCTGGGAACTAGAGGTGAACCCTCACCCTGCACCTTGCAGACGTCTTGGAACTAGAGGTGAACCCTCACCCTGCACCTTGCAGACATCTCGGAACTAGAGGTGAACCCTCACCCTGCACCTTGCAGACGTCTCGGAACTAGAGGTGAACCCTCACCCTGCAACTTGTAGACGTCTCCAAACTAGAGGTGAACCCTCACCCTGCACCTTGTAGACATCTCGGAACTAGAGGTGAACTCTCACCCTGCAACTTGCAGACGTCTCGGAACTAGAGGTGAACTCTCACCCTGCAACTTGCAGACGTCTCGGAACTACAGGTGAATCCTCACCCTGCAACTTGTAGACGTCTGGGAACTAGGAAAGGGCTAATCGCGTGTAAAGCGCCCTGTGGAGAAAGTAATGTTTCAGCAGTGGGTTTTCCCAAATCGCTGGATAGATCGCTCCAACAGTGGACTGGGTACAGTTGGCAACTTAGTGGAGCGAGTCGTGCGCATTATGAACATACCTCATGTGCTGACATGTTTTTCACCTGCTCTGGGTCCAGTTCTGCAGGGGTAGATTTCAAAAACAAACGCGGGCACGCAAAAACGGCGAGTATGCACATCATGCACAGCCATGTTCATATTTGCGTGCAGTCATATCCACGTGCACAAGAGACAAAGATCCCCTGTATAGCCGACATAGACTGTTAGGGCACGTGCTGTTAACGAGGGCCTGATAGGGCCAGGAAAGCAATGACCCCGACTGCTTTTGTCTCCCCAAGTTACTCATTTAAGGCCAAGTTCACCTCAAGGAGGCCCAGAACTGGTTCAGATATTACTCGTCGTTGATGTTGGCTGTGGCTAGGAATTGAATTCAGGTCACCAATTTCACAGTGCAGTGCGAGAAAAACCACTGCACCATCACTCTCCGCATGCACAAACACACGCACATTGATTCATAGATTAAAGTACATCAGCACATGGTGCTGGCAAACACTCGGTACCACAAAAGAGCCTATTCAGAATTCTCGTGGGCAGTACCATGAACTCTACTTGGGTTACATAATTCAAATGGATTTCTTACCACGAATGGGGCCCAAAGCTGCGTCTTTAGCGAGCGCTGTGAGGTCACTCCCAGAGTATCCTTCTGTGATGCTGCAGACACGAACGCGTGCATTCACAAAGCACAGAAAACACGCAATAAATATACACAGGGAAATGCACAAACCATCATTATTAGCAGCCATCATCTATCGACTGCTGGTGAAAGCCTCCCCATGTCATCTCTACCCCCTACAAAAGAATAGTATTTTCCCATATTTATCTGTCTACACTGTAGGGGCAATTAATGTGAGCGAGCACTTAACACAACTAATTATGACTCCGTAGTCATTTCAGGTGAGGCCCAATACAGATTCAGACACCATGTGTGCTGATGCGCATGGCAAAGAACTCAACTCGGTTTGTTTGTGCCCTGTATGGGCATGACGGGCTGAGGGCAGGGTTGCAACTCGTCCTGGTTTTCTTACTATCGTACTGGGGAATCTGTAAGTCTTTCCGGGACTTTAAAACGTTATTTTTTGCGATTATCGTAACAAGCACCGCTCAAGAAAATGCCTTTGCAGACAAAGTCGTTCTGTGCTCTCCCAGTATTGTGAGATATTTGCCCTTTCCCATGAGAATATACCCGGTTTTTTGTTACCTGGGAGGTGGCAGCCCAAGCTGATGAGCCATTTGGGAGAAAGGGGAGAGAGATATTGCTCTCCCCACTGCTCCCCTCACCGCTCCACTCACCGCTCCACTCACCGGTCCACTCACTGCTCCACTCACCGATCCACTCACCGCTCCACTCACCGCTCCCCTCACCGCTCCACTCACCGCTCCACTCACCGCTCCACTCACCGGTCCACTCACCGCTCCACTCACCACTCCACTCACCGCTCCCCTCACTGCTCTCCTCACCGCTCCGCTCACCGCTCCGCTCACCGCCCCACTCACCGCTCCACTCACCGGTCCACTCACTGCTCCACTCACCGATCCACTCACCGCTCCACTCACCACTCCACTCACCGCTCCCCTCACTGCTCTCCTCACCGCTCCGCTCACCGCTCCGCTCACCGCCCCACTCACCGCTCCACTCACCGCTCCCCTCACTGCTCCACTCACCGCTCCCCTCACCGCTCTCCTCACCGCTCCACTCACCGCTCCACTCACCGCTCCACTCACCGCTCCACTCACCACTCCACTCACCGCTCCCCTCACTGCTCTCCTCACCGCTCCGCTCACCGCTCCGCTCACCGCCCCACTCACCGCTCCACTCACCGCTCCCCTCACTGCTCCACTCACCGCTCCCCTCACCGCTCTCCTCACCGCTCCACTCACCGCTCCACTCACCGCTCCCCTCACCACTCTCCTCACCGCTCCACTCACCGCTCCACCCACCGCACCACTCACCGCTCCACTCACCGCTCTCCTCACCGCTCCGCTCACCGCTACGCTCACCGCTCTCCTCACCGCTCCACTCACTGCCCCACTAACTGCTCCACTCACTGCTCCACTCACTGCTCCACTCACCGCTCTCCTCACCGCTCCGCTCACCGCTCCACTCACTGCCCCACTAACTGCTCCACTAACCGCTCCACTCACCGCTCCCCTTACCGCTCCACTCACCGCTCCACTCACCGCTCCACTCACTGCTCCCCTCACCGCTCCACTCACCGCTCCACTCACCGCTCCCCTCACCTCTCCACTCACCGCTCCACTCACCGCTCCACTCACTGGTCCCCTCACTGCTCCCCTCACCGCTCCACTCACCGCTCTCCTCACTGCTCCCCTCACTGCTCCACTCACCGCTCCACTCACCGCTCCACTCACCCCTCTCCTCACTGCTCCACTCACTGCTGAACTCACTGCTCCACTCACCGCTCCACTCACCGCTCCACTCACGGCCCCACTCACCGCTCCACTCACCGCTCCACTCACTGTTCCCCTCACTGCTCCACTCACTGCTCCACTCACTGTTCCCCTCACTGCTCCACTCACTGCTCCGCTCACCGCTCCGCTCACCGCTCCACTCACTGTTCCCCTCACCGCTCCACTCACCGCTCCACTCACCGAGCAAGGTGTGCGCGGTCCGCGTGGCTGAGCGGGTTGGCATGCTTCCCCAGCAGGCGCGTGAGCAGCTTGAGGCGCGTCTGTCACAGCGGCACGTGTTAGAGCAGCGGTCTGTCACAGCGGCACGTGTTACAGCAGGGGTCTGTCACAGCGGCACGTGTTACAGCAGCGGTCTGTCACAGCGGCACGTGTTACAGCAGGGGTCTATCACAGCGGCACGTGTTACAGCAGGGGTCTGTCACAGCGGCACGTGTTACAGCAGGGGTCTGTCACAGCGGCACGTGTTACAGCAGGGGTCTGTCACAGCGGCACGTGTTACAGCAGGGGTCTGTCACAGCGGCACGTGTTACAGCAGCGGTCTGTCACAGCGGCACGTGTTACAGCAGCGGTCTGTCACAGCGGCACGTGTTACAGCAGCGGTCTGTCACAGCGGCACGTGTTACAGCAGGGGTCTGTCACAGCGGCACGTGTTACAGCAGCGGTCTGTCACAGCGGCACGTGTTACAGCAGGGGTCTGTCACAGCGGCACGTGTTACAGCAGGGGTCTGTCACAGCGGCACGTGTTACAGCAGGGGTCTGTCACAGCGGCACGTGTTACAGCAGGGGTCTGTCACAGCGGCACGTGTTACAGCAGGGGTCTGTCACAGCGGCACGTGTTACAGCAGCGGTCTGTAATAGCAGCACGTGTTACAGCAGCGATCTGTCACAGCGGCACGTGTTACAGCAGGGGTCTGTCACAGCGGCACGTGTTAGAGCAGGGGTCTGTCACAGCGGCACGTGTTACAGCAGCGGTCTGTCACAGCGGCACGTGTTAGAGCAGGGGTCTGTCACAGCGGCACGTGTTAGAGCAGGGGTCTGTCACAGCGGCACGTGTTACAGCAGGGGTCTGTCACAGCGGCACGTGTTACAGCAGCGGTCTGTCACAGCGGCACGTGTTAGAGCAGGGGTCTGTCACAGCGGCACGTGTTAGAGCAGCGGTCTGTCACAGCGGCACGTGTTACAGCAGGGGTCTGTCACAGCGGCACGTGTTACAGCAGCGGTCTGTCACAGCGGCACGTGTTACAGCAGGGGTCTATCACAGCGGCACGTGTTACAGCAGGGATCTGTCACAGCGGCACGTGTTACAGCAGGGGTCTGTCACAGCGGCACGTGTTACAGCAGGGGTCTGTCACAGCGGCACGTGTTACAGCAGCGGTCTGTCACAGCGGAACGTGTTACAGCAGCGGTCTGTCACAGCGGCACGTGTTACAGCAGCGGTCTGTCACAGCGGCACGTGTTACAGCAGGGGTCTGTCACAGCGGCACGTGTTACAGCAGCGGTCTGTCACAGCGGCACGTGTTACAGCAGGGGTCTGTCACAGCGGCACGTGTTACAGCAGGGGTCTGTCACAGCGGCACGTGTTACAGCAGGGGTCTGTCACAGCGGCACGTGTTACAGCAGGGGTCTGTCACAGCGGCACGTGTTACAGCAGGGGTCTGTCACAGCGGCACGTGTTACAGCAGCGGTCTGTAATAGCGGCACGTGTTACAGCAGCGATCTGTCACAGCGGCACGTGTTACAGCAGGGGTCTGTCACAGCGGCACGTGTTAGAGCAGGGGTCTGTCACAGCGGCACGTGTTACAGCAGCGGTCTGTCACAGCGGCACGTGTTAGAGCAGGGGTCTGTCACAGCGGCACGTGTTAGAGCAGGGGTCTGTCACAGCGGCACGTGTTACAGCAGGGGTCCTCACTCGGGGGCACGCGGACCCCTGGGGGTACGTGGCGATGTCCCAGGGGCTACGTGAGGTGATTTATAAAATGTGTGAAATTATATATCATAAACGTGAGAGTCAATGGTGAAAAGTCATGCATGAATCTGCCAATATAAAATATATACGATAACATTTAAATTCATATGGTAACCGAGTAGAATGATATAAAACACCTTTCTAAACTCATTGATCGTAAGCAATGTCGTTTTCAAGAGTAACCAACGAGAGCGTCCGTTGAATCTGTGTTTTTTTAATTCGCTTGCAGTTACTTAACTAGTTAGGATCCCTCACAGAATTGACAATTGGTTAAAATATTGACGTTCATTTTTCATACATTTATTTCTCAGGACCGTGTTGAGTGAGCCAAGTGGGTGCTCAGTTGAAACAAAATTCAACAAGAGGGGTACAAATACAGTAGCCAAAAGGGGTTGAGAACCACCGGGTTAGGCGAGCGGCGTGGCAAATGGGCGCAGCGTGGAGTCACGAATTGTGAATGGAGATCGCGAGGCGTCGACCCGCGGGGAGGGAACGCGCCACCATTGCCGCGGGCGGCACGAGGAGAGGGCCACTCTCAAGAATCCGTGCGAAGTCTCCTTCTGCACACTTGGGCTCTGGTTCCCTCGCGCACGACTCAAGCGTGACCCTCCTTCAATAAAAAAAGAATATCTCCAAGACTCAGTGACACTTCCATGAGTCAATTCAGGTCATCATCCTTGCTGAGGCTGATAAAATTGTTACCGCTGTGAGAGCTGAACAACGCTCATCCTGTGTATGGACTGCCCTCTGATGTAGGAATTTGGAATGTCTGCTGCTGGCCCAGATCTGTGAACAGGGGCGAGCACCAGGACACTTTTACGTCTCTGATTTCATAATAGACAACTGTAATTAACAGATACTCATAGCAGTGAGTTCATTCGTTCTGAAACGCGCATTATAGTACACGAACCAAATACTTTAACGGATAAAGGATCTGCAGAATTGAAGTGGCTTATGTACACCACAGCGTACACACACAAACACGTGTAACAGTGCCAAAAACAGGAAAAGATGTTCCATCAGAGCTTTAAACAGGCGACACCCAGTTACCGTGCATGTTTTCAAACGTGGGAGTGGTCAACAAGTTCATACAGCCGACGGAAAAACAGAGCCCAGGATACTGAAGTCCAAAGCACAGCAAACAACGAATACAGTGATACATTAAGAGCAAGACGGTTGTGTAGGTAAAGGAAAAATATGATGTGCACGATGAGTGAAATGAGACATCAAATTGAGACCGTAAGGGAGACAGAGAAGGACAGTGAGACTGCGATAGCCGTGGGTACCTCCTCCTCGGGCAAGGAGACGTAGATCCTCTTGGAGAAGCGGCTATCAAAGGAAGAGCCATGGGGCACAGGACACAGGAAATACCCGTCACGTAACCTCGCTTCCCACAACCCCTTCAAGCACTGGCCAATCTCTCCAGCGCCCTGCCAAGCATGTTCCACTTACACTCCTGGCTTTAGTTCTCAAAGTATCAATTTGCTATTTAGAATGAAAATCTCATTTAAAATCGTCACGGATTTTCCTAACGACCAGGCTGAGACCGTTAACTTGATATTCTTGAGAACCTGGAATAATCGTAAATGGCTAAAACCCACATTTGAAACCCACAATCTCAGCAGGCTGCGCTCGACACATTGACATCGCTCCAAGGAGCCACTGCACCACCACGACCGCCACGTACCGGAGCACAGCCTCATCCAGCTCTTGGGGCCGGTTTGTAGCTCCCATTACCAGCACGCGGTCTTCCCCAGAAGACTGAACCTAAAAACACAAAATAACAACTGTGACATCCACCACATAGGATAAATGTTCTTCGCATGATAGTCAAATTGACTGATATACAGTATATTATTCTCAGAGCTAGAATTTTACTCGAATTAACCATTTCCCGTTTCAAGACGACTGTAAGTTGCAGGGTGGGTCCCGTTCACCGCTGAATATCGGAACGTGCAAGCGGTTCAGAATCAATATTATTTAGAGAGGCATAGCGCCGTTGTTTTTACAGGCGTCGTACTCACCGCAAATAACTCTAGCGACACGACCGCACTCTACAATAGCTGGCGCCAAACTATGCCACACGCCCTCCCGCATAGCCTTGTGAGAGCCTTGGTACCGATAAAGTTATTTTATTTTTTCTTTCGGTGAAGTGCAGATCCAAAGTCAATGTGATGGGGGGGGGGGGTTGTGCGTGGTCATTGGGCTGAGACCATCACCTCGCTACACCTGAGAATTCAACAGTGCCAGCTCAGCGCTCGGATCTGTGAGCCACCCAGCCACCTCAATGATTATTATTATTGTACTGACCCCAGGGAGACGATAGGCTGTGTTGACCCCCAAGTGGGAGTTTGAATTCGCGTCCTTCCAATTTAAGTCAACGCTGCGCCACTGGCAGCCAGCTGGATGAGCATGCGGGTGCTGATTTCATGCCGGGAGCCATACCCCATCAAACTCCACAAGGAACTCCGTCTTGAGTCGCCGGCTCGCCTCATGCTCACCCTCCCGCCGCTCACACAGCACACTGTCCACCTCATCTACGTGGTCGCACACACATGCCAATCGAAATAGACATATGTAAGCGTACACGTACGAACGCAAGCCATCACCAAATAAAATCTCAGGAAATCTACAGGGTTGGACTGGGCCACCGAACAACGGGCATATGTAATCATGGCAACGCAAAATGATGAATAGCGAATCGTGACGGACGCATGTCATTCACATCCCGGGTTTCGATTTTGCAGACAGAAGGAAGGAAACGTTGATGGGATATGGTGGCATCGATGGCATTCGCCGTAATGATTTCTTGCCCAGGCACCGAGCCAGTTGAACAAAATGAAAAAGGGATCATTCTACGTGGTGAGTGAGTGGTGAGGATGCAGAATGGGGGTGGAAACTGTGCAGAATATCGTGGCATGTGATGTGTGCTGCTGTATTGTCGTGGATCAGGGGTGCGGAACCTATGAATATGATCGAAGGCTGCAGCTCCCTCGCCACAGAAAACAAGGCTCGCACCAGCTTCTCACCCTCTCCCACCTGGACACGCGTAAGGAGACAACGAGAATATGGCCCTGCACTCAAAGAGTGATTTTTTTGTACAGCAGGAAAATTGGAAAGCGACGGTCAATCATTCTCTGCCGCTCACAAAATGCGTGGGCTTGCCTCACCATTACTGTATCTATCTCTGACTTGATGTTCAATTCCAGGTTAAAGATCACGCGAAATTATTCATCACTAATTCCAAAAGCTGCCGGTGTCGGAGCCTTCTCCGACATCAACATTCGCTGCCTCGCCCATCTCTAAACCTTTATCAACAGTTTGCCCTCAGAGGCTAACCTCCCTGTTCCTGATGATGACCGCTTGTGTTGCGATCGAAACGTCGTGATATTTTTATTCACTTTATTTTATTGTTATTTTTTCTATCAACGTGACTTTACCGAAAGAACCATAGAAGATCCAAAAGCTCACTTTCCAGTGTACATATTTAATGGATATGTAATATACAAGAAAAACGTAATGTGTTAGACTACACAATATATGCATTCAAGAGTATAATATCAAGTAAACATCATATCATGCCAAAAATACTTCCACTTATTTTAGAAGGCACCAGGGTTCATCCTACTGAGAAAATGATTCTGACCATAGAAATGTGGAATGTGCTTGGCCCAGAAAAGCTTAAATGGCCAGCAACAAACCAACAGTGTTCACCAAAGATGTTAACAGATGAGAGTTAACACGTTTGCTGAACTGAGAAAAGTTGCCAGGTGCTTGGGAAGTTTTTGAGCGGTGACTCACATATTTGGAGGTGAGACTGGCCGCGCTTATATTGAAGAAGGTGGCGCTCGACTCGCTGGCCACAGCTTTAGCCTGAGGAAGAGAAGAGCGCACCCCAAGGGTGAGTTCCGCAAGAACAGAGCTCTGACGTGATGTCCTAAAGAAAGAAGCACAACAGCCGAGAGTGGTGTGAATGCGACAGGGCTCACCAGCATCGTCTTTCCGTTTCCTGGCGGCCCAAAGAGCAGGAGGCCTTTGGCCGGTGCGCGCAGCCCTGTGAAGAGCTGAAACACGCGCACGAACGCGCGTGCACAACAACCAAAGACAGCACACGCTGCATATGCGCACGTTCACGATTACACCGACGTAATGCACTAAACGTCCAACATGTTGTGCGTGCATGCCCTCACCATGCACATCAGCACGCAAGTTTATATTCACGAATGCCTTACACGTACTATTGTACAAAGATCCCCGGTGAAATCTATACAGGCTGTTGGGGCAAGCGCTGTCAGCAAGCGACTGTGAAGGTCGGCACGGTGTGTGAGAGAGCGGTGTGGTCATAGCCGCATGTGAATTTGGCCCAATGAGTTCTTCCGGATTGGGAGCATCAGTGATTGTAAGTTCATTGCACTGCAAGGGCGCTTGCACATATACACTGCAATACGGTTTTGTCATCGTCAGCGCGTTGTCTTCGTATACATGAGCAGCAAGCGGTGGACGAGGTGAGCGCACCTCTGGCCGTAGCGAGGGCAGGATGACGATCTCTTGCAGAGCCTGCTTGGCCAGCTCCTGCCCCGCGATGTCGTCCCACTGCACCGAGAGGACACTGCAGCACACAGAGCGCAGCGCTGATTCACACCGCACGAGACACACAGCGCTGATTCACACGGCACGAGACACACAGCGCTGATTCACACGGCACGAGACACGCAGCGCTGATTCACACCGCACGAGACACACAGCGCTGATTCACACCACACGACACACACAGCACTGATTCACACCACACGAGACACACAGCGCTGATTCACACCACACGAGACACAGCACTGATTCACACCACACGAGACACACAGCGCTGATTCACACCACACGAGACACACAGCGCTGATTCACACCACACGAGACACACAGCGCTGATTCACACCGCACGAGACACACAGCGCTGATTCACACCGCACGAGACACAGAGCGCTGATTCACACCGCACGAGACACACAGCGCTGATTCACACCACGAGACACACAGCGCTGATTCACACCACACGAGACACACAGCGCTGATTCACACCACACGAGACACACAGCGCTGATTCACACCGCACGAGACACACAGCGCTGATTCACACCGCACGAGACACACAGCGCTGATTCACACCGCACGAGACACACAGCGCTGATTCACATGGCACGAGACACGCAGCGCTGATTCACACCGCACGAGACACACAGCGCTGATTCACACCACACGACACACACAGCACTGATTCACACCACACGAGACACACAGCGCTGATTCACACCACACGAGACACAGCACTGATTCACACCACACGAGACACACAGCGCTGATTCACACCACACGAGACACACAGCGCTGATTCACACCACACGAGACACACAGCGCTGATTCACACCGCACGAGACACACAGCGCTGATTCACACCGCACGAGACACAGAGTGCTGATTCACACCGCACGAGACACACAGCGCTGATTCACACCACGAGACACACAGCGCTGATTCACACCACACGAGACACACAGCGCTGATTCACACCACACGAGACACACAGCGCTGATTCACACCGCACGAGACACACAACGCTGATTCACACCACACGAGACACACAGCGCTGATTCACACCACACGAGACACACAGCGCTGATTCACACCACACGAGACACACAGCGCTGATTCACACCGCACGAGACACACAGCGCTGATTCACACCGCACGAGACACACAGCGCTGATTCACACCACACGAGACACACAGCGCTGATTCACACCGCACGAGACACACAGCGCTGATTCACACCACACGAGACACACAGCGCTGATTCACACCGCACGAGACACACAGCGCTGATTCACACCACACGAGACACACAGCGCTGATTCACACCACGAGACACACAGCACTGATTCACACCACACGAGACACACAGCGTTGATTCACACCGCACGAGACACACAGCGCTGATTCACACCACACGAGACACACAGCGCTGATTCACACCACACGAGACAGACAGCGCCGATTCACACCACACGAGACACACAGCGCTTATTCACACCACACGAGGCACACAGCGCTGATTCACACCACACGAGACACACAGCGCTGATTCACACCGCACGAGACACACAGCGCTGATTCACACCACACGAGACACACAGCGCTGATTCACACCACGAGACACACAGCACTGATTCACACCACACGAGACACACAGCGCTGATTCACACCGCACGAGACACACAGCGCTTATTCACACCACACGAGGCACACAGCGCTGATTCACACCGCACGAGACACACAGCGCTGATTCACACCACACGAGAAACACAGCGCTGATTCACACCACGAGACACACAGCGCTGATTCACACCACGAGACACACAGCGCTGATTCACACGGCACGAGACACACAGCGCTGATTCACACCACACGAGACACACAGCGCTGATTCACACACCACGACACACACAGCGCTGATTCACACCACACGAGACACACAGCGCTGATTCACACCGCACGAGACACACAGCGCTGATTCACACCACACGACACACACAGCGCTGATGCACACCACACGAGACACACAGCGCTGATTCACACCGCACGAGACACACAGCGCTTATTCACACCACACGAGGCACACAGCGCTGATTCACACCACACGAGACACACAGCGCTGATTCACACCACACGAGACAGACAGCGCCGATTCACACCACCCGAGACACACAGCGCTTATTCACACCACACGAGGCACACAGCGCTGATTCACACCACACGAGACACACAGCGCTGATTCACACCGCACGAGACACACAGCGCTGATTCACACCACACGAGACACACAGCGCTGATTCACACCACGAGACACACAGCACTGATTCACACCACACGAGACACACAGCGCTGATTCACACCGCACGAGACACACAGCGCTTATTCACACCACATGAGGCACACAGCGCTGATTCACACCGCACGAGACACACAGCGCTGATTCACACCGCACGAGACACACAGTGCTGATTCACACCGCACGAGACACACAGCGCTGATTCACACGGCACGAGACACACAGCACTGATTCACACCACACGAGACACGCAGCGCTGATTCACACGGCACGAGACACACAGCGCTGATTCACACCACACGAGACACACAGCACTGATTCACACCACGAGACAGACAGCGCTGATTCACACCACACGAGACACACAGCGCTGATTCACACCGCACGAGACACACAGCGCTGATTCACACCGCACGAGACACACAGCGCTGATTCACACCGCACGAGACACACAGCGCTGATTCACACCGCACGAGACACACAGCGCTGATTCACACCGCACGAGACACACAGCGCTGATTCACACCACACGAGACACACAGCGCTGATTCACACCACGAGACACACAGCACTGATTCACACCACACGAGACACACAGCGCTGATTCACACCGCACGAGACACACAGCGCTGATTCACACCACACGAGACACACAGCGCTGATTCACACCACGAGACACACAGCGCTGATTCACACCACACGAGACACACAGCGCTGATTCACACCACACGAGACACACAGCGCTGATTCACACCACACGAGACACACAGCGCTGATTCACACCACACGAGACAGACAGCGCTGATTCACACCACACGAGACACACAGCGCTTATTCACACCACACGAGGCACACAGCGCTGATTCACACCACACGAGACACACAGCGCTGATTCACACCACACGAGACAGACAGCGCCGATTCACACCACACGAGACACACAGCGCTTATTCACACCACACGAGGCACACAGCGCTGATTCACACCACACGAGACACACAGCGCTGATTCACACCGCACGAGACACACAGTGCTGATTCACACCACACTAGACACACAGCGCTGATTCACACCACGAGACACACAGCACTGATTCACACCACACGAGACACACAGCGCTGATTCACACCGCACGAGACACACAGCGCTTATTCACACCACATGAGGCACACAGCGCTGATTCACACCGCACGAGACACACAGCGCTGATTCACACCACACGAGACACACAGCGCTGATTCACACCGCACGAGACACACAGCGCTTATTCACACGGCACGAGACACACAGCGCTGATTCACACCACGAGACACACAGCGCTGATTCACACCACACGAGACACGCAGCGCTGATTCACACGGCACGAGACACACAGCGCTGATTCACACCACACGAGACACACAGCACTGATTCACACCACGAGACAGACAACGCTGATTCACACCACACGAGACACACAGCGCTGATTCACACCACACGACACACACAGCGCTGATTCACACCACACGAGACACACAGCGCTGATTCACACCACGAGACACACAGCGCTGATTCACACCACGAGACACACAGCGCTAATTCACACCACACGAAACACACAGCGCTGATTCACACCACGAGACACACAGCGCTGATTCACACCACGAGACACACAGCGCTGATTCACACGGCACGAGACACACAGCGCTGATTCACACCACACGAGACACACAGCGCTGATTCACACACCACGACACACACAGCGCTGATTCACACCACACGAGACACACAGCGCTGATTCACACCACACGAGACACACAGCGCTGATTCACACCACACGACACACACAGCGCTGATGCACACCACACGAGACACACAGCGCTGATTCACACCGCACGAGACACACAGTGCTGATTCACACGGCACGAGACACGCAGAAAAAAGGGGAAAACCTATTTACATCCAAATACATGATTTTGAATGGTGTATGGTTTCACAACTGATACAAACTGGGACTTTTAAAGTCCTGGGAAGATTCGACACACTCAGGACTCGACACGCACAGGACTCGACACACTCAGGACTCGTCAGGACTCGACACACACAGGACTCGACACACTCAGGACTCGACACACTCAGGACTCGTCAGGACTCGACACACTCAGGACTCATCAGGACTCGACACACACAGGACTCGACACACTCAGGACTCGACACGCTCAGGACTCGACACACTCAGGACTCGACACACTCAGGACTCGACACGCACAGGACTCGACACACTCAGGACTCGACACACTCAGGACTCGTCAGGACTCGACACACACAGGACTCGACAGGACTCGACACACTCAGGACTCGACACGCTCAGGACTCGACACACTCAGGACTCGACACACTCAGGACTCGACACGCACAGGACTCGACACACTCAGGACTCGACACACTCAGGACTCGTCAGGACTCAACACGCACAGGACTCGACAGGACTCGACACACTCAGGACTTGACACACTCAGGACTCGTCAGGACTCGACACACTCAGGACTCGACACACTCAGGACTCGTCAGGACTCGACACACTCAGGACTCGTCAGGACTCGACACACTCAGGACTCGACACACACAGGACTCGACACACTCAGGACTCGACACACACAGGACTCGTCAGGACTCGACACACTCAGGACTCGACACACTCAGGACTCGACACACTCAGGACTCGTCAGGACTCGACACACTCAGGACTCGACACACTCAGGACTCGACACACTCAGGACTCGACACACTCAGGACTCGTCAGGACTCGACACACTCAGGACTCGACACACTCAGGACTCGTCAGGACTCGACACACTCAGGACTCGACACACACAGGACTCGACACACTCAGGACTCGACACACACAGGACTCGACACACTCAGGACTCGACACACACAGGACTCGTCAGGACTCGACACACTCAGGACTCGACACACTCAGGACTCGACACACTCAGGACTCGTCAGGACTCGACACACTCAGGACTCGACACACACAGGACTCGACACACACAGGACTCGACACGCTCAGGACTCGTCAGGACTCGACACACTCAGGGCTCGACACACACAGGACTCGTCAGGACTCGACACGCTCAGGACTCGACACACTCAGAACTCGACAGGACTCGACACACTCAAGACTCGTCAGGACTCGACACAGAGCGCCGATGCATGGCTCGTTTTTTTGCGGACCTGTCCACGATCTCATTGAGGATGAGGCTGGCCAATTTGCTGTCCACGTTGCGCAGGTTCTTGAGTTCCATTTTGCGCGAGGGGGAAGAGAGCGGCGTGCTGCCCCGGCTGCTGGGCCGAGACGAACCCTTCACCCCAGCAGCCTGCACGTGCACAAAGACAAAGATCCCCCCGTGTCGCCTCAACAAACTGCAGGGGCAAGTGCTGTTAGTGAGCAGCACCTATGAAGGCCAGCAGAGCACACGAGGGGGTGGGTGGCCAGCATCACACCCGGTCGCCTTTGTCTCCCTCGTGGCGATAATTGCACACACCACACCAGGTACTCATTTGAGGCTGAGTCGACCTAGGGGAGGGGGGGGCGCAGGACCGGTTAAGATAATCGTCACTGGGTGTTGACCGTGAGCGGGAATCCAACTCGGGTGGCCGGGTTCGTGGCGAAGCATGCTGACAGCTGCCGCTCTCCACGTGCGCGCACAAACACAGTGGTGCACGCACACAGCAAGAAGACCCACAAGCAGTGGTGGCCGACCAGTGGGTAAATACATTATTGGTGGGGCGGGTGGGGGGGTGTCGTGTCGTACCACACAAGTGTGTGTGAAGTCGGGCACAGCAGTGATGAGGGGGTCCACGCTTCCGGCTGCCAAACCAATACATCATGAGGTCGCACTTATCACAAACAAAGCGCTTACCGCAAACGAACGGCAATACCTCGCTGATCTCGTCAGGGAGCATAAAACCATCACGCCAACTCAGATCCATCCTTGCAGCGGCATTTGGCTGGCCATCGACCAAAGACGGTCGTCACTGCCATCGCGCGCTTTGTGGATGCGCCTCTGCGGCCGTCCGGAATGCTCTTCCTTTCGATATTCGGAAGCCACTTGAGCGATGCACTTTTAAATCATCGATATTGGAAACTAATTTCTTTAGAGCTGCTTTTTTGTGTTGAGTTTGTTGTCATTCCTCCGCAACTCCAATTTGCGTGGTTGGCTACGCACGGAACCAGTTCTCCCTACACTGGGCAGTGGAAACCGACTAAAGCGCATGCGGGAGGAAGGTCTGTTAGTGTGCTCTAGGATTCTTTAGCGTAACCGCTTCACAGCAGGTGGTAGGAGTTGGCCCAACAGCAGCAGCAGCAGTCTTTTTGTTTGTCTTGGTGTGTGACTCGCTCGGTGTGTCTCTGCATGTGTGTCTGTCTATGCTGTTCCCGTGTCTGTGTTTTATCATTCATTCTTACCTGATGATGGCTGCTTGTGTAGCAACCGAAACGTCGTATCCTATTATTATTTGATTGGATTTTCTACGTGACTTTACCGAAAGAACCAAAGAGCAGGCAGCAGCAGCAGTCTTTCACAATCTCTCACACACACACAAGTTTACCAGGGGCTACCACACCGTCTTTCACAATCTCACACACACACACGTTTACCAGGGGCTACCACACCGTCTTTCACAATCTCTCTCACACACACGTTTACCAGGGGCTACCACACCGTCTTTCACAATCTCTCACACACACACACGTTTACCAGGGGCTACCACACCGTCTTTCACAATCTCTCACACACACACACGCTTACCATTGGGCTACCACACCGTATTTCACAATCTCTCACACACACGTTTACCAGGGGCTACCACACCGTCTTTCACAATCTCACACACACACACGTTTACCAGGGGCTACCACACCGTCTTTCACAATCTCACACACACACGTTTACCAGGGGCTACCACACCGTCTTTCACAATCTCTCACACACACACGTTTACCAGGGGCTACCACACCGTCTTTCACAATCTCTCACACATACACGTTTACCAGGGGCTACCATACCGTCTTTCACAATCTCACACACACACGTTTACCAGGGGCTACCACACCGTCTTTCACAATCTCTCACACACACACACGTTTACCAGGGGCTACCACACCGTCTTTCACAATCTCTCACACACACACGTTTACCAGGGGCTACCACACCGTCTTTCACAATCTCTCTCACACACACACACGTTTACCAGGGGCTACCATACCGTCTTTCACAATCTCTCACACACACACACGTTTACCGGGGGCTACCACACCGTCTTTCACACACACACACACGTTTACCAGGGGCTACCACACCGTCTTTCACAATCTCTCACACACACGTTTACCAGGGGCTACCACACCGTCTTTCACAATCTCTCACACACACACACGTTTACCAGGGGCTACCACACCGTCTTTCACAATCTCACACACACACACGTTTACCGGGGGCTACCACACCGTCTTTCACAATCTCACACACACGTTTACCAGGGGCTACCACACCGTCTTTCACAATCTCTCTCTCACACACACACGTTTACCAGGGGCTACCACACCGTCTTTCACAATCTCTCTCTCACACACACACGTTTACCAGGGGCTACCACACCGTCTCTCACAATCTCACACACACACACACACGTTTACCGGGGGCTACCACACCGTCTTTCACAATCTCTCACACACACACACACACGTTTACCCGGGGCTACCACACCGTCTTTCACAATCTCTCACACACACACGTTTACCAGGGGCTACCACACCGTCTTTCACAATCTCTCACACACACACGTTTACCAGGGGCTACCATACCGTCTTTCACAATCTCACACACACACGTTTACCAGGGGCTACCACACCGTCTTTCACAATCTCTCACACACACACACGTTTACCAGGGGCTACCACACCGTCTTTCACAATCTCTCACACACACACGTTTACCAGGGGCTACCACACCGTCTTTCACAATCTCTCTCACACACACACACGTTTACCAGGGGCTACCATACCGTCTTTCACAATCTCTCACACACACACACGTTTACCGGGGGCTACCACACCGTCTTTCACACACACACACACACGTTTACCAGGGGCTACCACACCGTCTTTCACAATCTCTCACACACACGTTTACCAGGGGCTACCACACCGTCTTTCACAATCTCTCACACACACACACGTTTACCAGGGGCTACCACACCGTCTTTCACAATCTCACACACACACGTTTACCGGGGGCTACCACACCGTCTTTCACAATCTCACACACACGTTTACCAGGGGCTACCACACCGTCTTTCACAATCTCTCTCTCACACACACACGTTTACCAGGGGCTACCACAACGTCTTTCACAATCTCTCTCTCACACACACACGTTTACCAGGGGCTACCACACCGTCTCTCACAATCTCACACACACACACACGTTTACCGGGGGCTACCACACCGTCTTTCACAATCTCTCACACACACACACACGTTTACCCGGGGCTACCACACCGTCTCTCACAATCTCACACACACACACACACACGTTTACCGGGGGCTACCACACCGTCTTTCACAATCTCTCACACACACACACACGTTTACCGGGGGCTACCACACCGTCTTTCACACACACACACACACGTTTACCAGGGGCTATCACACCGTCTTTCACAATCTCACACACGTTTACCAGGGGCTACCACACAGTTTTTTACAATCTCACACACACACACGTTTACCAGGAACTACCACACAGCCGTTCACCTACAGTTATGAGCAGTCGCCGATTTAAAATGTGATATAATTACGCAGTTTATAATCTTTATCGTGAGAAGCTCAGTCATTTGTATTTTTTCACTCTTGGGGTCCGGTCACAACAGCCCCCTAATGATGCTACGCCACTGCCCACAACTACGAGGCATGTGGAGATGCACACTTACATACATGCTGCTTACAGACACCCGTGTATCGAGTTCTACGTGAACACACATAGATACCCATCTGCAGCACTGGAGTAATGTCTCACACGTAACATGGTACTGTGGAGCAACACCACTAAAAGTGGATAGTGATAAAAACCGTAATATTCATTTTCAACAATAAGTCAGATATCTGTTATTAAGCATATGCGGGTTGACAATTTTTTATTTATATGATTACTTTAAAATTGAAAATGATTTTTTACAATATAAAAAAGGAGAACTAATTGTGTCAGCCGCTTGCATGAATGCGATGAGAGCAGCAGGCCATGTCTATGTTCATCTTCTTGGTTCTTTCGGTAAAGTCACGTAGAATGGAAATAAAATAATACATCGAAAAATGTCTACGTTGTAGATCATTCTACGAAGCTGCAGCTGCATGCATTCAGTACATTCATTTACGATGGTGGCCAGGTGGTTCAGAGTTCAGAGCTCTGACCTTGGCGGTGGCTGAGAGGGCTGGCTGGCTCAGTTGGCGGTACAGCCCAGATGCCGGGCTGGGTGGCGAGCCCTGCCTGGGCAGTGGATTCGCTGTCGCCGCTGCTGCCGATGAGGTAGCCCCGGAGGGAAGGGAGAGTAGGGAAGAGGGCCCAACAGGCCGCGGTAGGCCGGTCAGATTGAGACCCCCTCCGGCGCTCCTGTGGCGCTGGTGGTTGCTGCCGGTAGGCTGAACGCAGTGGTGATGATGTGCGTGGGTCCGAGGACTGCTGGAATTCCCGGGGCCCCAGCGTGGCAGGGACTGGCTCTTGTGGGTGAGCGGATCCCTGCGTCTGGGCAGGCTTCCCACCTCTATGCAGCACCACACGGAGAGAGCACGCACGCACAGTAAGGTATGTATCATGCTGAGTCGTGCAGCGGTTAATGCGCCTGGCGGCCTGAGTTGTATTCCTGGCCACGGCTAACAGAGAGAGAGCATACTGACAGAGCACATGGATTACCCGAGATGTAAAAGGGCAACACGGGTTCACCGAATTCCAGCTTCCTTAGCGCACAAACAGTGATCCAGTGAGAATGTTGTGTTTTACTTTTGTCAATGCTATTTATTCCGGGAGCTTACTGGCTTATCTCCAATTCTAGTTTCCTTCAGTCCAGCTTCAAGAGATGTTACATTATATAGTGCAGGCCCCTATTATCTCAGCCTCTGACACTGTATGTATAGTTTTTTTAAATCACATTTATGAAGGATTTTTTTTCATGAATAGGCATCAGGGCACACCTATGCTGAAGGTTTCAGGGAAAATATGCTTCTGGTGTTTTTCACCCTGCGTGTTGAATGAAGATCCGCAACATCGCCAATAGACGTGGTGCTATCTCGCTTACAGCAATGATTGAACCTGTGTCGATGAAAATCAGCGGGGTTTCAATGATGCTCTGGCCAAAATGTGTAAATGTTCACGTGTTACATTGTTGCAGAGTTATTAACGCTCAAAGTTAAACAATATGCATCCAGGTGACTGTCAAAGTTTACGAAGGCACCGCCTCTGCTTAATCATAACGTTTACCTAAACAAGGATAATTTTCATGTGTAGCTTACTAAATGAAACAGGAATTGTGGTCTCGATGTTATGTCAATTAAAATTAAATTCTCTATACTCTAATCGTCGCAGTTATTCGTTTCTGCCATTTTATCCCGTTCTCTACACAACCACCGTAATCATTGACAACACAAAGCCCCATTTCTATTCTGCTTTGCATTTTAAATAATTCCGTCCATTTCCCCCTCAGGTCTTCGACGTTGGAAACAATGTGCCCCATCTGGCTTCGAAATGCTCACATTGGTTATGGTGCATTTTGTACGGAGTAGCTGGCACTCTGTGGTGCGCGCCAGTGAAGTGGCGGCGGTGGTGGTGGAATGCGGTGCTCACCGAGAAGTTCCAGGCGGTCTTTTGCCATCACCAGGTTCGTTTTCATTTTCGCCTGCAAACGCCGCGCTCTGTCGATCTGCTCTCCTGCACACGGTGAACGCAACATTCACGCTGTTCTTCATACGTGCACACGAAGACGACAACAACAACGACAAGGACAAAGATCCTCCGTGTAGCCTTTCGCGGAGTTTTGGGACAAGTGCTGTTCGCGAGCGCATATGAAGGCTAGCGTGGCACACGAGGGGGTGGGTGGCCGGCACCACAACCAGGGCCAGATTAACATTGTGTAGGCCCCCTGGGCTACAGGTTCTGTGAGGTCCCCAGTAATATTTACAAAAGGAAAACAAAGTTAAAGAAAAATTAAATGTCTTTAAACAAGGCTAACAACAAATAAAATTCAGCATTCACAAATGAAATAACTTTTCACTTCACCTCTGGAAGCCCTCCGGCTGGCAGAGGCCCCTGGACTGCAGCCCCTAAAGCCCCGTGCCTGAATATGGCCCTGACCACGCCCGGCCGTCTTTGTCTCACTCGTGATGTTTCCACAACGCTTCAGGTGCTCATCACCATGAGTCAATGTTAACTACGGTCTTGTTTCATTTAAGTGTGCCCTGCACTAAATACTATAAACTAAATACTATAATAAACCTGATGCGACACCTGTGTAACACCCAACAGCAAGGGGATTTTACCCCAAAGGAAATAAATACCAATAACCTTATCTGTGATGAGACAGCTGGGATTTGGGGATATATTCTGTGAAGCATCACAGAGTAGCTGATCCCCACATGGATTGTGCACCCCATGAAAAGCTTGCCATTGATAACGGGTGCTTAGCCACAGGTATACTACAAGGCCTCTGCTGCTGCGTTGTCTTATCAGATTGCACTGAACAATGCGCGGTGCAACACGAAAAGGTCACGGTGCAGACCAATGTGCGGTAAAACCTGAAAACACATCGGAGAGCAATGACACATTCCTGCGGAGGGAGCTGGTAGGAACGTTGGGTTGCTCGGTCAATGGCCAGGGTCAACGGCGGCGTGGTGTATTCCGCAAATATGCCTGACTGTGAGGGCGGGCACAAGCCGGCGTGAGTAGGTTAAACGTTGAGTTTTATAAGGGCACCACGGGGTGACCAGCCCCTCCCCATCCAGCCCCACCCCTCCCACCCCCCACCCAGCCCCTCCCCACCCAGCCCCTCCCCACCCAGCCCCTCCCCACCGTCCCCACCCAGCCCCTCCCCACCCTCCCCACCCAGCCCCTCCCCAACCTCCCCTCCCAACCCAGCCCCACCATCCCCACCCAGACCCTCCCCACCCTCCCCTCCCCTCCCCACCCAGCCCCTCCCTCCCCACCCAGCCCCTCCCCACCCAGCCCCTCCCCACCCTCCCCACCCAGCCCTCCCCTCCCCACCCAGCCCCTCCCCACCCAGCCCCTCCCCACCCTCCCCACCCAGCCCCACCCCTCCCATTTTTGGATGCACGACGGACGGACGGACACAATAATCCCCTGTGGGCTGGTATAACCAGGAGGTTCCTACACAGTATAACACTTTGTTTAGACCACATATGGTGGCGTGACACAATTTGTGTATGTTCCGCATCTATTTGTACTATACACCCTCTTAACATGAGGTCGTGTCGGCGCCAAAGACTATATTTAAAAAAACCCACTCGCTGTTATAGGATAATTCTGAACAATAGAATAAATACATCTCCTGACTCAAAATACCCTAAATCTGTTTGTTGTACTGTGCTATGCTCCATACTGTATCCACACAAGATCGGCTATTAGATTAATGTCCTTCTAGAAGCCCTTGTTCAAGCGAACAAATCGACTAGTTTCCACCTTAGGTGTCGCATCAGCGGAGTCAGTTTTAGCGGATGGATAACAGTAAACATAAACCTCGAAGAACAACAGGCTGAATATTAAATTTGTACTTGGAGATGTGGAAGAGAAAGTTGATTTACTTATTATTTGTGGGTAGAGCGGATGCACTTTTCTCATTAAAAGTGGCACAGCAGCATGGGATGTTGAAGCAGCTGCCACCGCGCCTGGGGCCAAACAGGGCAGCCACAACACACGGGGTCTGGAAATTCTCATTGGCTGCGGAAATGAATTATGTATCACCCATTAAAGTAATTCATTTGCTCATAATTAACTAGGCATGGCAACACCTGGGGCCGGGAGAGGCTGTGCATATGGTTTCAAACTCGCAGCCCCAAAGACTCGACAGGGCAAGAGCGCCCCACCCCCTTTGCCTAACGGGCAGCCCAGAGGGGAAAGCTGCCGGCATTAAAGACAAATCAGGAATTGAATCGAAAGTGGTTGCGTAGGTTTGAAGCGAGGATCTCAGTGGCGGTCGCCCAGCGCTCTGACCTCTGACCTACCGGGCCAGCTCCGTACGGGCAGAACCACTGTGACCGGTTAAGAGCTCATTGAGAGTGGAAGTCTCTTTCAACAAAAACCGAGGTTACAGACGCAAACAAAAGCAAAAACATCAAATCGCGAAGACAAAAATGTCAAATTTCGTGAATAGACACTTAAATTGATTGTGATTCAGACCAAAACATTTAAACATCAAAAGCAACAAGGCGTAAATAATGGAAGCAAAGTAAATAATAAATGAGCTAGAAAGCTGTGGAAAACGTTTACATCCAGATTGTTCAAATTACGGAAAATAACTACTACTAGGGTAGGCAAGCGCTGTGAACATCTTAAAACAAATAATCTAAAATTAACGGACGCTAACAAATTCATGCAAATTGCTGAGTGTCGTACAATTCTGTAAAAAAATATTAATTGAGCTGCAGCTTTCCCAGCTGAGACAGCCACATAAAAAACCCGTGGCCACCCCCCCAGGGCAGATGTATCTCTTCAGAGACCCAAGGCAAGCTGACTGAAGCCAAAGGCTTGGGAGCCACCACCGCCCTGGCCACGGCAACGCACACAGCCCCCCCCGACATCACTCCCAAGGGGTTCCACAGGCCTGAGATTACATCACCCCGCGCTGCACATTCATTACCGTACACTGTACCTCAGTGCATGTTAATATGTGTCCTCAAATAATTGATGATGAGACAGCGGAATACGGTATTTCAAGATCCACGAATATCGTTCTGTGTTATTCCTACAACAGCAAGGATTCTGCAGACCTGCAATTTCATCATCCTCGGCATCATCTTAGAATGTGTATTTACTGCAGAGAAACAAATGGTAGAGGGTGGCGTTTTTAGTGAGCAGCGATCGTTCCTTTAGCAGAGATGGAGCGACGAAATCAACTCGTGTGGAGTCCCTACTGTAGGTGGATTATTGCTTTGCAAAACCATGAGAGGTGATGACACCTTGGGGGAGGCCTTCATCCCAGAATGGAGAAATGATGGCTGAGTGTGCTGTGCTGCGACGGAACTGTCCTCGGCTCGTATGAAACATCAGCTTTGTGGGAGGCTCAGAGCCAGCATCAAAGGCCCCTGCGGTGCCCTTTGTTGAGCAGTGTGCACGTGGCACACCGATTCTAGCACGAGCGAACGGCCATACGGAGTTTTGTCCGTGTCTTATAAATCAATACGCTAGCATCTCGAAGTAACAAAGGTAATGCTTCTAATCAGAGTATGCAAGTTAAAATGTTATCTGTCTCATGAATATGGTCGCAGGAAGCCAGATAAATATAAATATCACAAGTATAATCCAGTGACATTCTTCTCTGAGTCACGGTTGATAGGCAATAATATAACTATGCCACTTTCTGTCTAAAATGCGAGTACAGTCTATCTAAATGTTATTGTACAGCATCTTCAGATGCTCTGGCATTTAAACAATACAAATATATGTTTTGTCATATAAATATATAACAATGCAAAGTAGAAGGAATACATGTGCGTGACAAGAGGTGCCAAGTTGAACTCCGCTCTGTTCTGTAATGGGACTCGATTTGTTGTATACAAATTATCACCTACAGGGATTTTACTTACCTCTGGATGAGTTGATGTTGTTGTGGCTATTCACAGGGAAAATTGGTATCCTGGGACAAGATCATCATTGTGAAATGTTGTTTCGTTGGTAATTCCTTATCTTTGCCTTCCTTTGGTCAAACACACACCCTTAGTTTTAGCCAGCTATGCTTATATTAACCTATACATGGATACTGCTCGATTACAAAATATGCAATACCTGAAGGTGATATGAAATTAAGACAACATATTTTATTCACAATATATTCTGCTGATCAGAGACTATACAGATACAAAAGTTGTTATCAAAACTATCTGTGGACCATGCCTTTCTGCGTCCATTTTTCGAGCTGAAAACCATGGCTTACAAAAACCACTGCAAGCGCTTTGCTTTGTACAAAAAGGTGACATATTCAATCACACGAACCATATAAGAATATAATAATAGGGGTTTTCCCCTTTTTTCTGGCAACAAAACTGAAACCTTTTACAAGGAATCATGTGTGCATTAACCACAATACTTGCGGTCAAAATGCAAACAAAAAACGCACTATGATAATATATGCATTGTCCTGGAAACTGATTGATCCACACCAGGGACGGCTTTCTTTTGAGCCTCGAACCAATTGGTGCTAGACCAGAGGACGCCAAAAGGCGTACAGCTCAAAGACAATACACTATCAAAGTAATGAGGGTTCGGGGTAAGCATCGACATCATTAGACCTCCTTTGCCATGTAAGAATGTTTTACTCTTTCTGGCGATGAAACAGTTTCTGTTAAGATGTTAAAACAACAAACAGAAACCTTTAGCAAGGAATTATGTCTGCATTAACCATACTTCATACTTGTAGTGAACATGCAAACAAAAACATGCTCTGGTAATGTGTGCATTGTGTTTGAAACTGATTGGTCCACACCAGAGACAGCCGTGTTTATGGCCTAATTGCAAACTGTGTTTTAACATCTTAACACCTGTTTTATTACCAGAAAGGGTAAACCCTATTGTTATGTTTTGATACTGGCCTGAAAGGTCCCACATTATCAACCAGTCAATATTTAGAAATACTACCAAAGTTTTCACTTTGAGACAGTGCATGTGGCCAGTTTGAAATACCTAAGTACTCAAAGTTCTCAGACCAAGGACCCCACAGGTCACACCCCCGAGACCACGGTCGAGGTCAAGAGCAGAGCTGGTGTCTTTAAAGCAGCCTCGCGGCCTAGAACTGGTCTTGAGTACCCTTCCTGGCTAAAGTCCAACCTTTACATTGCTCAACGTACCTTCCCCCTCGATGGAGATGCGGATTCCCTGCTCCAGCTGGGAGATGCCTCTCCTATACCACTCCACTGCCTCCTCCTTACGGCCTGGCCCAATTACAACAAGGTAAGGAAGGTCAGCATGGCATGGCAAGAACGGAGCATGGGGATAATGGGCAGAGAAGAGGGAATTGGCAAGAAAAGGACATTTTGACAGAGAAAATGCATAAAGAATTGGAAGTTATGGAGAAAAGTGGAACATTGAGATAATGTGGCAAGGCAGGAGACAGGAATGGAATGTTAGTCAAAGTTAGCTCACAGGAAGTGTAAAGAATAGATCGATAGGAGACGGGAGAACGGAAACGTGGATGTAAAAACGCGTAGACAGATTTTCAGGAAGAGCAATTGAACATGCGAGATTGCACTATAATGCCAGTGCTGGAGAAATCCCGCATTCATATCCATGCAGTCATCTGGGATTAAACCAGGTTCTCTTGGATAACGACTGATATAATCTCAGGAAAGGCATCAAAGGCTACAGAAAATGCTTAATTTGGAATACTCCAGCTCAGAGGCCTGAAGACAATTAGTATAATAATAATATGCAATAGCATCACAGTATGATGTTCTTAACAGTATTTTTTATCCCAATGTAATGAACCTTGCATGTGCACTGATTAGGAAAACCATTCACAGGCTGACGCACAAGAGGGTCACTATAATGAGTCTCAGCCCTGCAGGGTTTCCTGAGAAATAGGATGCAACATTAAAACTGTATAAAACAGACATGTAAAGTAGGCCGTCACACTGCAATTCTGTGCCCTTAGGGGCCGTGAAACAAATGGATAATAGTGGAGTTTCAGCATATGAATGTGGGCAATCATGCTATCTGTATTTTTGGGATGTCCAGGAGGGAATCCTGGCAGCAGCGAACCACACTGACACTCCCCAGCACACATTCATAACATCAGGTGATTAGCACATTCTAGATTTGAAGTTTTCGGGACTGCAAGGATCCATATTCTTTGGTTATTTCGGTAAAGTCACGTGCTCTCAGCGTCCCTGTAGAGTTCGTCCTTCCTCTCCCCATTCGCCTCCTCCCTTTCCCTCCCCCTCTCTGACTTATTTAACTGCCCTAACTCTGGCCTATCTCCCACTTCAGTAAAAAAAATGTCTTGCTGTGGTTATCACACCTGATGATGATTGCTTGTGTTGCAATCGAAACGTCGTGATTAAATTTATTTTATCACCTACGTGACTTTACCGAAAGAACCAAAGAATATGGATTAGCACGTTGTGCTATGACAATAACAACCGGAGTTGGATTCCTGGTCATGGCTAGCATGAGCGGCGAGTGATATCTGAACTGACTCTTGGCTGACACTGTCCCTTCTCCAACTGCCACTGACAGGCAAGGTGAAGTATATTCAGATAAACTCCATGACTGCAAGGTGTAACGTGACCTCCATCCAGCAGTGGACTGACAAAGGGCTGTCAATTTTATATACATATATACATCACCTTTTTATTCAGTTTAAATGAGGTTCTGTTGTCAATACACTGGCATGGCCGATTGAGAGTGATGATGCAGCGGAGTGCCCAGCATGTGAACCAGTGTGGGGTGACATTCTGCTATCACGTGCTCGAGATACACTCCAACATGGTGTCACAGTGTGAGGGCATCTAGTAGTCTATTTTAACTAAGTGGTCGTTGTCAGAGAAGCAATTTCAGTTTTACACGTGTATATGTCTACTCCCTACTGTATGCTTAAGATGCAATAAAGTCTAAGATATTGTTAATAACAAGTCTACACTGCTTAAATCCATTTCCACACCTCCGATTAGCACGGTTGGCTACATACGGGGCGAAATAAGTTCAACATACATGCATTAAGTCACCTGTGATTAACCAAAGTTGAAATTAAATCACCTGAGATGATATCAGGATATCATCTGTCGTAGGTCAACAACTTCAGTGTATTCATCACGTAAAATGTAAATTTTTACCTAATTTATCTAAGATTAATTATCGCAACTGTAATAACACAATGGTGGCATAACCAACTTCCATTTAAAAAAAAACCCGTTAAATTATGCGCTACATGGTGGGTGGTTGGGTCAGAGAAATATTTTCGGGAGTGACGTGGCGTAGTTCTTTGGGTCATCATCATCATCCTCAGGGACGTGCTGTGGTGGAGCAGACGCGGTGGCGTTGGGGGAAGAGGTGCTGAGTTGACAGTCGTGGAATCCAGAGCGGTTGCTTTGCAATGTGACCTAATCTTGATATCTCAATTATGATATGAATGTACACATAACTATAAGCTTCTTTGGACAAAAAGGATGAGTTTTGCTTAAAATGCAACACTCGCAATCCACTGGTCTACACACCATGATGTGGGGAATTTGTTAAATGTCGGTTAGCTCATGTGGAGTATTGTCTTTACCTGCCCCAACAGATGTAACCCCCCCCCAGCTAGATTTGCATCGGTGCAATTGAGCAATCAGATATCGAGGGCTATTCTGCTCATGTAGCTCAGTACACAATTTCATACACTCAGTACCTACTCTTTCGCATGACACTACTCGCACAATCTTGATTGATATCTCTGCAAATACGTTATAATCGTTATCTATTTACGACACACAACGCAAGTGCATTCTGAGAGTGTCCAGAACACATGAAATGAAAAACAATTAACAGGGATCGGGGTTTAAGTGCCTCGTTCAATTTCGCTGAATCAACTCATTCCTAGAGGGCTGTTTCATCTTAAGGAAACACTGCCCCAGCAACGCGCACAGTATGCAGGTTACGTAATGGGCTACATGGGAACACATATGGGAACACCCATCATCGTTAATCATCAAAATGCACACCCACCATATTTTATAGCGAGTCTCAACCTCCGCACCACTCCCGCCTTACTTCAATAACTGATCATTTCAACTGATCCCCAAAATCACAGATTGAACCACGCTATCACCGAACCCCAGAAATTAGACACTTCTAGATTTGAAGCTTTCGTGACTGCAAGGATCCATACTCTTTGGTTCTATTCGGTAAAGTCACGTTATTTTTACCTACGTGACTTTACCGAATAGAACCGAAGAGTATTAGACACTTCACTTATCCACAATGCCTCACAGCCACACAATGCCCACCACCTGACTCAGCCCATTTTGACAATATCCAACACCTTCCACGAATTCGAAACTCAATGTGCAGCACCATCACATGAACCGCGTGACACGTACACCAATACCTAACGCTGTGCTTCAACCCGCCAAATCTAGACGTGCAATATTCCTTTTGGAGCCTTGTACTCGTTCTCGGCAATATTGCTACTGTATTTTTATTTAATTTTTGTTGCTGTTGTGCTTACGCACCACGGATCCCCCCTTGTAAAATCACCTGACAACTGGCTGGGATCATCCCTGTTACAAATCAAATAAACTCAAACATAGTTTAACCACAAGCTTGTTCTCTTCGCACCCATGCCGAGGGATATCAAACCATGCCCAGCCCTGCTGCCGCTCGGCCACACGACCTCATGACCCACGGACGCGCTGCCGTTGCCACCCGCGCCCTCTCACTGCGACCCACCTTTGTCTTCCTCGTCAATCTTGAGCGCAGCCGAGATGCACTCGAACGCGTTTTTGTGGTGGGCATGCAGGCGCTGGGTGGCGTCTTCGGGCCGCTGCCCCTCCTGGCGCTGCTCCCTCTGCCCATCATGGGCCTGCCCTTCCTCTGCCTGCCCCTGCTCCGCCTGCCCTTCGGGTTGCGGCTCGGCACGCCGTGCGTGCAGGTCGCCCAAGCGCTCGCATACGTAGGCGATGAGCAGCCACAGATGGAAGGCGAGGAACCTGAGCACTCCGAACAAAGCGAGCAGCGGGTATGAGAAGTTGTGGAGGTTGCGCTTGTGCAGGGACACCCTGTCGGGCTTGGAGCCGCTCCCGACGCTTCCACCTCCCCCTCCTCCACCACCACTGCCGCCGGTGGCCCCGGTGGCCCCGGATCGGCTCGGCCGGTGTGGCCCCTTCCTCTTTTTGTTTCCCTTGCCGGCGGCCGAGGGATGCATTCACTCGGCGGGATGGGCAGGCTCGGGCATAACACTTCCACTGCGCCGGGAAGGCCGTGGACAAAGAAAAGCCCAGCACAATGGGTGAGCGTGTAATGGGCAGCAGTGGGCAGCAGCAGAAGGCTGCGGACAGTAAACGGCTGCAGTGTCTGGGGGCAGCGGACCTGGTTCAGCACCGCGGACAGCAGCTACACAGGGCAGGCGGGCGAGTCCATTCGCTTCCGGGGGTTGGGGGGGAGTCTTCGTGGTCGCTGCTATAGCTCATATACTGTAATTTACCGAAGAAAAACCGTGATGACAAATACACACCCCGTCACATGTATTCGCATGACCCGAGCCAAATAATGGGGTTTTATTGTTGTTTATGATGACGCAATTATTATTTAATGATATCATATTATTGTTTTTAATGTTTGAATTGTGCACGCGTTCCGAAAGTAAAGAGCCGTATCTTAAACATAAATCAGTAATACAATAATATAAAATGTCGAATATCATTCCGCATAACCAATACAGTATATGCATTTAGAATGACAGTATAGAAATACTCTTTGGTTCTATTCGGTAAAGTCACGTAGGTAAAAAGTTAAACAACAAAAAACACGACGTTTCGGCCACAACACAAGTGGCCTTCATCAGGTGAAGAGACCATACTGTCCAGAGGACAGCGTCGGGTGGTGGACTCAAAAGAATTCTCTCATCAAAACGTTATACCACAGGGCTCATTGCATTTCGGACCAACACCACCTGACCAGTGAATTAAAACATGTACATCTGGCCCTCAAGAGAAACGGATACTCTGACCGTACCATCCGCCAAGCTGTTTCTCCCTCCATACAGAAACAACCACTTGATACTCCGATCAAAACCATCACACTACCATATATAACAGGCGTTACTAAAAATATCTCCAAAATTCTAAACAAACACAAGATCCTGGTCCGGTTCAATACAGTACACAAAATCCGTGACCTGATCCCATCCGTGAAGGATGTCATTCCTGACTTACAGTACCCCGGTGTTTACAAATTGATCTGCACCTGTGGTGATTGCTATATCGGGGAGACGAAACGACATGTCTCTGACCGAATTCGCGAGCACAAATCAGATTTGAAACACGGCAGAACGAATTCTTCTGCCGTAGCTGACCACTGTTACAACGCTGTGGGTGATCACGATATAGTTTTCTCCGATACCAAGGTCCTCTGTAAACTCACGGGTTTTTATCAGAGATTTGTCTACGAGGCAATTCAGATTTACAAACACAGACACAATTTCAACCGAGAAGACGATTTCAAATTAAGCAAATAAAGCAATCAAAAGATGTTCTAAATCATACCAAACATTAAACTAATTTTCAATGGTACAGTTTATTTATTCAAGTAGTGGTATACCAAAGTTTCACAGCAGCTTATTTCCCTTCACACCAACATTTGTAAACTCCCCCCCCCCCCGTGCCTGTCCTCTACGTGCTTTACGGTCATTTTATGCTAATTCCTTTGTCAAAGCGTTTTGTTTCCTCCCACACAGCTTAAAGGACGCGACCTGGGCTTGGTTGTATTCACTCCCACGCTGTCCTCTGGACAGTACGGTCCCTTCACCTGATGTGAAGGCCACTTGTGTTGTGGCCGAAACGTCGTGATTTTTGTTGTTTTATATTTTTTACCTACGTGACTTTACCGAATAGAACCAAAGAGTATAGATCCTTGCAGTCACGAAAGCTTCAAATCTAGTATAGAAATAATTAATGACGCTGTTTGCGCGTGTGAACAGACGTTAAAATACATGTAATTAAAGGCGTATTATTGATTTATATTTGTTCGTATATATCGCCTGTACATGAGCCCACGAAGATTGTTTGCGCACCCTCTTGCGGTTGAGTTCAATACTGATTACCTTTCTCATTGACACTGCAAGCGGACGAATCAGATGATTTGTGCTGTGTCACGGGCAGTGCGGTCGAAACACCAGGCTCTTCATACTCCGGGTGTGGAATGGCGTTCAGGTCTGTGGCCAGCCCCAACTCAGTAAACATGGAACGCTGGGCCAACATTGGGCCAACGTGGGTCCAACCACATGCCAACGTTCACCCAAAGTGTTCATGTTTACTCGAGAATACAAGAGTGTAAATTCCGACTTCAAATAGTGAGGGCCATGTGTAATAAGGCATGACCAAGAGATGCATCCTGAAAATAATTTGGTTGAAATAATTACAGCTAATGTAGCGCCTTTCATAAAATCTCGAGCCAATTTTCATAAATGGGGGGGAGGGCTGAGTTAAAATAGCAAATGCCTTCTGAAAGAGAAATGTGTTTAGGCAGGACGTAAAGATCCCGACCGAACCGAATTCTCTGACAGCCTTCGGCAGAGAGTTCCACAATCTGCAGGTGCCACAGAAGTGGAGGCCAGATCGCCCATGGACTTGAGGATCAATCTGGGGATACAGAGGAGATCCAAGTCCACCGACCTCAGAGTTATTGTTGGAACGTAGGGACGCAGCAAATCCCAGATATGTGGAGGTGCGAGATCATTCAGGGCCTCGAATATGAGGACCTTGAATTCAATCCTGAATTTAAGCGGAAACCAGTGAAGGTGAAGTAATAGCGTTTTTTTTTAGTTAGATCGTGTAAGTATAAATGTGTCGTTAATGTAGTCATATAACTTACAGTGGATATCTATGTTATTGGCTTGGTTATTCACAGTTCATTAATATGTACGTTATGTATGTACATCCTTCTGTTTGCATCACAGTGAAGTGATGCAAGAATGTAAGGTTACGCATAAACGTACACATAAACAAATCGCTCACAGCATTTGCCCCATCAGTCTTTGAATGCTATGGAGGATATTTGTATTTTATGTGTAACCGTGTGGGGGATGAGCGGTGGCGCTGTGATCAGGACAATCAAAGACACAAGAGGTAAACATCAAGAGAGAGATCGCGTAGAGACAGGGAAACAGAGAGACAAATAAACTGAGTCATATTTTTTATAGAGATATGGAGACGTAAAGACATAGACTGAGAGATTATGGACAGATCAATGGAGACACAGACTCAGAGAGATACTGTGCGTTAACTTGGTCCAACCACATGCCAACGTTCGGGGCTAATCCGACTGCGGCGTGGGTCACCGCGTTGCCTTCAATCTAAGGCGGTAGTACTACATCAGGACACCGTCACATCCAAGCGCGTGGGGCCCCCATAGCGCGGGCCCGGGGCGGTCGCCCTGATTCGCCCTACTCTGGGGACGGCTCTGCTGATGAGTCATGATGAGGAGGAAACCGGTCGATATAGTTCTCTCTATCACTGCCGCATCTCAGCCGGTCGCTCGCGTCTGCCTGAAACGAACCCGATTGTAACCTGATACCCAAAAAAATATATTACAGTTCTTTAGGAACTGTTTATGTTTTTGTTGCATCGTGCACAGAGGGTGAACATGCATGCTGCATGACAAGCCACTCCGTTCAGCCATCATTTGTGGCCAGGTCACTTCTGAAAAAAGAGGCTAATAAGTTCAGCGCGCTGCACCTGGTAAAATACAAAATAAACAAAGTGATTTGTTTACCTTGACTACACTTTGTCCTCCTATCGTGTTTTTTTGTCTCGTTTGTTGCTCCAGCCGTCTGAATACGTGCCCCTACTGGACATCTGTGAAATAAAAAAAGAGCTTCATAGCTCATCGGATTCCTCCTCCTCCTCGTGCTGCTGCTGCTGCGGTCGAAGTCGCGAACAGTCACGAGGGGCGTGACGCGACTCTGTCGCGTCACCGCAGTGAGGCGAAGAGAGAGGAAGCGAGAGGCGAGACGAGAGTGGCGGTGGTGGTGTTGTGCTTGTTGGTGCTGTTGTTGGTGGTGGTGGTGGTGGGGATCCCTCTTCTCACTCGCCTCCCATCTCCTCGCTGACAGCCACGGGAGACACCAGCGAGGAGACACGCGGAGAGTCATGGGGCACACGGCGCGGATGATGGCGTTTGTGGCGGCGGCGGCGGTGGTGGTGGCGGTGGCGTCCGAGGCCCCCGAGCTCGCCTCGGCTGTGTGGGACTCCCAGCGCGGGCTCGCCGTGGTGCGAGGCATCGATCCGGGGGCCCTGGCCTGGGCCAACTTCACTGACAGAATCTCCAGCACGGGGTGCGTGTGGCATCACCATCATCGACAACAACAATATTGACACTGACATCATTTATTCCATTACCGTCATCACCACCACCACGCATATCATTTTTGCAGCCGTCATGAATAATACCATCAACATCACTCATCATTGATACCATCATCACAGCCATCGGCACACACATCACGATTGCAACTACATACTGTATACTCACAGACATTACTATCATCATTGAGACCATATCATTCATCATCATTGCTACAAGTTTAAAATATACCGTATCTTAATACGCTGTGCAAAACATTGAGAGATGGGCACCATTATGAAAGGAAACTTGTTAAATTAACAAAGCAAAAGAGACCGTCAGAGACAATGAGGAAGCTCACAGCCATCAAGCATCACGTGGTCACCAACATCATCGAAGCATCATTACGGCTACTTGACTCTCATCAGCATAGCCATCATAACATTCATTACTTTCATCATCGTCGTCACTATTATCATCACTGAAATGTCGTGTGATATTGTAAACACTCTACATTGATATGAATCTTGCACGGTTTAACCACACACCTATTAATAAGTGGATGTTTCTCAGCTCTCAACTCAAAATTGTAGAGTCGAGCCAACTCATCATACCTGAAAAGTCGATAAAATAGCACTTTGTGGGTAGTCAAGTGGTGGGCTTATGAAGAGTCTGCCGCCTGCCAAGAGAATTTGGAATTGTCACCACTGGCTGAGGGCCACGAAGATTCGCACCACTTATAATTTGTCTGAGTGGACACGCTGCTAATGTTTGAACAATTCCAAGGCAATAGACCAAACGGGCAGGATTTGAGAAGTAAGAATTGCTGACAGCGATGTCTTCAGCTGTAAACATTGACAGGACAAACTGCAGTGTAAGCTCGATCACGCGGCTCTTCTCTGATCTTTGTTTTGCAGCTGGTCTCACCTGACTCTTGCCACAAATGAGAAGTATGACGACGCCTTACAAGCCTACGCTGCCGGTGTGCTGGAGGCCAACGTGACGAGCAAGGTCCAGCACGTGCACAATATACAAAGACCCTCTCATAAGCATACATGCGAGTTCTGTTATTATCAGGAACTAACTTTAGGCTGAACCATCGTAGGGGAGGCACACAACTGGCTCAGATATCACTTGTGACTAATGTTAGCCATATCCGGGAATCTGAGTGAAGTGCTTTAACCACTACACCACCGCTCCCCACACGTGTATACACATGGGTGCACAAAATTACTAAAGACCGATGCTCATGGATTCACACTTGCCTTGTCGGCCTGCATGCAATATTCATATCATAGTATTTGCCCCTTTTTAATGTGCACCAAATAGCACATTTACTTTCAAACTGGGAATAAAGCTGAGTAGCCTGGGGTTTTAAGGAGGAATTGGAAAAGCCCAATGACTCGTGAAACAAACTACCAGCCTCCCTGATAGTCTCTCTGCCCTCACATCTCAGTGCTGTGATTGTCTCCACCTCTCTCCATGTGGTTTGGTGCTCATAGCAGGCTTTCTCTGTTTTATGTGGTTTATAACATTACATATCATATTCTGCAGTGGGAATTGCATATATTTGATGATACAAATGGTTTACTTCACTGTAGATTCTTGGACCTGTTTTGGTTCGAACATTCCATCAACTGGATCAATTTAAATATCGCACTCACTATCTTAAAGCTCCTCCATGGACTCGTCTTGCCTACTTTCCTCTTATCTCACTCTACTGTTCACCATGCACCTTTGCTGAAGCAACCGTGGTTTTATGTAGAAGCCCTCATTCAACTTTCACTCAGTGAAAGGTCACTCATTCTTATTTGCTGACCCAAATGTCTATAACTCCCTTCCCAAAACCATCAGTGCTGTCAACTCCCTGCCCCTGGGTCAAGTCCAGGCTTAAGGCCATTTTTCCTCTGCCTATAACTGACTTCTCCTCTATATACAGTAATGTGCTCACTATTTCTGTACACGGTCTTGAGATGTAGTCACATTTTTATGCTATATAAATCCATACAGACTTCAATTCCACTTTCGAAACAAATTACTCCATGACATTTGGCAGCTTTTGACATGTACTTGTTAAATATATAACTTGCGTGCGTGTGCATGTTCGGTTGAATGGATGCTGCAGTACATTAAGCTGCAATGGCAGAACACGATGGAAGGATATTGTGCCAAGGGCTCGCAGGAGTCGGCCTACTGTGGCAGGCTGGAGGGCTTCCTCAAGGACAACCTCGACTGGATGAATGCACAGATCGAAGCAGAGCCAGAGAATCCACTTTGGCACCAGGTGATGTTTGTGAAATGTAGTGATGTTAAATACACTGCAGTTATCATGGCTGTACTATGAGTGGGACTCTTATGAGGTACAATAGAAAATGGTTGATGTTTTCACACGTCAAATTTAAATAATGTTCAATAGAAGGCATGCTTCTGTAAAAATGACACGTGTACCTATTCATCTGCAACGCAGACCTGGGAATTTGACGAGATAGCTTACCATACTTCACCATTCTGCTCAGTGCGAGTTGCTGCAAGTGTGTCCAGGACCAGTTCATATGTCTCGAGCCATCGGGTTCATAGTGCAGTGCACTAGCCAATGCATCACCACTTAATCCTCTTTTATTAATCACTTTTTGTGTTGTGACTTTTATTGCATTGATAATTTGCTACTAATTAAAATTGTTTTTACAATATGAGCAAATATATTTTGTTGCTAAAATTATTATTTTCTGTTTATATTTTAAAACATTACCTTAAATTGGACCGTCCGTTTACATGTGAACAATGAACGTGTACAAGCCAGGCAGTTGGATAATGTTAGAGATGTAACAAAACGACTCACCAGTTAATCAGTCAGATTAAATAACATTTATTACCGATTTTGACACGTTTTCAGGAGACTCAACATATTTAATCTATTTATGAACTTAAGATACTGGGGAATATGAACCGATAGTTTAGAAATGCTTTTGCTGTGATGTCATCTATATCCCGCCTTGTTGCCTGACAAGTTGAGAGCTCACATACACGGTACATATTGCTTAATTCACCAACCGTGCCTTACAGCCACTGGATTACAGGCATCTGCCATCATATTCCCAGCTTGGAATAAGGGTTTAGTTCACACATTTGATTACAGGAGTAATTCTTCATGCAGTCACTTACCAGGTTGTACACATTCAGCTTCTGTCAATCACCCTAGTATTACTCATATACACCTTGGTACTGCCCTGTCCGTTGTCATTACTTATGTTCCCAGGTGCGGCTGGCCTTACTGCAGTTCAAGGGCATCGAGGATGGCATGAGTGGGAATATCGCCCTCCCCACCGGGAGAATAGACATCTCTCTCTTTGGATTCTAGTATGTAAACTCATCTGGCGATATAGCCATTCCTGAATTCATCTCTTTCTTGGACTACACTCAACCAAAGCCTTTCCAGGGTAGATGGCTGAATTGCGTAGAAACATGCATAGCTACTACGAGAATACTACGGATGCTTTGCTCCTACATCTTGGAGAAAAAAAAGATTCTTCCTCTGGTGCTGCTTCAGGAGTCTTCATGCAGTGGAAATGAAGGCTGCCTTGTACAGGCAAAATAAATCACCTACCCTGGCATAGTTTGGCCAGCTTACTGAATGAAGCTCTTTAGCATAGTAAGGTTGATGACAGGCACTTTCACCTACTTTGAGCTATAGGATAGTGGTGGGATCAGTCATCTAGACTGGATAAACAAACTGCCCTGGCTATCTTAGGTTTACCAAACATTTAATTTGTGGTCATCAACCCACAAGAAGTACTAGGACTCAATACTGATGCATACGGTTTTTTTTAATTTATTGACATTGGCCACACAATCACACTGTCTTCAATTGAGATTGTGACCTTTCTCCCACTCACGTGTTCTTACAAAATATTGTCAAAGTGATATTAATAAGTTAAATCAGACAATGTGAGTTGGTTACTAATCTAAGACAATTATATGTTTATTAAACTATAAGCATTTACATATGTTTTGCAATCACTGCTACACACATTTGAAAATGGCATGAGAATCAGAATCTTTATTTAGACTGGAAGAATCCAATGAGCTATGAAGCTCTTTTTCACGGATGTTGAGTAGTCCATTATACTGATGCCGATGTGTTGGTTTTAAATCAAAATGTGTTTTTACTGAATTATGGTATTCAGGTGAACATGGTAAGCATGTGAATATGGTATTCACGGGAATATATTGTCACATTTAAACTAGTGTATGTGTTTGTGCCCATACAGCTTGGGCCAAATTGCCACCGATTTGGGAGATTTGGAGCAAGTTCTCAACAAGACTGCCGCAACACAGAATCCTGCCTCTGGAATGGAATATGGTCGTGGTCCGGTGGGGAAGGGCCACTGCTCCGCCCTGATCAGGCTACTGCCAAACGGACAGGACTTGCTGACGTCACATGTGACTTGGGGGGCCTATCAGAGCATGCTGAGGATCGTTAAGAATTACCAACTTGCGTTTCACACCACACCCAAGGGTACGCATGCGTGGACACGCACATGTATAGTTGCAAACGTATCTCGGTAAACTTTGTTGGTGAGCATAATTGAAAGTAAGACGTGCCATGATTTTATGCCACGTCTTATGTGTACTTAATGAAATATCGGGGTGACTCTCATCTTTATTGATGGCCATGAGCCAGTAGTGGACATTCCCCATTCCTATAACACGGGCGAGATTGTATATAGTTTCTTCACAGTTGACTACCGCAAAAGATTTGAACTCGCCATCTTCCAATTTTGTTGCATGTTCTAACAGCTGTGGTCATACAAATGTGAGTTCACTCTACATTGAGAGATTTTGTCTCAATCACTTTTTTTTTGCAGAACTCATGGTGATCTGTATTACATTTTCCGTCTAACAAATAAACATTGATTTATTTTAAAAAATGGAATCTTGCATTCCTGTCATGTTAAGCAAGTTTTAAGCTGATTCGGGCCTCTCTCTGTTACCGTTTCAGGTCAGCAGGTGATCCCTGGCCACGAGCAAGCCTTCAGCTCCTACCCTGGTGTCACCTTCTCCATCGATGATTTTTACATCCTAAGCAGTGGACTGGTGTGTGCCTCTAGACATTCACATGTACAGATATATGCCAGTGTATATTTGACATGGGGACCTTTCCAGTGTATGCTGGGTATCTGTAAGAATTACTGAAAAGTCAGACATATACGGAGAGGTGCATGGCAACATGTACAAGCGTGCATGCATATTAGTATGTAGGGTTTATCTGGTTTTTCCCTCCACATTATAAACATTCTTTTAGAGTATTTGGCTGCTATTAATTACCACGTGATAAGCCACTTCGTTGAGTTATCATTTGTTGGTAGGTCGCTTCTGAAAAATAACTATATAGCTACCTGATAAAATAAAAAAATAGTTTAATCAGTATGCACATGCATTCTCAGCATATTAAAGGTACCTTTTTAAACGTTTTGCTTGGATTTTTGTTGTAAGTATTACGTTTTATAAATACAAACAATCTGCAAATGTACATGTCAGCAGATGGACAAAGACATGCTTGTATGTAAATACCAATACCTGCCATTCGCCATAAAGTGACGGTGACATCACCACGGCACCTGCGCATGTAAATACCTGTCACACATTCACACACATGTACTTTGGATGCACCTATAAATTAAGTAGTCATACTTCACCTATTAATTCATCTACAAATTAAACCGCTATGGTCGTATATGTAGCACACACATGAGGGAGTCAATCAGGGAAACAATGATGGTTTTGTGAGAGAGCAGTGAGTGAAGACCTCACGATATGCCATTTGCTGTATCCACTTATTGTTATCGATTAAAGGTCTGCGGGTAATTCACAGTATAGTTCCACATGTGTTCACGTGTGCAGGTTGTGCTGGAGACTACGATTGAAAACAACAACCCTGAGCTGTGGCACCTAGTCCAGCCAAAGGGGCAACTTTTGGAGTGGTTGCGTAACGTGGTGGCCAACCGACTGGCGACGTCTGGCCAACATTGGGCAGAAACATTCAGACAGCACAATAGCGGCACGTAAGTGAATGCACTGAAGCATGTCTACATGTGTGTATTTAGTAGAGGCAAGGTTGTGCACATTAGTGCACTGCATTAAGCTTCAGAAGTGGCTTGGTGATTTAAGAGTCGGAGCACTGAGCCGGTACTGCTGAAATCGAGTGTTGAAATCCGTGCAGCCACTTGCGATTACACCTGGAATGGAATATTTGCCTGGAATGTTACGGTAGCATTTCTAAAGGAGCATTCTGATAATTTGGAGCATTCTGAAACATAATTCTTAAGATGAAAGTTGTCTGTCTGGTGTATGGGCCCATATTTGTTAGCAGCCCTGAGCCATTGGAAATTCCATAGTCCCATGGAGGTGATCAGTTTCTTCATAGGACAACTGCTCTTGACTTCCCATGAAGTAGTACTTAATTTATCAACCCCAGAGAGATGATAGGTTGAGTCATCCTCCTACTGAGGTTTGAACTCTTAAACATCGTTTTGAAACAAGTCATGTGTTTCAGTAACACCTGGATGAATTTCGATGTATTTATGTATTAAATGTAGCATAAACATATAAACAATGACTCTATTTTACACGTTATCTTTTTGAAAGTTGTAAAAGAGACTCATGTTATGGTTTCATTATGACATTCATTGTGTATATACACGTCGCAACGTATACACTGCTGTGAGCATATAGCACGTAAAAAGGTTTTCAAATGTATTTCATACTTATCACAAAAATGCTGAGCTCCATTGAAACACAATATGTGTAATACAATGTTTATATGCCAGTTTCATTACAGAATTCAATTGAAAACTATTGTAAATCATCCAATTAATGTGGTGTGTTTTATAATGTTGGTACAGTAATTTTAACACAGTAAAGCGTGTAATGAGGTTCCTTGTGGCATGCTATTAAATCACTAAAATACAAGCCGCCCTCCGTTATCTCAATTTGATTTACCAAACGCTATCAATAATGTAATATGTTTTATAGACACGACTGTGTGTTTCAATCTGTAAATGAGCACTTGAAAAAACTGTAATGTTAAATCACGGTGTTTCCATGCGTACACAGGGAGTGGGTTATCATTTATATCCTAGCCTGGCGTGTACTTGATTCTGGTAAGAACCACGTACCAGTCGCACGACCGTGAATGGCTCTGAATAATTATAGTCAAACAAGCAATGGGGCTGCGTTCACCACCATTGGCGGGGCTGCATTCACCACCACTGGCAGGCCAGAAATGGTGGCGGTGAGTGACGTTCCACAGTAGTACTGCTTTAGATGGCCCCAAAGACTTGGGCTTAAATGATTCCCAGTCGGAGTTAAATTTGTAACATTCCACATGTACGTCTTGCGGACAGAGCTAACGATTCGGATATAAATGCTTGTGTCAAATATTCAGCCAGGCCTTAGCAAAGACTGAAAATCGACTTTCAGTCTCATGTCAGGCTGTTGGAACAAAAGTGTTTGAGTCTTGGAATCCATTTTGCACAACTACAGCGCATTGATTATGATTTATTATTGTTTTTCAGGTACAACAATGAGTGGATGGTTGTTGACTACAAGCGTTTTGCTACTGGATCATCAAAATCGAGCAGTGGAATCTTGACCGTACTTGAACAGATGCCGTCAGTAACCTTTTATTTACGTTTACTCAAACCAGCGCTACGCTTGTCTTATGGGGACTGGCCCCTGCCATGAGAAGTAGAATTTCCACAGTGGCTCGGGCCAACAAGAGATATTTGAACAACCTCTTTGCTCTTTTGCGTTGAGAGATGTTTTTTTTCAATTGACAAATACATAAGGAGATTAAATAATAGCATGCCATTTATCCTCCCTTTGAACCCGGCCCATAGCCATAGCCCTTTCTCTCGAATGGAAATGCACTGCAGAATATTCCATGCCACCTCCACTTTGCTTTAATAGCACCCAGGCAGTATTCCTGTCAAGGAAAGATGGATGAACATATCATTCTAACTCACTGTGCTGAATACCAAAGTCTCGCATATAATCCTGTATGGTCTGCATGTGTGTGCTCCACAGGGGCCTGGTGGTGTCATCAGACCTGACGGATGTCCTTTACAAAGAACAATACTGGGCAAGCTACAACATCCCGTGAGCATACGCTGGGCATACCATAACCCACCCTCTTTCGGGCTGGACATAGAGTACAGAACTGCTGCTTAAATGTGTAGCGGCATCGTTGAGTGCTGTACGCGATAGCCCTTGCCACTACTTGTAGCCTCGAGTCAACAGGGAGCAGAAGGGAGTCTAAGGGTGATGAGTCAGGCCGTTGGGCTAAGGTAAACGTAAGGCAACTCGGGACCACAGGTACAAATCCCCAGACCCCCAGGAAGGGGGCTGGGGGATAACGTCACTCCTCAGGCCCTTCCAGACGGTTCCAGAAGGGAGGAGTGGCCAGGGGCGGAGTGAGCCGGAGACGAGTATAAAAGACGGTCCCCTGAACGGGACGGGGAGTCGTCGCTCACCTCAAGACTCAAGAGCCACCCTGGAGCTGCCACCTTCAAGACCCGAAGCGAAGAGCCCAAAGGGCTGAAGCCGAACCCCTGGCTAGGGTCGGGCCAGAAGCTTAACCAGTGAAGAGGCTACAGCATAGCCAGTGTTAGGCAGGCTAGCCTGAGGGAATACCTCCCTAAGTATCGGGTGGAAGGGGCCGTACCCCTTTGTCTTATTGTTACGTTATAATAAACGTGCTACCTCCAGAAGAGAGAAGTCTCCGCACGTTTTATACCCACTACAAATGCTTCATTATGCATGGCTTTTCTTAATACCCTTCATAAGTTTAAGATCTACGAAACTCTAGTTGTCATGATCATTTTTGCTGGTATATGCCTTTAATCTGGAATTTTGGTGGTGGGGTTGATGGATCATGTCGAGTTTGGTGTGTGTGAGACAACCTGCAGGGATTTGAGGTGATCTGAAGATGGCAGGACAGCAATTACGTTAGAAGGCAATATTGAATGTATGCAATTGCACCTCATATAACAATGTAAAAATATAATGAGGGGGCTGCACATTGAGAGGTACCAAAAGAGGAGTTTCTTTGTAGGTGTTGTGATACATGCATGTAATACAGTGCTTTAGAGGCAGAATCGTTAATTTTATAGTATTAAGCACCGTTGTGTATTAATTCATTTTGCCAGAATGTACCTTAACATACGTCATTGCTTGTATTACTTGCTTTTGATGGATACATCTTTAAAAAAAAATGTATCTAGGTACTGGGTAACTACACTGAGAAGCTAATTGATGTCAATTACATTTGCAGCTACTTCCAGAAGATCTGGAATGTGTCTGACCAGCAGGCCTTGGTGGACAAGTTCGGAGACTGGTTTGACCATGACCGCTGCCCACGTGCTCAGATTTTCCGCCGAGATGTCCACACAGTCACCGACCTTCCCTCCATGGTGCACCTCATGAGGTGGGGGTTTCGAAGACGACGCGGGCGTACTCGTATTTAGTAGCTCAGCTCCTGCTCGACATAGAGTGCCGAGTCATCATCACCAAAATCATCCTGGGTGTAAATCTCGGAAGTCACCAACGTTCTCAAGTGTAGCATTTGATGGTCTTAGCCTTGTGTTGCCAACAGCAGTGACTACATAAAAAATACATGTTCCACTGAATTTCACCTACCTTAGAGGTTTTCTAAATGTTTTGACCCAAGATCATCTTTCAAGCAGCTGACTACATCACAAAGTGGGGATAGGTAGGGATAAAATAAATAAGATGATCTACAAGTACAATTGTACTTTGCCTCGGCATCCGTTGTCGAGTAAGCGAGGTCTATTCAAGTGACTCAACAAGAGATATGGGAAAACGGATTGAAGATGTAGAAAGGAAAAAAAACTAAGAAATAACCATCCTAAGTGGGTGTTGTAAATTACTTTGGCCGGTGATGTTGGCCAAGAAGGAGGATACAAACTATGGTTGACATTCAGCATTGTAGCAAAGCCATGGAAGCTGTGATTTACAGGAGCATAGTGTCATCTGAATCTGTTTTCGTTCGTGTGTGCATGTGTATTTATGCATGTTGTTTGCAGGTACAACAACTTCATGAATGACCCACTGTCGGCGTGCAAGGGCTGTGTGCCAGGACAGAACGCAGAGTTTGCCATCGCAGCGCGCTGTGACCTGAACCCAGCCAATGGAACCTATCCCTGTGACATGTTGCAACAGCGCAGCCATGGGGCCACTGACATGAAGGTCAGTGGAATACCGCTCTCTTCCAGATAACGTATTCATTCAGGCGGTGGGATAGAGCACTGAATATCATTAGTATGTCCTTAACTTATTGTAATTAACTTAACTACCGCGTATACAATACAAGATATACAGAATACATTTAATTAAGTTTCTGATCTAAAATTAGCAGGAACTCAAAATATATCAAAACATATAAAAGTATGTAAAATATTCCTTTAGTTACTGTTGTAAGATTGTCGTAAATTTTAGTCTGGAAAATTAATAGCATTCACCGTTATTAAAAAGCACAACTTTATTAATTTGAAACTGTAATCTTCAGTTTAACACGTAGGCTTTTGCGACCAATATTATTCATAATAAAGCTTTTTGGGTTAGATCGCATAAGTATAAATGTGTCGTAACCTTCCACCACCCAACACAGCCAATTAGTAAGGGATTTGTCACGTAAACAAAACGCCAATTAGTTACTACTTCAGCCGACCGGTGTGTTAGAGAGGAAATCCACATCATTTACAATTTGAGTACGACGTTTCACTAGTAATTACATCCAGCATCATATACATATAGTCTTGTTTTTCATTCGACATGCTTGTAATGTGTTGAGAAAGCAATGTGCTAACATGCAATACTTCTGTTTGCAGATCACGAGCAAGGCGATGGTGCCACGGTTGGAAATGGTGGCCCAGAGTGGTCCCACATGGGACCAGCAGCCTCCCTTCCAGTGGAGCAAGTCTCCCTTCTCCAGCCTCTCCCATGTTGGGCAGCCAGACCTGTGGTCCTTCTTACCTGAGCACATCAGCTGGTGCAAACACTCAGGCCAGTAAGAGCAGTGTTGCCAGATTAGAGTAAATTCTCACTCTGCAGATTAAAACTAGTTTTAAATTTAGATTTACGGAATTCACAATGTTTGGATTTTAGGAATTTGATTCTGGGTTTTAGGCCAGTGCAAGCAGGTGTGGTCTTAATGTATACACACCTTTAGGGACCAGGCTGGTAGTATCATCATGGTCAGAGCAAAAACAGCCAGGGATATTATATTATTTTCTAATCCATGTCTGTAATGATCTTAAGTGTCTTTGTTAGTAAAAGTTGAGTCATCTGTAAACCCATAAACATGACGTGAAAGTAAACGAAAACAGTACCAGCTGTGACTACGTTACTGCACGAGTGACGTTTCTTCTGTAGTATAAAAAGCAGCCGTAACAGCAGGGCCAGTGTAGGCCACCAGGTGGCAGGCACAGATCACAACTGACCCTTGTAACTCAGCCAACCATATCAAACTTGCATTCCCTCCCATTTTCTGTTTATTTCTCACACTTATTATACCAAAAATATAATGACGCATTCATAGTCTTCATCTTTATTTTGAGGTGTAAGTCATTGCAGTCTTTTTAATATATCAGTGTTCTTCACTCATTTTCAAAGGGGGGGGGGGGCACTTTCGCCGATAGGACATCATCAGTGTGAGGGCCGCCACACGTTTGAAACCATTGGGGTTTGACAGCAGCACGATGATGATGGGGGTGGTTTTCACTCATAGTGTATTGTCGGGAGCCACACGTCAGGGGCTGCACTAAAGGAGGCCACCAGGGGCCGCTAGTCGCCCGCGGGCCTTGCAATGAGGAAGAACACTGCTTTAGATAAAGTAATTGTGAGCAAATGTTATAACTATGGACAGTGCATCTTGTACTTTTTGCAGAAGGCTAATATTATTTACATAATGCTGTCAAATTAGATGTAACAAATTATGCCAATGGATAAGTGCCTGATCTATCTTGTGGAATTTTAGTTTTCACCAGGTGTACATTTTATGAACAGATGCCTATGCAGTGTAAAAGTATTTGTTGTAGTCTCCAGCCCTTGGCCAGTCCACTGATGGATATAGGCCTCTGCCCGCTGTGAGGGTTTGATCATACTTTACCATGCTCGTAATTATGGGTTCAATGGGGGGGAGGGCCTAGGAACAGTTCAGATATCACTTGCCACTGATGTGAGCCATTTCCATAATTAAAACCCAGGTTATTGGTTAATAATACACTGTGAACTACTGTGCCACTGCTCCCACCCGAAGTATTCAAATGTACCTCAATATAAAGGAGAATTCAGTTTCTCTTTATAGCCAACGTATAGTCCCCCCCATTGTTAGATGTCTTACAGGTAAAAATCTTCACAGTTTCACCCTTGACTTAAGTTGTTAAATGTGTGGCTAAGTTATACCTCCATATAGTGGATGTAATTCAAGCCCATAAATAACTGCCTGATGCCATATAAGTACTGAAATTGTGAACAAAATAAAAGATGATACCAAAGGTGCATATACTTAATTAATCGGTAATTAAAAATGGACATGAACCACTTTAACAAGGCAATTGTCATATATTTGATACAGTACTTTTTGCACTTTAGTTCTTTTTACTTCAAATGAGAACGATGGTAAATGAAAAATAATAACATCACATTGAATGCTTGTGTATGCCGATTAATAAAAGCTGATTGCCTGCAGTGAGTTTGTTTTGACGATTGCTAATGACGATTTCATTAAATAAAACCTCTGGATAGGTGGCAAAGACGATACAAGGGACCTGAACGGTGTTGTCAGTCTTACAAATGCAGACGAGGTTTGGACAGCGCATGGCCATATAAGAATATATGTCCGAGTTAACGGCTTCTGATTGGTTGAGGCGTCCCTAAAAGTATAAATTTTATTCCAAATAAGTAATATAAAAAAAACTTTATGAAATGTACCGTACTAGTAATGTCAGAACTCCACGACTCCAGGAAGTGTCCCCGAAGCTTGCCACAACGTAAGGGGCCCGTGGTGATTTACAGCCAACGTGAGTTGAGCGTGGACAATTAGAGCCAAGCCGAAACATAACAAATATAAAAAAGATTGTTTAAAAATATATTTTTAATGATAGAATATAGTATTGTCATCAGTATGACATAAGTATGCCAAGTTTGCAGTCGATACCACATTTGGAAGTGGGTTAATATTGAGTTACAAGATTTGACGATACACCAACAGTGAGTTAAATAAAGTCGTGTAATAATAAATACTGAAGCGAATGTAAGCTCCTTTAGCATCTTCTTGTATGGGGTTCTTTTTTTTAAATACACTGGCTAGTTTCGTAACGTGTCCTCTTTTATAAAAAAATATATATTTCACAGCATTTGTTTTATTATTTTATTATTTCCCTTCTACGCGACTTTACCGAAAGAACCATGAATATGTTACGGCATGCATCAGATCAGCGAGCCATGCATTTAAACAATGTCGAGATGTCAGACCATGCAGATGAATAAGTAGAAGAACGATGATGGACGGATGTGTTCACAATGCAGTAGAGAGACGATAGATTTATTCAGAGTGATAGGACATCAATGTGTCCGGAGGTGATTCAAGGCAGGAGATGTATTCAGAAGATATGGAAGAGGAACGGGAGAGATGTGTGAGATAATGTATGTGGCTATACTGTACTGAAATATTGCCACTCGTATGATTGTTTGATTTTGCGTGAAATCATTACGTTCATAGACATTTACAATTGTACTATTTTCTGAATTATCCGGCTAAAAAAAAACAAATATTTACCGTTCATGATTTGGCCAGATCACAACGCACCACTGCACGGGTGGCTGAATCCAGGTGACATGCACCGGTGTGGGGCAAAAGCTGTGAGCGCCCGACTCTATAAAGGACTCAGCTCATCATCACTGCGGGGGGCGATAAAACACGGTACCGCTTTGTGGGAGGGGCATCTTAAATTATACATACAGTACACATATATACTGCATTGCATAGCCACCTCTCTTACAGGTTCGCAAAGGTTGATGAGCGCCGCTCAGCCACTGTTAGTGCGAGTCGGGAGACCGACGTTTCGGTGTCCAACCTGGCAGAGCGTCGTGTTTTAATGTTCCACACGCTGCAAGGGGGTTGCGTTGTCAGCTGCTGTAGTCATACCACAATGCCTCATCCAGCAGTGGAGTGTATTATCGCGTTGTTTTGCGTTACAAACTCCCAAATCGCGCGTACGGTTGCTGTAATTGTCGCGGCGGTGGTGGTGGGGGTTGGGTGGGAGAGGTTCGCGAGTTTTCATTCCCCGGGCTACGGCCGACATCCGAACCAGGTCCCCCTCGGCTCCCGCCTTCGTGAACCAGCGAGGTGAAGTATGTCACAAACAACCCCGGGGGCGGCCGGCACCGCGCCTCGCGCTGGGGCCCTCGGGCCGGCAGCTCGCGGCCCCAGCGCCGGGCCGACGCCGTTACGGAGTTACCGCCGCTCAACCGGACAGGTGCGGCCCGCTCACCACCTCCACCACCACCTGCACCACCACCACCACCTGCACCACCACCACCTGCACCACCACCTGGACCACCGCCACCACCTCCACCACCACCACCACCTGGACCACCACCACCACCACCTGGACCACCACCACCACCACCTGGACCACCACCACCACCTGGACCACCACCACCACCTGGACCACCACCACCACCTGGACCACCACCACCACCTGGACCACCACCACCACCTGGACCACCACCACCTGCACCACCACCTCCACCACCACCTGCACCACCTCCACCACCACCTGCACCACCACCTCCACCACCACCACCTGCACCACCACCACCTGCACCACCACCACCTGCACCACCACCTGCACCACCACCTCCACCACCACCTGCACCACCACCACCTCCACTACCACCTGCACCACCACCTGGACCACCGCCACCACCTCCTATACCACCACCACCACCTGCACCTCCACCACCACCACCACCTCCACCACCTGCACCACCACCACCTCCACCACCACCTGCACCACCACCTGCACCACCACCACCAGACCTACACACAAGCTCGAACCACGACTACTCTTAAAAACAACTCACCCATCTGAACATGCCCACGGCCAACCACTACCGACGGGCAACCCCGCGTTAGTTGTAAAAAGGGAGTCCACACGAGCCGTCTTGATCTGTCGTTGTTGTCGTTGTCGTTGTTACGTTAAACTCCCGAAACGAACACTTGGAGCACAGGGCAGGCACAGCACTGACGCTTGCAGGGCACGAACGCCTATTGCTTATTCATAATAGTCAACTTAGTGCCGCGTTAGTTTTATTATTCCCGAAGCCGCTAGCTCTCGTCCCACATCTACGTCGATGTCTGCCTTCTGTAACTATTTCCCTGGGCTTGGCCTCTACAGCAACACTGAACGCGCCCCCTGCTCATCCTACCCAGCCCCGCCTACCATTCTATACTACCTACACCTGCTGTTGGGCCCACAGCTAATTAGCTTAACTATATACACACCTACCTACATAACATAATTACATACATAACATAATTACCCTACGTATTCCTGCCACCTACTTACCTGCTTACCCGACCTACATACACCCCTCTCTACCTACTGACTCGGGCATGCTTATTCACCTAACTACACCTGCATACAAACCTGCACTTATCTATCGACATATAATAAACTTTTTATTATTAATGAAAGCCTTAATTAGTATTATATTTGCAATACTGTACAGTTTTTTTTTTCTCATGTGATCGTTATTTTTGTTCCGCTTTTGGTCACCCAAGTCACTTTCAAATGAAAATATATCCTGGCCTCTGGATGTCTCACCTGGTTAAACAAAATAAACGTCATACTCAGGTTCATTTTGCATGTTTCAACAATTACCTTTGGGTTTCGAAGAAAACTAGTGCCCATATAAAGATGCATATGATGGGAAACACCCATATACAGTATCATACGATACCCTGTCAGAAGCGTATAGTATTGGCTATACTGCCTCCTTCCAGCAGATGAGGGTATTTTTCACATGATCACGCCACCTCTAAGGTTACCAACTTGGAGATGAGTCTCCAAGTTGGTGAATTAAAGCCATGTGCCACCACACTTGGCCATATTGTTTTCCACCAATTCCCAAATACTGTAATCCCAAGTGACGTCTCTGCTCTCTGTTGCCAGAGTCCCCTGCCTACCGCCACTTCACTCCTGCCTGCATGGAGCCCTTTTCCTCGCTGCTGCTGTCGGACAGAATTTGGGTGCCCCATGCCTACCGCTGGGACAAGCTGGACTGCACGTGCCACCTGATTGCGGTGCGAGCCGGACACCTCAACTCTCTGCTGGAGATTGTGTACGCAGAGGCAGAGTCTGGGACCGAACGTGGGTCCCAGGCAGAGTCTTCCTGCGCCACACCGGCTGCTACTGCCGACACTGGCTCTTGTGTCGAGCTCAGCCGTGGTCTGAGCGTCGTAGCTGAGGCTGGCACTGATGGCAATGCCATGAATAAGGATGTCAAGAAAGAGAAGAACTGCTGCTGCTGTTGGTGAGTTTGTTCTTGCGTGTTCATGCTTCACTTGTGCAATGTATGTCTTTTTGGGAATTAACCTAATAATAACTCAACGCTTCATCAATAACACTACAAATAAAATAATCTTTATATAACGGATCACATTTTTGGCATTGTCCCTTTTGTTCTATGAAGAAAGGGTAAAGCCCAAAATGTCAAATATTTCCTCTTTAGGACAGTATTTTTGGTGAGTGGATTGAGTTTTTGTTATTTGTTCTCGTGCATTCTTGCCATTGCAGTATAACATTAACAAATAATAATAATTGTCTTGATGAAAACCTCACTAAGTCTCAAAACTTGTTCAGGTGGGCTTTGCTTGGTATTTTGGGCCAATTCCTCCTTGAAATATTTTAGGCTTGGAAGAAAACTGGAGCGCCTTGAGAAAAATGAATGGTTAATACTCAAAAATGTGTACAGAAATGTCAACAACCAACTAACTGTATTGCCATCTGCATGCCATCTCACTGGCCTATGGGTGCGACTATCTCATGCAGGATAAACATCCACTGACCCACACCTCCAAAGTATTGTATTACAGGCATGCACAATCTTGAATATCAGAAACGAGAGACAGGTGTGTCAGAAAGTGGGAGTTGCTGCTCACGAATAAGCATGTACAGGCAGTCCCCGACTTACGAATGCCTGACTTACGAAAATTCGCACTTACGAACGAGCTTCCGTAAGATGTCTATTTTGTAACCATCCGACTTGTGAACGTGAACTCGCATATGCGAACCCAACCGCGGAACTATTTACAGTGTGACATGCAAATGTACAACATTGATTCTTATTTATGAGTGGAACAATGCTTCCATTTTTTGTTGAACAGTAACATTTTTATAACACTAACCGGATGTGCGTTTAAATGCAGTACATTCTTGTGTTCTAACTTACAAACCGTTCGGCTTACAACATCCTGTATTTTTATAACGCCTAATTTGTATTGCGTCTAACTGCGACACATCTCTAAATGCGACCAGATTTAAATTGCATCTAAATGTGACTACATCTCAAGATGTTGTACATAAACAGTGGGATTTTTCTTGTAGTTATAGGGAAATAACTGGTTCTATTTATTGTCCCCTCAGTATGGGATTTTACAATGTCTGCAAAATTGATGGGTTTTTTCATACTGTGCTCCTGATTGCATTGTTGGCAGCGTCAGCACAAATGAAGATGATAACAGTGCTCCACCAATCAACAGCACGGAGAAAGAGGATACCACCATCAGCACTCAGACGGAAAGAGAGATTTTCAAACATTGCTGCCAAATAGAGAGAAATGATCAAAACATAATCAAAAACCCTGCCGTTGCTAGAGATGCTGAGAGTAATACGAAGCAAGTGCTTCCAGGCTGCATAATGCAAAATAAACGTAATCATACGGATGTCACTTATCCCATATACAAACTGAAGGGTAATGACCAGAGTCAAAACACCACCAATCTGCAAGGTGGAAACATTGACACGAAAGAGTTTTGCAGTTCCAGCAGTTTCCAAGCAGCAGAGAAAGCAAATGTCCCAAACTATCCAATTTTCAAGACTGGGACAGATGTAAACCTTGAACAGAGTTGGTGGAAGACTGACAAAGCGCTGCACCGTCTCTGGTTAGTAAAACTCAAAGCAGCACAACGCAGCACCCTGGAAGGATCAGACCTTGAGAAAATGGAGAGAGCCAGAATTGCATGGGAAGCAGCAGAGGTGTCTATGAAAGGGTCAGAGTGTGTTCCACGAGTGACAGGGACTGGGTATAATGCAGTTGTGCCTTCGATAAGATGGTCAGATTATGTGGAGAAATCGGAAAAGCTGACAAAAGATGTGAGCCTTGCAAAGAAACAAGAGGAACATGAAAAGGAATTCAAAGTTGGAAAATTAAGAGAAGAAACTGACCAAAAAGATGAGGAGACCAGACTGGAAGAGGATGAGTCTATGATGCAGCAGGACAGCCTTGATCGCCTGTTCCAGATGATGGACTGCTACTCCAGCTTACCTATAATGCAGGTATGCTTTGTCCAAAAGCTTTGTTTGCTGATGTGCAGGAATTAGTGAATGTGGTTGAACCTATTCTTTCCTTGCCCATCTACTTAACGTCCCATTTGATGTTGAGCTTATTTTAACATTTGTAATACACAGTGATGGGTTCATTTATATTATTGTTCCAACGTTTTATTGAGAAACAACTCTGAAGGAAAAAATACATTAAAATTAAGATGTGTACAATCATACGAACATACCAGGAGAGATGCATTTGGCGAGATTGGCAAGATAACATGCACTGTAGTTATAATGCGTTGAATACTGTAATGTAATGTGGGTAGAGCGCACGATTCTATGAAAGTTAAAAAGTTACTATTCTGTCTTTCTGGTTCAATTGTTGAAATAAGCGATGGTTGTCTTACAGGTGACTGACATCCACCAGAGAAATGTGTAATGCTCAAAATAAATGTTATGACCATGAACCAAGATGAGAATCGAGGAAGATAAAATCGATTTTCTTTTTAAACAGATAAGGGAGGTTGCAAGATAAATGAATCAAATTATTCTTTCATATGGCTGATGCAGAGCAACAACTACAATTTCACATTCAGTCTGGCCCTGAAGAGGGCCCATTGGCGTGGCTTGTGTTGTTGCTCTGGAGATGGGGAGATCGATGATCAATGTTCGGTCGCCGCGTTGATGGCAATCGTGCTGATTTCTTACTTAACAGAGTGGGCTGCGTGAAGGTTGCCATCTTCCACTCCATGAATACATTTGAAGAAATATTTCAGATAATAAGACATGGATGTTTTTTGTTTATAAGCTTAACAATGTTTATTAGTGATATTGTGTTTCTAGGATGAGATCTCTCCACTATATCACATGTAAGAAGAGGTTCCCCAAAGTTATTTTGAATACTAGCAAATCGGAAGCAGTCTTGGAAATCATCTCGAACCTGAAACTAAACATTATGGTGATGTAATAGTGATGTTGAAATGCTGATTTGCTACACAGGAAAACACAACATCTGGAGAGACAGGAGGTGATACAATGAGAGTTGGGACCTCTGCTGATGGAGGTGAGTGAAGTAACCTCTTTGGGTTTGAAACACTGGATATGTGTGTCATTTGAGAGCAGCAAGGCCATGGAAAACATGAGAGTCCACAGATATAGAGAGACCAGCAGTGACAGGACAGAGGCACCACTAGTTTTGTATAGTGTGTATTCATGTACAAGTTTCCTTTAGAAAATAACAGATATTGACAGATTTGGTTTTATTTGTAATCTGAATGACCATTGGAAGGTTGAATGAAATTGGTTGACATTTCAAGGAAAATGTATGAGAATTCACGAGGTTGACCAACACGTTGTGCCTCTGAAAGTTACACATTTGGGTAATCACTGGGTTATTGCTCATTATGTGATGCCATTAAATATTAATTTCCCATATTGGAATGTTTTTTGTATGCTAAATTTAATTAAAATTGTTTAAATATTCATTTTCATAATGTCATTAAACTCAATTATCTCAATGATTCACATGTTTGACTTTCTATTTAGCTTTAACATTTGTGGATAAATATCTGGCTGGTTGGTGCTGTGACCGAACAACTGACTCAATCATCCCTCCAATAAAAATGAATACTGGAGATTAATGATGAAATGCATCACTCCCCCCTATTTAAGATTGCAGTTATGATATTAATAGAAAGATGTTCGCTGCATTGGTGATGAGTAACATTTTCACAGCACACCTTAGAGGTTCAAGTGTCGACGATGCAACAGTTTTATAACCTAGAAGGACTTAAGTAATTAACAAGACTCCTAAGTCATAAAAGTGGGAGTACACATGGTGCGTGGTGTTCGGTATGTAGTTGCATTGTGTGGTATGTTATAGAATGCTGGCACGTTCCCAATAGTGCATGGTGTGTCCCACAGACAAGCCCAATAAAGTGGAGGCAGGATGCAAGGGGAATGAGCCATACTCGAATGGCAACCGCTCAGTCAAGGTGCAGGTAAGATTACCACAATATTGAAATAATGCACAAGTTTGGTTTGTTAGAAGCAAATAAAATAAAACTTTAAAACATGTAGACAATATACTATAAAAACAAATATTATACAACTATTTTCCCTATATATAGATACAATTTTAATGAAGTACACTAATTCCACGATAAGAAAATTCCATTATGGCGTATTCGGAACAGTATACATCATATTCTTTGTTCTTTCGGTAAAGTCACGTTGAAGGGAAACAATAAAATAATATATATAACAATAACATTCTCACGACGTTTCTACTGTAACGCAAACAGTCATCATCAGGTGTGAAAAACCAACGGCAAGAAACATTTGAAAGAAGTGGCGGTTTGTATTTATTTATTTTTAAACGTTAGCACCACGGATAGCGATTTGACAGTTTGTTTAGAAGGACGAGTCCATCTATGTTCGGAAAAGAGGAGGGGGGAGACGAAAAATTAATGCTGTCTGAAAGCCACCGTAAGCGTCTTAATTGATTGTTCACGCTTACGGTGGCTTTCAGACAGCATACATTAATTTTTCGTCTCCCCCCTCCTCTTTTCCGAACATAGATGGACTCGTCCTTCTAAACAAACTGCCAAATCGCTATCCGTGGTGCTAACGTTTTAAAAATTAAATAAAAACAAACCGCCACTTCTTTCAAATGTTTCTTGCCGTTGGTTTTTCACACCTGATGATGACTGTTTGCGTTACAGTCGAAACGTCGTGAGAATTTTATTGTTTTATATATATTATTATTTTATTGTTTCCCTTCAACGTGACTTTACCGAAAGAACAAAGAATATGAATCACTGCAGTCACGAAAGCTTTAAATCAAAAGTATACATCATATTTAGATGTTTTGTCCTGTAAACCCAAATGGAATTGTATTCTCATGATGATTCTTGTATATATGTGAGTACTGTAAAACACTGGACAAACTAAATAACGAGGGTAAAATTATTGATAGACTTTGCATACAATTATGAAATGTATTCACCAATGTGGCATCATCGACATTTACAGCATCACAAACGTCAACACCATCATGAGCATCACTATTCCTTTCAATATTACTGCTATAACTCAAACAATGTCACCTCCAGCATAGTTAACTGCTGTGCTTATTATTATAATTACTTCATCCAGCGTGATTTTTTTTCGACAGGCTCCTGTTTATGGTTCCCCATGTGCCACCACGTCCCAGCGCCTCTACCAGTGGATGCCATTCAACCAGTCCACCTGTATCCAGACCGTCTACCTGTCTCAATCACTCTACGGCACCCTCGTCTACCACCCGTCGATGCTCACTGTGCCCAGATACCCCATGGGCAGTGGCAAATTGGCATTCACCTCCTTTAGCCAAATGCAGTATGTGGTGCCAGGCCAGGTGCCACCCACACGAAGTGGATGCATGCAGTCTGTCAGAAATTGGCAGGAGCAGTGTGCACCATACAACAACGTGGTCTATCAACCAACTGGCTGTAACCAGAAGCAGGGAAATGTTGTTTTCTCACCATACATTAGAGATGCGTGGATCAGAGGTACTAGACCATAGCAGTTGTTGGGTACCTCTACATGGAAAGATGGACCCTGCAGACCTGATTAAGGTTACACAATTAAGAACATTGTCATCTGTGCAGGCTAGAACAGGACTTCTCCATAAAAGAGGAATGTATTACATTCAGTGGTTACTTCAATGAGTGAAAGTTGTATTGATGTAATTTATCTGCCCATTAAAGAAGGGAAATGTGAGTAATTTTCTCAATTGCATTTGGCTATGGTGGGGAGCCCAACAGATATGTAGTGGAGACCGTGCTCTGATCGGATTTTCTCATGAGTAATTCATGTCCACATCTTATATGTAGGTAGCTATTTGGAATATCCTGAAGCCTACACCAGCCTAGCTCATGGTGGTCACCAGGAACAATCGAAGCCACCATATGTGCAGCCCACTCAGTGTGGAGAATGTTACTGGAGAAAAACCTATTTAACTTACGTTCACCAAAGTCACCTTCACTGGTCACTTGTATTAAATACAGATAAACCAATTTTCCTACTCCTGGTACACCTCATAGCCACAATTATTCAATTTTGAGTACTGTACACTGTGGAGGAAATTCCAGTACCTAATAATTAAATATAACATTGTTTCTTCTAAATACTCTCCCTGGATGTCTGGTTACTGAGCTGAGTGACCCTGTGGCTTAAACTGAAAAACGGCTGTAATGCTGAACTTGGTTTACTACTTTAAGCCCTGAAATATATATGCGCACAATTGATCAGTCTTCACTATTTTACTGTTTTCAGCTGACCTTCCAGCTGTTATTTTGTTTAAGAATTTGAACATGACAAACGTTTTTGTGTAATTCGTTCATATTAATGGTTTTTTTGCCATTATACTGTATAACCAATCTAAATTCCCGAAGATATAGTAATTTTGAGCATAATCTTCGTGAGTGTATCTCCTTGTACGACTCCTTTTCTGATTTGTACTTTGCTTAAATATTAGTACAGACTAAAGATGACATTTCCTTCTTTGGCAATCGTTTTACAATTTTCATATTTTTAAGGTAACGGAGTGGCTGGATTGGTTTCCACTTCGTAAAATAAAAGTTTTTAAAACATGTTTCAGTCCTATTGCCAATTCATTTCTGGATGGCTTTCGCATGCCATGTCAGTAAAAATGATTGTTTGACCATACTTCACGATGTTGGGCAGCCCAGGACCGATATCACTCGTGTAATGTGGGTGATGACCGGCAAATACTCTCAATTCCCCGAGTTTATAATGCAGTGCACTAATCACTGTGCCACTGCTCCACCAAGTTGACTCCGAGGAAGGCAGTTTCATGATTAAAAGGCAAGCAATCGAATACTCCGGCATTTCAATGACTCGTTGATGGCAAGTGGTCAATAGGATAAAAAAAAATCTAAATATTGCTTGTCAGTGTTCTTCACTCATTTTCAGAGGGGGGCCACTTTCGCCGATGAGACATCAGTGAGGGCCGCCACACCACTCTTTGCGTATTGTCGGGGGCCACACTAAAGGCCACCAGTGGCCTTGCAATAAAGAACACTGCTTGTATGCTTAATTGGCATCCAGCAATTGTGTTTCCTGTGATCTTCATTACATGATTTTGGAGGCTGTATCTACATTTCTTGAAACTACTTATTCATTGCCCTTTAAACATGACGGATGAGGTATTAGTGTGCAATCATATATTCAAATGGTCTGGTATTTTGGATTAAACAGCTACTCGTTTTCATGCCCACGTTCTATTTATTCTATCTGGTCCAGTTAACGGAGTACAGTATATAACGTATCTACTCAATTACAGGTAGACACGTGGAGCCGTTGACTTCTAGATTCCTGATTGAACATTCTTACTTTACATTATCTTGCACGTACGTTTTACACGTCTGACAATACTTCACCTCGATGGTCCATATGTCGGGTCAACGAAAGCGGGGAGCATAGCACTCATTTCAGTATAGTACAACACATCAACAGCTTATGCTGCAGTGCCATCTGCCGCCCAACAGTTCGCCCGGCATATATCGTTCAAATATATTTATGCCCATCACGCAATCTTTGCTTCTCCGTTAAATATATAATGTACGCGCCTGACGATTGCTTAACACACGGCACACGCGCGTGAGCTCCCCCTCTCCCCCCCGGTAAGATGGCCGCCCTTTTTGTACGCTGCGGGTGCATGTTCATGTCGTCACGTCCTGTCGTGCCGGGGGGGTCACGCGCGCTGTGGTGGTCGTAACTGTCACGTGGTAGTGGTGTTTGGCGGGAAAAGGTCTGCGTCGCGGCATGGAGGAGGAACGCATGGAGACGCATAGCGGGGACGCCTCTGAGCAGCCGGGGACCTCGGGGCTGGCGGCCACACCGCGGTCCCCAGGGACAGCCGGCGACAAGGAGGCGGCGGCGGGACCCGGGCGCGTGGGATACGAGCTGCCCTGGTGAGCGGGCACCGCCAATCCTAGCACACGTTATCCCCCTTACAGACCCAATTGTTGTCCATAACATTAACCCAAGTGTCATGCGTTACCGCAGTCATAATTTAAGCACTATCCCAACCCTGGCCTCATTCATACCAATTCGAAACCCCAATCATAATCCTGGCCCTAACCATAGCCACCGTGCATCTACTGTACCTCAAGTTGTATTGTTTCCCTTTTATAACCATTGGAAGGAGCGGTGGCGCAGCAGTTTGGTGAACCGCACTATTAATCCGGCTACCTGAGTTGAGCTCTTGACCACTGCTACTGTCTGTGACGAGTGACAATCTTACCCTGTCCTAACAGCCAGCATTGACCATCGTGGTGAAGTATGGCACCACCTCATCCAGCAGATTGACCTGAGGGCTGTACAGTACTTGTACATGCGTGTTTGTAGCCGTGGTACACGGGTGCTGATGTAACATTGTGCGTGCTAATAACATCGTGACGTGACCATGTGTAGGGTGGAAAAATACAGACCTCTCAAACTCAAGGAGATTGTCGGAAATGAGGAAACCGTGAGCCGCCTCGAGGTAAGACTGCGTACGCACTGTGTCTGGTGTGTTATAGGAATATCACATAGGTTATCAAACTTCAGTCGGAGTAGAAAATATTGACCTTAAAAAAATGTTCTGATGTTTTTCGTGTGCTTGCAGGTGTTTGCCAGGGAGGGAAATGTTCCAAACATCATTATTGCTGTTGAGTATAATTTTTTATTATGGTTTGTTTTCTGTTGAAGTAGTGTTTATAATGTAAGATTTGATTTAAGCCAGGCTCCCATCGGGGTCAACTGCAATCATTTCCATGAGGCTTGTGCTTGCACCGATGTGAGTGGTTGGTGTTATATACACGTGTGTGTGCTGGTATTAGGTTTGGTGTTTGACGTGAATTGTTTTAATGCGTGTTGAAAATAAACAAGCTGTGCAATCTTGACACTTGTGCATGCTAATTGGATCTGCTGGGCATGAATACATGCGTCACGTGGGTGTGCTTGTTTGACAATTGGTTGCAGTTGCATGACCTGTAGTTAATGAACAATGATGCATGCTCTGTGCATGCAGGGCTTGGCACATGTTCTTGTGTGTATGTTGAACGTCTTCTGCACCGTACGTAGCCAACCATGCTATTCACGTGTGCGGTGGGCATGTCACATGTCAGGCATACAATGTGCATAGCCTGGCCTGACACATCTGGAAACCAATTACCACTAGTTGTCGCAGCCTTATGCTATCAAAGCTTTTCCCACATGGCGTCGATAGATGCTATAAACCCTTCTACACAGAGAATGATAACAGCTGATGATCTGTTGTCCTCATCTCCTTTTACCATTATCCAAAACCCATTTAAAAAGGCTACTGAGCCCTTCTCTCTCGGTTCAGCCGACGTGCTTTGATGTATACTCTTTGGTTCTATTCGGTAAAGTCACGTAGGTAAAAATAAAATAACTTTACCGAATAGAACCAAAGAGTATGGATCCTTGCAGTCACGAAAGCTTCAAATCTAGAAGTGCTTTGATGTCTTATGTGGCTAATGGTTGATTGGTTTGTTGACACCTCCTTTCTTATGTCCTTCCTGGTTATATATAGCATAAGCCTCTGCTATCTATGCTTCAAATCAGTCTGTGAGCCTCTAAAGAAAGTACATTCGTGCTGGTTCATGTTCGGTTGAATGCAGGGCCCCCCTGGCACGGGCAAGACGACCAGCATCTTGTGCTTGGCACGGGCACTGCTGGGCCCAGCGGTGCGGGATGCTGTGCTGGAACTCAATGCCTCCAACGATCGGTGGGAGCGGTTTTACACTTGGTTGGGGTCAGAACAGGGGCAGCGCTTTTACACGGCCGTGTTGTGAGCACGCAAGTACGAACAAAGGGTTTGTCTTAAATCTAGATTTGAAGCTTTCGTGACTGCAAGGATCCATACTCTTTGGTTCTATTCGGTAAAGTCATGTAAAAGTATAAAACAACAAAAAAATTCACGACGTTTCGGCCACAACACAAGTGGCCTTCATCAGGTGAAGGAACCAGACTGTCTCGAGGACAGCGCTGAACACAGCCAAGCTCACACCGCGACCTTTAAGCTTGTGTGAGAGGAATTAAGGTGCCTTGACAAAGGGATTAGCATAAAAAATTAGCATTTAATTGGCGGACTTAGCATGATGAACGGTGTAGAGGGGGTGAACATGTGCAGACCAGCGAGGGGGGGAGGGGGAGTTTACATATTGATGGTGTGAAAAGGGAATTTAAGCAGCTGCAAAAGTTTGGGATACCACTACTTGAAAAAATATAGTGTACCATTGAAAATTAGTTTAATGTTTGGTTCGATTTAGAACATCTTTTGTTGTTTTATACTTTTACGTGACTTTACCGAATAGAACCAAAGGGTTTGTCTTAATTTGAAGCTTTCGTGACTGCAGGAATCCATACTTTCAAAGAGTAAAGGGTTTGTCCTTAATTGTTCTCTCGTGCATGTTGAACACGGAATTTTTGTTATGACTTTCAAAACTTTTGCAACATAATGATGAGCATGGTTGGCTACGTACGGTGTGAAAGAAGCTCTACATACGTACATTGGTTGCTACTTTGGATTTTATGTTCACGTGTGTACGTATAAGGTGTGGTACACTCAGACCTGGGGTCAATAACAATTGCAATTGTCATTTTTGTATTGTATCAAAATGTAATTGCAAATTGCAACTAGGATTGCTCCTGTAACTATATTTGACCCCAGGTCGGTAGAGCAGAGATACTTACTCTTGCGTGCAGATGTCTGATACGTATCACAACTCGTTTATCAGCTCGCACACACATATCAAGTGCACACCCCGTACAGACCACACGATGCAAGGAACCTGTCTACCATGTATGTATCCCTCATTATGCACACGCTTTTGAAGAAAATCTAAATGTGCATCACGTATGCAGATCATGGTTACCTTGATTAATAGTTAATATTGAGGACAGTTTTACTCGCATTATTTGGTAATTGTAGATAACATTAATGCTGCTGATAAACCGCAGTTGCAACAAGTAGTTAGTTGTGGTTGGTAATTTTGAAAAAGAAAAACATGCTAAGATTTTAAATAGTTATGACACACCACCATGGGAGACACATAGATAATACCTTGTGGCTTCTTCTAGTTACCAGATTCAGTGTTTGTGATACTCTAATGTGTACGCAGGGGTATAGACGTGGTGCGTAACAAGATCAAGATGTTCGCGCAGCAGAAAGTAACACTGCCTCGTGGCCGGCACAAGATCATCATCCTGGATGAGGCTGATAGGTAGGGAGTGTGATGTGCTAGAACGTCTGTGTTGTACACTCTTACGTTAACATTACGTGTATTTGTCTGTTAGGATGGATGTTGGGCTATATGAGACAGTGATTTTCATGATTTTGTGGTACAAATTTGAAATTGCGTTGTGTTACTGTTGTGGCCTCTATTTTAGAATGTATTACTTAATGGGAAGCATTACTTGATGAACTGGGTCTCATCATAGGAAGGAGGAATTTGCACCATTGCCCTCTGCTTGCCCACTTTGGGATAGAACAAGAATTGGAATAGGTGACAAAGCTTTTGCCGTTGCAGAACCAACATTTTGGAACAACCTTCTATCATCTCTTAACATCGTAAATCTTAAAAAAAATATTCTGAAGTGGAAGATCACATTGGCAAATGTGATTTGTAACTTTGATATACTTACCCATGTCTCTATAGTTAAATGTGAATGTGCCATTTGATTGAGGTATTGTGTGCTGTCTTGGTGTTGTCTGGATTGTTGTTTTTGCTGCCGTGCCCAAACTTGATAAATCAGACATATATTTTTTATGACTTGCTTACACCTTTATCTATTTTGCACTCCTATAGTTTTCTCTATTGTTTGCTATTGTAACTTGCCGACTCGTCCAAACTGGACATCTGTGAAAAAGAGCTTCATAGCTTGTCGGATTCCTCCAGTCTAAATAAAGATTTTGATTCTGACATTGTTGTATTAAAATGACGCTATATTAAATAACTTTTGGCATTTATCTCTATGATGGGCATGCGTAGAAGGCATTGGTTAAGTGTCCACTCAGTGAGTTGCGTTCCTCTGTGTCTGCGTCCCCTCCACTGCGTGAAGCATGACCGACGGAGCTCAGCAGGCACTACGGCGCACCATGGAGATCTACAGCAAAAGCACACGCTTCGCTCTTGCGTGCAACGCCTCCGACAAGATCATTGGTGACTGTGCGAGCACTTTGATGGGCGCAGTGGGAGAGTTGTGGTCATTGAGCCACGTTGCATTTCCGCTAAATTGATTTCACATTTTGGATGTAAATGTCCTGTAGTGGTTGTTATCATCACGTACCTTGGAGCTTTCTTTAGCTTGAGTATGTGATGTGATGCATCAAATACCAGTTTTGGGAAATCAAACACGGCTTGTCTGTCGTGCCAATCCCACAGTGGTTTTGTGATATCGGCTGTACATAATGTATAATTTGGGTTTATATGGTTTTAAAATGTGACCGCAACTCTAAACTTTGTTCAAAGTCGGGAATGCACTTTAGGTCACGGGATCTTGGTTGAGAGGCTTGTAGGGATGCTTGAGCGGTGGGAAATGGAAAGGAGTGTTAATGGAGAAGTCACTTGTCAAAGGCAGAGGAGAAAAGGAAATAAGTATTATTGATCACTGACACCACCTTCAGGTTTAACCATGATAAATTTTACAGAGTGCCCACCCACAATCAGGTCGTGAATTTAAATCCCAGTGGGAGAGTAACTTTACCAAGAATTGCTCCCACCAGGTTACATAAAATCAGTATAACTGGAAAGTGTCCAGTGGTTATACTTGGAATGGGTCCGTGCCATGGAAATATGGAATATCCTGCTCTGGCTGAAGGCCACAAATGGATGAGCACTGCTGCATGTTTGTTCGTGTTGTTAGATTTTACGTGTACGTGTACATGGATATCTCCAGCACATGGCATGCATATGCACCTTTTTACTTGTTCGTCTTGTAATTATTTACTTCCCTCGATTTTACAAAACAATACATTGCAATCACTATTTAGTTCAATAAATATATTTCTGCCATTGTGATTATTATCATTGGAGGGTTTATGTGACCCCATCATATACAACATATATTCATTGAAAATAGTTGATTATCAAGATTTAATGTAGATATAACGTGCATCATTACATGCCAATTGTTTCTGTAACCAATTGTGTTTGTATTTTGCCCTTGTTCGGTACATGAGCTTGAGTATGCCCATGTGTGTACTGAGTATATTTGGTGTGTGTAGTTGTCTACTTAGTTAAGAGTTTTTCAGCTGGCAGCCTGCTGTCTAGATTTGGCCTGTGAAGCCTCCTGGAGTGGAGAGAGATATGGATCGCTAAGATATACTGAGATTTATATTTGAGAGATGAAAGTGAAATAAATTAAAGTGTGAGAGAGAGATATATATGAGAGACCTGAAGACTAGACCTACAGATTAGCAGTCAAATCTACAGACGTTTTGACCTCATTCATTCACTACACCATGTGATGTCAACGATCTGTACACCTGACACTGACATGACGTGACCCACCAGCACATGTTTTTCTTATTTTTTGCGTGCTGGAAAATAGTTCAAGATCCCGGTTTTCGTGTATGCAGTATGTGTGCATGAATAATCTATTTTATTGGTTTCCGACCGCCACTATGCCTAGAACCAATCCAGTCGCGCTGTGCGGTGCTGCGGTATTCTCGGCTGACGGACAGCCAGGTGCTGTCGCGCCTGCTGGAAGTGTGTGACCACGAGTGCGTGCAGCGCACGGACGACGGCTTGGAGGCCATCATCTTCACGGCACAGGGCGACATGAGGCAGGTTCGTCAGTGTTTGGGGGCTGTAAGAAGAAATGCACAATTTTTATTTCTTTGCACATTGTTCATGCCAAGGAATTATTCAATGATAATGCAAATTATATTGTTTTAAGATGATGAAAAAAACATGCAAGAGTGTTTTAAAGTTTTGAGTTTAAATCCCGATGGGGGAATCTAGTCGTCCCATCATCTCTCAGTCATTAAAATTCGTACCGCTTTATAGGACGTCAACAGTCATTCTACTTGAGGAAGGTGGACCCATGGCAAAGGAATTTAGGCGTTATATTACTGGCTGAGGGCAAGTAATAGAGATGTGCACTGCCCGACACTCGATTTAAAAGGGGATACTGTGAGTTTTGACTTATGTACGTCTCTTGTGTATGTGTCCACAGGCTCTGAACAATTTGCAGTCCACGCACACTGGGTTTGGATATGTCAACAGTGAAAATGTTTTCAAGGTGCACCCTCCCACCACCAACCCACAACCTTCACTGGTTTTCACTTGGCTTTCCCACTGCCTTGTACATTCACTCTCATAGAGCATCATAACACAAAGGTATCAAAGAGATGTCGTACAAAAGAAAATGCAAAGGAATTAAGTGAGTGATGTGAATTATTTTTTTATTAAGAAGTCATGCTTGCTTTACATTAGTACATCAATGTGTGGAGTGTTATACAACTTAAGGTAATCATGGCATCAAATTAATGTGATGTTTTGTATTTGTAGTGACAGTGGTGTGATTACTCGGTATGTGATGTGTCATCTTATTTGGTGTGTTATGATGTGACATGCTTAGGTGTGTGATGAGCCACATCCTCTGTTGGTGAAGGAAATGATTGGGCACTGTGTCAGCGGAAATATAGACCAGGCTTACAAGGTGGGTCACCAATGTATTGTATGAGTGCGTGCAATCATTGCATTAACAAAAAACATCCTCGCATTCAAACATTGTCCAGGGTTATTGAATGCTCGTTGTCCAGAGCCCACGGTGGGAATTTCACATTGGTGTAATTGTGAAAAGCCTGTTAGTTGGTTTACCACTGACCCTGGAGTAGGATAGCCTGAGTTATATGTGGTTGGGATATGAATTCTGCCTTATTTTGGCGAAATCCTGTTGCTTTACCACGTGATTTGTACCCTAGCAATAGTTATAATAATACTTTCAAGGGTAGAATGTTCTCATCCTATTTACTGACTCCACAGATCATGTCACATCTGTGGAAGCTGGGGTACTCACCCGAAGACATTATCGGCAACATATTCAGGGTTTGCAAGACCTACGCTATGGCTGAATACCTCAAGCTGGAATTCCTTAAGGTTTGTACAGGAGATATTGGCACATGGAAAGTAGGTTAAGAGATGATGGATGAATAGTTTTAATCGAGGTGGCTTTTGGACATGAGATGTGGAAAGTAGTGTCAGCCAAATGCTTGGCGAGGCGTTGAAAAAAAATCCCAAGGGAGAGATGGAGACAAAAGAATGCAACACAGAAATGGAGATAGATGAACAGGAGAACAGTAACATACAGTGTGAGACCGAGAGAGTGAAAGCGAAAAGGATACTGAGATACAGAAAGTGACTTGCCAGCTAATTTAGAACATACGCTAAAAAGACTACTTTTAGTTTAGCCATATATCCAATTAGGTATATGGCTGAAAATGTTAAAGTATGCAGTACACACAGTCGTAAGCCAGGATCCTGAAGTGCAATGTGTCTAGGTTCTGTGTTTGTGGCAAGTAATGTGTGCTTTTGTTGTGAACTAGATGCATGCATCAATGTGTCTTTGTGCATTCTACAGGAGATCGGGCTGACGCACATGCGCATCGTGGAAGGTGTCAACTCATTGTTACAGATGGCTGGACTACTTGCTCGTCTCTGCAACAAAACAGTTGCCCCTGCTGCCAGCTGATGGAAACACCAAGCAACAACATTGTCCTCAGAGTGACCGATGGCAGTGGGAAGCAGAGCCCATTGATTCTTGTATTCTATTTTGATCAATGATGCTCAATCAACAATAAGTATTGCCTTGGTCATCTGAAGTAAATTTACAAAGGGTGGGTTTGATCCCAAATAGTAAAAAGTAGCTGTATAAAATTGACTGCATGGCTATATGAAAAGCTTTACTGTGTGATAACATTTGTACATTATTGTTTCTAATCACATTTCATTTGCTTTATTTAGTAGTAGATGTTTAAGCTTTATCTACAGCCACAAACTAGCTGAATTGAATGTATTTTGCATTGAAATACAGTATACGGTCAAAGTTCAGTCATTTTCAAGTCATTTATTTATAAATAAAGAAATAAACTTCCATGTGAGTTATGCAATGTTATTTTATTTCAGTTCAGTCTTATAATGAGGTTAGAATGCACTATATTATAATACACTAGCTCTTGGTTCTTTCGGTAAAGTCACGTAGAATGGAAATAAAATAATTAAAATAAAATTCTCACGACGTTTCGGCCACAACACAAGTAGCCTTCAGGTGAAGGAACAGAACTGTCGGGACAACAGCGCTTCAGTGAACACTGCTAAGCTTGGAAGCGTATTTTAAGCTTGTTGGGAGGAGCAGAGCACCTTGACAAAGGAGTTTACATATCAACAGAAGAATTTAGCATTGAACCGTCAGTGTAATGTAGAAAAAGTTTTGTTGGAAACATCAATATAATGCATAATGTTAGAGCTTACATTGGGCTGTGTATACGATATTATACAATGTAGTTTAGATTGGAAGGTATAACATTGTAATGTATAGTAGTCTAGTTTATAGCATAGTTGTAGCGCAACACAGGGCAGAGCAGCGCATCGTGGCTGTTTCCCCCCTCCTCGGTTCCGAGCATAGATGGACTCATCCGTCTGAACAAAGCTCGTCGCTTTCCATGGTGCTGACGTTGAAAAGAAACCACCCAGCTTAAAAGACGCTGCCAAGCTTAGCAGTGTTCATTGAAGCGCTGTCCCAACAGTTCTGTTCCTTCACCTGAAGAAGGCTACTTGTGTTGTGGCCGAAACATCGTGAGAATTTGTGTGTTTACATCTTAATGCACATAATTATTTATGTGAATGCATGCAGCTTGACTGGAAATGTTTGCATCTAGAAATGTAAAACTAACTCGAAATGGCTGGTGATAGACTTAACTGTGATATGTAGGTGTGGTTATGAAATGCAAATATAACAGTAAAGGTAATTATTTAATACTCATGGGTCTTTCGGTCAAGTCACGTAAATAAAAAATAATAGATCACGACGTTTCGATCGCAACACAAGCAATCATCTTCAGGTGAGAGAGAAAGCTGCTGAGACAAGGTCTTGTAAGCCTGAGATGGGTGCATCAAGGTAGGTGGGTGGAGCTAGGGATGGTCCAACCACAGAGGCAGGGGCAGTGGACACCCAGCCTGTCAATACAAAGACATCCAACCTAATAATGAGTCGGTTAACATCGGTAGAAAGGATGGAAACAACAAGTTAAGACTTTACCTGGTTAATCACGTCCTTCCAATGATTGCTCAATTTGTACCCATCTCAGTTGAAGTTGTGTCTTTATATATCTGGATAGCTTCATGAACAAATCTTTGATGATAGCCGGTGGCTTTGCAGAGTACCTTCATCTTGGAAAAAACATCGTGTGAGCCAACAGCATTAAAACAATGATCAGCCACGGCTGAGGTATTGGTCCTGCGGTGTTTCAGATCCGCCATGTGCTCACGAACACGGTCCGAGACGTCGTTTAGTTTCCCCCATGTAACTACCGTATTTTCCCCGCATATAACCCGCATTTGTATATAACCCGCAGACGCATATGTAGTGGATTAACACGCGCATACAGGGGGAGGGGGGATGGTAAAGACGCGCGAGTTATGGACAGTGGGGTTACGTCGGGTCGACCAGGTGTGGCGGCGGGAAACTGAAGTAATGACGGGCCAATTAAGCTGGAGAGCATGTAAGGCTGTGATTGGCTGGGGTTGTCAAGGGCGGAGTGGCGCCAGGATGTCTGGGAACACAGGGGGCAAGTAACAGGTGCGGGGGGGACGTGGGGCGTCGGTGGCACGCGGCCTAATTAATTGTTTGGTAATGAGAACGGGGATATATTGGGGAGACGGGAAGGACGAGTTGAGTTGTCGCTGGGACTGGAACGAAGCAGGTTCGGGGAGAACCAGAGCGAAGACATAGGAGACAGAACAGGCTAGCAGTAGAGCAGAGACAAGTAGAGACAAGCAGAGACAAGCAAAGAGAAGCAGAGACAAGTAGAGACAAGCAGAGACGAACAGAGACAAGCAGAGACAGAGACAGTGGGAGTGAGACAGATACAGCGTGAGACAGACAGGGATACAGCGTGGGACAGAGACAGACAGAGACAGTGGGAGAGAGACAGATACAGCGTGAGACAGAGACAGCGAGCGACGGAGAGAGACAGACACATTGAGCGACGGAGAGAGATGGAGACATCGAGCGATGGAGAGAGACAGAGACAGCGAGCAACGGAGAGAGACAGCGAGTGACGAAGAGAGACAGGGACGACGCAGAAGGACAGTGAAGGATAGGGGAGGAAGCGGAGTGAGCGAGACGGGCGGAGCGCGGCGAGCGAGCTGCGGCTAAGCGGAATGACGGAGTCACAGACGTAATGTGAAGAGTTGTAATAAAAGTGGTGTCGGAGAAAACAAGAAAGTTGTCCGCATCAAGTCGACCACTATACATATACCCCGTAAAAATAGCGTTTTGTGTAAAACAAATTTCAGATAGCCCACACCTCCATATACCCCGCATGCATTCATATATTTAACATCCTAACTGCAGCTTAATTCCATCATGAATACAAAGTTAAAATTTGTAATACATTCCAACAACCTAGTTATTGTAGAGTACTGTGCGTTGTCTACTGTACTGGTCATGTGGTTGCTTCAGTGGTTGAGGATACATGGGTATCTCCCACAACCCTGCCCCTCCACCCTCGCACCCTTCACCACCCCCTCCATTCCCCACTACCCCTCCTCTCCATTCCCCATTGGTCTCCCCTCCAGCCACTACCAGGCCTAGTCATAGTCAACCCGCCCCTCTATCTGCATATGAGGAGTGAGGGGGGGGGCGTTATAGCGAAGCCGCCCCACCAAACGTTAGTCACAGAATGACAGACCTGGGTGTTTATATATATATTTCTATCCAACGTTTTATGTACATGAGATTAATAATGATGGATATTGATGAGGCGTTACATACTGGAAATCTCTTGGAAGACAACATTTTGGGTGAACTGACGATCATCGTTCAGAAGCGGTCCTTGTTAACGATTTTGGTGTATGCAGACTTTCACGTTGCGACTTCTGGAGCGAGAAAGCGCCACGTGGAGCTGTCCATGTGAGAATGCGGTGGTCTTCAGATTTATTCCGACATGATCAAAGGTTTGTCCCTGTGACTTGTTGATAGTAATTGCATAAGCAGGAATGACCGGGAACTGTCACTTCAAGACAAAGGAAGAGTAGTGTCGGTTGGAGCCAGATCGATTCGAGGAATAAAGACCGTGTTGCCTCGGTTGCACTCGGAGATTATTTCAGCTGTAATGAAATTGCGCTGAAGACTTGTGACAATCCATCGCGTTCCGTTGCACATTCCCTTCTTCACATTCAGATTTCTCAGCAGCATGATTACAACGCCTTTTTTTAGCAGCAGAACGTGCGACGTCATACCTGAAGGTGTCTGATCGTTGAGAAACTCAACTGGAAAATTCATAGCATCGCTGTGATCTTGGGAAACTACGGAATCAGCGCTATAATATATCTCCGGATCTCCTGGGATGAGTCTTATGATCTGTCGATTAAGCTCGAGTGTTTGCTCGTTTGTTGGAGACACGATCACATGTTTCACTAAATCTTCGACCAACAATTGATGGATCTCAGTTCCGAAGATTTCTCCAATAAGATCGGCGTTCGTCATCATTTGTAGAGGAATTTGTATGACTCTAAATTTGAAGCTTTCGTGACTGTTAGGATTCATACTCTATGTTTTTTTTCGGTAAAGTCACGTAAGTAAAATAAAAATAAAAGAAAACAATTAAATCACGACGTTTCGGAGGCAACACAAGCTTCCGTCTTCAGGTGGAACAGTCACAGCAAGATCGCTGCATCAAGTGGGGAGGCTCTGAGAGCCTCGAGCTTAAATACAGGTTAAGGGGGGGGGGGAGGAGCCAAGTAGGGGACATTGATGGGGGGCGGGGCTAAGTTAATCCGTCTTTAGTTATGTTGAGGGTGCGGGGGATGCGGTGGGCCACTGCACGGGGGCAATGGAAAAATGGAAACAAAAAATGGAAAAGTTTGGAAAGAATATGCTGCGTGCTTATAAGGTAGCTAAAGTTTTGACTTGGTTTATAACATCTTTCCAGTGGTTGCTTAATTTAAAACCATCCTCTCGATTGAAGTTGTGTCTATGTTTGTAGATATACAATGTCCCCTACTTGACTCCTCCCCCCCCCCCCCTTAACCTGTATTTAAGCTCGAGGCTCTCAGAGCCTCCCCACTTGATGCAGCGATCTTGCTGTGACTTCCACCTGAAGACGGAAGCTTGTGTTGCCTCTGAAACGTCGTTATTTAATTGTTTTCTTTTATCTTTATTTTATCTACGTGACTTTACCGAAAAAAAACAAAGAGTATGAATCATTGCAGTCACGAAAGCTTCAAATCTAGATTCATACAGTGGCCCACTGGATCCACCGCACCCTCAACATAACAAAAGATGGATTAACTTAGCCCTGCACGCCATCAATGTCCCCTAATTGGCTCCTCCTCTCCCCCCCCCCTTAACCTGTATTTAAGCTCGAGGCTCTCAGAGCCTCCCCACTTGATACAGCGATCTTGCTGTGACTGTTCCACCTGAAGACGGAAGCTTGTGTTGCCTTCGAAACGTCGTAATTTTATTGTTTTCTTTTATTTTTATTTTACCTACGTGACTTTACCGGAAAAAAACAAAGAGTATGAACTTGTATGACTTCGTCGTTGTTGATTCCTGGAATTGGCGTGCCATTTCCTGTTCCAACTTGCAGAAGCCAAGTGTTGTGGTCTTCTTATCCTTCGCTACGCATGTTGGTCGTGAGAGTGAGATTCAAGAAATGTCTCCACAGCGGACTCGATTTTATGGACGTTTCGATAATGTCAGTTCTTGTTCCTCGTGGCACGACTGGCAGAGTTTAACGGAAATTTCCTCCAATGACGGAAGCTTTTTCCAAACGGTTTCTCGTTCTGCATGATTTTGCGAAGGAGCTTATCAATGCAAAGCAGTCCATGCTTTAGAAGCATCGTGATTTCGTCGATGATGAGTTTGGCTGTGCGAAGGACTTGCGCTTCAGGTGAATGCGGTCGCATTGACGAAACGGAAGTGTCGAGTAGTGGATCTGGAAGCTTGAATCCACTGTCCACGGTTCGTCCTCCTTAAGCAACGTTGTTGCAATTCCAGTTGTGGCAAAAGTAAACACAGCCTCTTTTCTTCCTCGATTGAATGCCATCAAAGCTTTGTAGAGAAAAGTTTTTCCTGATCCTCCAGGTCCGTCGAGATAGAAGTATCAATTTCCTCGCCGTCGACTGCAGCCACGATCTTGGTAAATGCATCCAACTGTTTGTCGTATGGCAACTTGTCTGTCTCCTTCCTCTTTTTTAGCGACTGGATCGAAAGGCTGCTCTTCCGTTGGATTTCCAGTCAGTGTTGGTAAACCTATGATGGCACATGAAAGTCCGTGCTGCTTTAGAACTGCGTTGATGTCGTGCAGAGCTTTGTTGACTGATGTGTCTTTCGGGAAATTGCGCATATAGTCAAGGGACATATCTGGGGCCCTGAGAAGAGTGGAGAACGTTACGTTGACCCGAACAGTTTCGTAGGCAACGAGTATCGCATTCCTCGTACAAATATATACACTTGTTAAAAGTATCAACCCGCAGAAAACAGCGTGGAGAAATATGGCAAAACAACCCCCAATGGCAACAGCGTGTGAGGGAGGCCTTCAACAGGGGGATTGACAAAGGCAAGCTGTAGTTTTGGGGCTTTAAAAATAATAATTTAATAGCTCAACACGGCTTTGTATAAACACGTAGAACATTGCCATGAAGCCATTGTGCAATGTGTATCGGGATAATCCAATTAAGTGGCTGGAGATCCTAAGGGAAAGGTAATGAAAGGCTACCGTGTCCATAATAGGTTATTGGGTTGGATCGCGTAAATTTCAACCCGTCACCAACCGCCAGCAAATCAGTAAGGTTTGTCACGTAAACAGAACGTGGCAATTCGTTACTAGCACGTGACACCGGTAGTGGGTTGGAGAGCAAATCCACAACATTTACAATTCGGGTACCGTCACGTTTCACCAGTCATTACAAGCGGCATCAGAAGGCAACAGCCACAATTGGCTGCGTCGGGCGTGTTTAACGACACATTTATATTTACGTGATGTAACCCCCCCCCCCCCCCCGCATTGTGGATAACTATCGTGTTTATTGAAAAATAAATGTGCCTGGCGAAGAAAGCCTTTCGTGGGGAAGGGGAAAAAACAAATCGCGTTCAGCCTCGGTGTCCCCTAACTCCGGCACGTGTTGACGCCCCTCCAGCCACGTGACTCCGACTGGGTCAGCCCCGCCCCCTTTGGGCTGTACGTGGGGCGGGGGGGGGTCGCGCGCGCGCGTTTCTTGGGCTTCAAGGCATACGGAGCCCGCGGGTAAAAAGCGCGGCACGCGTGTTTATGCGTGAGGGAGAGAGCCCTCGGCGCCGCCGTCTGTGTGTGAGAGCGACAGCCACATCGTCGGTCGCCCCGTGCATGCACAAACCGCCTTCGGGATGTCGACGCGGAGCTCGATAAATGGAGGGGGCCCGCGCTAGGCGCCTTTAAGGGGCTGTGGGCCCGAGACGTCGGCCGCTGCGCCCCGTTCCGTCAATGCGCTCGCCTCGACTGCACGAAGGGCTTACCCATAAACCGTGCGATTCGTGAGGGTTTGCTCTACCACAACTCGCCCCGCTGGGTCGTGCCGGTTGCGTGTCGGTGGTCGTAGAGGCGGGAGCGCAGTGCGGTAAAGGCGCCGCCCTGCAATGGCTTGATTCACGCGGCAAGCTGGTGGAAAGGCCTCCACTAGAGTGAGCGCCAGAGGGCTGCTCTCGAGATTATAATGCAAGTTGAACTCCAGTTATACTGGAGGGAGGGAGAGGGGTTCGACCTCCCCGCAGACCCTGTAATGCATGGCGCACCGCGATGTATACAGATCCGCGGTGGCTTTGCTTTGAAACTCGCCGCACGTTACCACAAGTCAGCGCTTGCGCATTGTAAACAAAAAAACTATCCCCTTGCGATGTCTCGTGAATGTTTGGGAGGTTTTTTTTAGTCCGCCACCCCCCCCCCCCGAATAACCCCACAAATCCGTGGCGAGAGCGTGAACTTTAGCAGTTGTGCCGCCGCGGATTATAGAATTCGCGGATTATTGGAGTGCGAATTTTTTTGAAGTATTGTGCAACTAACAGCATTGTGTGTGTGTTATAAAGCAAAGCACAAACGATGCAACAACATTGCGAAATACACTAACCAAGTTACGGTCTCATGTCGTAGAAATGAGTACCGCTTCCTGAAAGAGTTTATCGTAGCAACTGGTGATCACACAATGAATGTTACTTTGCGATGTGTCTAACAGACCAGACGACGTTCCCCATGGCAGCCCCGGCTGAGGGTGGCGTGTGTGTAGGCGTATGTCCTGGCGCTTCCCGTGAGGATGGACTTTCCCCGCACGCATTGGGAGTGCTGGCCCTTTTGGTGGAAGCTGCCAGGAGTGAGGCACCGCACTACGCTGTTCGCACACACTTGAAATTGTAAAGTAACGATCACAAGCATCGTTACACTTCACAATAATCGTGGTGTCGTTCACACTCTTACCGTTTGCACGGTTAGCTACGTGCAGTGCGAAAGAAGTTCAACATACAAACATGGTTATGGTAATGGTGTTTATGCTCGGGGAGGCGGTGGTTACGATATTGTTGATTATTTGGTTTAACACGTAGGCTGATTATAATAGTTCCAGTCAAATTGTAAATAGGTATTATTTTTAACATCATGACTTATGTTGGTGTGCAGCTGATGGAGATGGAGTGCATGTGCCATCCAGGACGCATGCCCAGCGGTGGAAACTCAACGAGCTCCTATTGACTCTGCTGCAGGTGCCTTTAAGTCTGACTTGGGTTGTTTTCACTGTTTTCATTGAAGTTATTTTTTTGCAGGACAATAAACTGTAAAATATATTGTGGGTTTGGGGAATGAGCCACTTCCAAACAGGTTTGCTGAAATTCAATTCCAACATTTTTCCACAGGAATAAAATTGGCACGGCGCGGAAAATGTTGGTTGATGTGTGCGTGTTGTGCAGGGCTGTGATATCCCCCTCTCTCAGCTGCATACCTGTGTACTTGACTGCTGCATCTTCTTGGCAGATCGTCTCATCCAGAGGTACCTTTCTCATTTCCTCTCTCTTGACTTGTTCTTTTGCTTGGTGTAATATTTTCCAAAGGATTGTTGTAAGATGCACATTTGACTGCTAAAAAAACATTAAGACAATTAAAAAAATTGTTGAAATGAAAAATGCTTATGTTGCGACTTGCATACGTGATTATGCAGATTTGTTTTTAAAAGATGCATTCCTCAGAGTGAACCAGGACAGCTTCATTACTCGTCCATGGGCCTGAGCAATATTCGGTACCACTAGAGGTGGCCACTATTGAGTTGTACCAGTTTGTGCATATGGTTAAAAAAGTGGACTGTGATAGCATACATATTAAATTAGGTTATTGCATTATTTACTTTTATTGGCAATTTTAAGATGTTGGTACAATACCTTTTTTTCCATCTCTGGTGGTACCAACAAGTAAAATATTTTGTCCGGGCCCATAGACTATACTGGTGTGGTGTGCTCTTACCTAAACATTGTGGCCACCTGCATGTTGTCCCATTGGGTTGTAATAATATAGTTATATTTATTAAACAAACTTTCAGCTCAGTGGTGGCTGCCTGTGCCTGTACTTACATTATGATTACAGAAAAAAATCACTAATAGTGGCTATATGTGATGCATCTTCCCAAATATGCAGTTTAATAACCCATACTGCAAAAAGTCCAGGATTAAAGAAGCACGAGTGTGAGATAAATGAAGGCAGGTTTAGGAATTGACAACTATCCTCTGTATAAAAAGCCATAAGAGCACTAAATACATTCCTGAGCATCTACAGCTGTTTTTCCTGCCTCATTGTATTTCAGCATGTGTATCAAGTTTGCAGCTAGAAGTTTTGTCATGGAATTTGTATCTTAATACTGCTATATTGCTATGCATTGTGTCTATGATGGTGTCTGTGGTGTGCCTTGGTTTACTTGCAGGCTGGGTGTGGTGGTGCTGGGAGGCTCACAGGCAATGGAAACCTTTTTTCTTTCTTTTGAGGAGCTCCTATCTGCAACCTCGCCCACCATAGGACGCCACGGCCTACTGGGTAGGACAAAGAAACATTCAAAGACGGTGCAGCACTAAACATATATATAAGTTTGTTAAAATACCACCACAATATACATTGATTGTAGTGGGGCAGTTGAAATAATAATCTGTAAAAATGCTCATTTTACCTCTCAAATCTTGCCTCCAAGCTAAAATACTTGCAAACACAATGCAGTATTTCCTGCTTAATTTGCATTGAATGACTTACACAGTGGACCGTGTATCGAAGCTTAGCAGGATTTGGAGAGCTTTAACACTTCCTCTTCGCCACCCACTGAAGGCCCCAACCGCCCACGTGACACCCATCTACTTAAATTCTCCAATAATGCCTGCCACGTAAATTTTCCTATCCATGCCCTCTTTTTACCAATGCTCGTATGTCGCTTTCAGAGGTCACCACCTCATAAAATTAAATGTTTCATTCCTATAACCACATCCTCCCAGATCCCCCTCTCTTGAATATCTGGTGTGGTGTATGGACATCAGAACCCCAGGGTGCCATTGGTGGTCAGGGGTAGTGCTGGTCACACCCTAGTGTGCTGTCTTGTCTATAATGGGTGCTGAATAATGTTACTTATCTCTGCATTTTATGAGGCTCACTGATGTTTTTATGTGTTTTTGTGTGTGCCTGCGTACATCTGGACACTTGTGGTATAGGCATGTTTGTGCGGCGAATGCTGTTGGCGTACAACCGTTTGTCGTTCGCTCAGACCAGACGACTCTGTCATCAGCTGCGGAAATACTGGCAGGGCTACATTGGGGTCACCCAGGCCAACTCTGCAGTTGCTGGAGGTATAATGGAGGTCACAGCGGGCTCTGGGGAGGCAAGGACAGGCTCGTGGCTTGAGATGGAGGCCTCCGACAACGAAGACATTGGAGAAGGGCCCTCACGGGGAGATGAGCCTATGTCAGGGTGAGCCCAATTCGGTTATGTCTGTGAATTACAACTCACTGCATACCCAAGCAGACCTTGTTTGGTTAAAAGGATATAAACAGGCATGGCACGAGCTAGATAAGAGATTGACAGTTGGGGTTAAGAGGACCTGGGGTTGGGTGGTCTTGCTCACAATTCATGCCGACATTTTAATATTTTTGGTTATTTCGGTAAAGTCACGTAGAAGGGAAATAATAAAATAATGCGTTACTTTACCGAAAGAACCAAGAATATGAATCCCTGCAGTCACGAAAGCTTTAAATCGAAATTCAACATTTTCATGTTTAGCCTCTGAGGGAGGATCATAAATGATACGACCGGGCAGCTCATAGCAGAGAAGTGATGTTCAAAACAGCAAAGCATCCGCCGGTTTAAACTGATATCGTGTGGAGCATATACAGTGCATCTGCACATCATGTGGATTTGTTAACTCAACACCTAGTCCTGTCTTATGACAACATGCCAGGAATTCATAACGATTCCACATGGCCTGAAAGTGCACCTCGTCTGGCACAAGCATCGTGGGGATACCTCTTCATCTTGGCAATTAGTGACTGCTATTATAATCTTCAGATATGTAACACTAGTGACACAGTAGTTGGAACACTGCAGTGTTGCCCGAACAACTTAGGTTTAATGCCTGTCTATGTACACTTGAACCTTCCCTTCTTCTCCCAGGCGAGCTCAGCTAGAGTTATAACTGAGGACACAAAGGTTATCAGATGAGTTCACGCCACTTGTTCTGAGTATGTCCGAAAACAGAGGGTTGATAGGCCATGTAGCAGCCCAGTACTGAGCATCTAGACACTGCTGCTGAAGAGACCATGTCTCCATACATCTGCGTGAGAATTGGGTTATATCATCACCATTGAAAGGCAGTGGTATCTAAACCATTACTTGAGAGCATTTTTCAACAAAGCTTGGAAGATGACAGGTTGTCTTATCATCACCAGTTCTTGAGACGCTTGACTACCTCCATCACTGCTTGAAAAAAAGACGAGCGAGGACGAGTGCTGCCACCATCATCATGTCGATGTGTTCTGAGTCACCTCTAACCCCTCTTAACGAGCTTCAACATAATGCTTTCTAGATTCGCACTCATTAATAAATCAATGTTTGTTGTGTGTCTTACAGCGATGACGATCTAGAAATGGATGCGTTATCTACAAGAAGAGCTGCATTCTTTCTAATACAGCAGGTGTGTACATGTATATGTCAGTCAATGCATTGAGCAAGCAGTAATTTCTGAACTTCATAGACTCCATAACTCACTTTTATCATTATATTGTTTTTTAATTAACAAGCCACACAAACAGCTTTAACTATAAACATCTGCCACATATTATGAGACCTCCTTTGCCAGAAACAAGATATAGGAATAGGTTTTACCCTTTTAACTGGCACAAAAACTGACACCTTTATTCAAGGCATCATGTTTGCAATAACCACAACACAAGCAGTCAAAATGCAAACAAAAAAGACAACTCTGATAATATGCACTGTCCTTGAATTTGATTGGTCCACACCCGAGACAGCTTTTCTTCGAGCCTAGTCTCCATTGGTGTTGGACCAGAAGACGCCAAAAGGCTCGAAGAAAAGCTGTCTCGGGTGTGGACCAATCAAATTCAAGGACAGTGCATATTATCAGAGTTGTCTTTTTTGTTTGCATTTTGACTGCTTGTGTTGTGGTTATTGCAAATATGCTGCCTTGAATAAAGGTGTCAGTTTTTGTGCCAGTTAAAAGGGTAAAACCTATTCCTATATCTGCCACATACCTTATACCTCCACTTCTCTAACACAGATATGCATACGTTGCTCACTTCACCGTGGTGTATCGTGAATATGTCTGATGTATGTGGTGATTATGTGAATGGCATGTGAACGAAAATTGTGGTGTCATACAAAATGTGATGCACATTTCATGAGACGTTGATCAGATTAATAGAATATATGAAACCATTCACCTGTGCATTTTGGTGGCAAGCGCTGATCTATTTTGGCGTAGTACTGTCTAAAGCCACGAAGAAGTTAAACGTCAAAAAGAGTATTGTCGTATATCAATGTTCAATGACGTGGCATGGCAACGTGGTGTAATCTATGGTAGTGCAGTACGCATATATCCAGCTTAATGGCACACGCAGATTGTTCAGGTCAAACTGAAAATGTTATAGTGAGTCTCGGTGCTGTGTCCTGGCTTCTCTTTCAACACTTAATGTTTCTCTTTGCTGTTTGCCCACATCACTCACTTCACACACTTCCAGTTCTGTATCTCCACCTATGCACCTTTTCCCACATCTCTCCATGTGGCTGAGTGCTCAATAATGTATGTATGTTATTGAATTTTTTCGCAACAATCGAAACCAACCATGCTTATCAGAGGTGCGATAATTGTAGGTTGCTATAACGATGCGTCATTAATTCGTGTCTGTCGGGACACGTGGAGCAGGAACTGTGTGGAGTGAGAGGTGGGAGATATGTAACATTGTGCGAGACATAGAGGGACACTCCACAGGCGCTCTATGGAGTGAGAGAAAGTTACCTAACAGGTCTATTTCCATGCTCTGCTGTGCACGTTAGCAGTACCTTGGAGATTGACGTACCATTGCATTATATTGTTTATAATGACCATGGTGTGATTTACTCTGCCATGTTATGACATTGTGCTGCACTGTTGTGCTGCGTCATATGCAGGCTGACCTAGTGCAGAGAGCAGACGGGGCAGCGCTGGCTCCCCGTGACCTCCACGCACGACTTTCCAGCCTCCTGAGGGCAAACCCGGACTGCGATGAGGCTGTGAGTACAAACCACTATCAGTCATTATTGGCATCCTGAACATATGTTGTCATTATCGTTAAGAGTATGTCTCCTTGCACTGTACATCTTACTAAAATATTTATGCATAAAAACCTCAGTTTCTATTTTTAGGATGGTTTTGCATTGAAATGTTTGGCCAATTGATACTTTTTAAGTAGTTGTTTTTCTCTGGAATGACCAGAGAAAATTCACACATACAAGGGGTTAACATTCACAGATTTGCACAGATGGGTATCGAACCCATGATGATATATACAAGATTCACCAACTCAACCAGAGTGGATTCATCAACCTCCAAGACACGCATCCCTATGTTAAAACAAGCACGTGTGTGTTTCTGGCAATGCAGCACCTGGTGTCGTGCCTGAATACCGTCCGTGTGCGGGACACCTTGTCATCCCTGCACTCCCTGCACCACTACTACGACCGCGCCACACTCAGCACATCAGGCGGTGAGCCCAAGCACCCCTTTACTGAACAGAGGGTATAGGTTCTGTTCCTATGATTTCCACTTTATCAGAATCACCAATAGCTGCTATATTCTGGGTATAAAGTAGAATTTTAATCAATAACAATTCATTTATCTCCTACTTGTATATGTGTCAGTAAAATCATCTCCGTAGATCCTAGGTTTGGCCCTGAACCTCAATATACTGAAGACACACTCTTATTTGACCATATAATTTACATTTGCAGAGGATTCATATGTATAATTAATTAGTAACATGCATCCATCCTTAAGCATCCAGCAGCGATCAATAGGTCTGATTAGCACCAGTTAGGTCCATGGGATCTGCTGATTGTCATTGATCAGCTGTGCTGTAGTCTGTCATTGTTTGCAGCAATATTTGTTTCACTCAGTGCTGAATTGTATCTTGTGCTGTGCTGTAGACGTATGTGATGTACTGTGTTGTGGTTATGTGTATTGTTCTGTATTATTAAATAGTGCCGTGCTGTGCCGTGGCGTTGTGTGCCACGTGCTATTGCAGGAGGCGTGGAGCCCCGGGGAAGTGCCCTGAATCCACGCTACGCAGCTCTCAACATGGCCGCCCTACACTCCTTCTTTGGACACCTGTGAGTGCAGCTCCTTTTAGATGCAAAAAAAAACAAATTACAATAGAGCTTTTTCCCCCGCCTCTGATCTCTGCACCTGATTGGGTCAGTGATGATGTCGTCCTGCTCTATTTAAGACCAGAAGCAGGTGGATTGCGTCACTATTCTGGCAAATCGCCTGATGATGCTGGATGTAATTACCAGCGAAACGTCGTACTCATATTGTAAATCTTGTGGTTTTACTTTCCAACACACCGGTGGGCTTAAGTAGTAACTAATTGCCGTTTTGTTTACATGACAAATCCCTTACTAATTGCTGTGTCAGGTGGTGGAGGGTTATGACACATTTATACTTACGTGATCTAACCCAAAAACCTTTATTATGAATAATATTGGTCGCGAAAGCCTACATGTTAAACTGACCAAAATAGTATTTCTGGCTATTGTGTTAAAGGTCTGGAGCAGGGCATGTTGATGTCTCACTATCATGCCAGGTTTCAGACCCCACAGGATCTCTTCTACTGACACACACAAAAAATCTCGTGATCTCATGGTAAAGTTTTGCAATATTTGGGCAGAGCCATAAGGCGTGTGATGTTTGTACCATGCCTAGAGGGCACCTTGGACAGTCTGGTGAGACCTCCATAAATTTCGCTTTTTTCTCGGTCGTTAAGTGTGCTCCACGTATGAATTTAAACTGGATGAGTCTAAGCGGGAGAGCTCTTGGGCCGGCTCTTGTGGCTCACCAGATCTGTGTCCAAATCTGTGGCATTATCTCATAGGGCACAAACCTGTCCTACAGTTTCTCGGTCACTGGTCTCGTGACAGAACCCCCTCCCTGGAGTCGATAGGTCTTGGACAGCCTATAATGACCCTTGGTGTCTCCAACCAGCCATTAGTTGGATGGACCAACACGTCCAGATTCTTTTTGGGAAATTTCATTTATGGCATCTCTGATTTCGAGATATCTGAAATATTGGGAGTGGGGGACATTATGGGTGAGATTTAAAGCTTTCGTGACTGCTAGGATCCATACTGTTTGGTTCTATTGGGTAAAGTCACGTAGGTGAAAATAAAATAACAAAAAATCACGACGTTTCACCTACGTGACTTTACCCAATAGAACCAAAGAGTAGACATTATCGGTGGTTCACACCACATCAAAGGACAGCACCTTCCCGTCCGCAGACAAAAGATCACCAACCCTTTCCAGGCTGGACTCCCTGCAACTGTTCCATCTCATGACCTTCCCCCCCACCCCTCCACCTTCAGTGACGGGTCGCCCCATAGCGTCGATCCCCTGCGTAGGGGGGTCTGGAGGGGGGTTTCGCCATCTTTACAGCATGCGAGTGTCGATGAAACCGTCCATAGTGACTGTACTCCTTGCCGTCTATTTTGATTTGTTGCAAGGGCGAACTCCTCCAGGGAGCACGGTTTAACCGATTTCTCCTCCCAGCTATTGGAAATCCTATGCTTTGTTGAGTCTTGCCAGCACTTCACATTATATAGACCCAATGCCTTGTGGTATTTCCGAAAGTCAGAGAGGACCAGGCCACCCCAATCCATCGGTAATGTAAGGGAGGGATATCCTATGCACGTGAGCTTATGGTTCCATATGAAGGAGGAGATTCGGGAATGCAGTGTCCGAAAGAATGCCCTCGGGATTCATGTAGGCACCATCCTCAAGGTATTTTGGGGAGAATCATTTTGATTAAGTGTGCCCTGTTATGAAGGGAGAGGGGGACATCGACCCAGGCAGTCACTGGCTTTCTGAAGAAAGGGAATAAAGTTTTTAGAAAGTGAGGTTAATGAAGAGGGAATCGTGACCCTGAGGTTTTTAATGTGAGGACCACTTAAAGGGCAGCAGGTCTGCTGGGGGTTTGGGGGTTACTAGTGACAGGGCATTAACTCAGATTTTTATACATTTATTCTATATCCGGACATACTCCTATAATCAGCTACCAGGGTTAAAATGGCAGGGATCGAAGATTCTGGCTCCATGAACATAAAGTAAATATTTACCTGTGGAAATATGTATTTTATTCTCTACCGTGCCAAAAGTCACTCCGATGATATATTGTTTTGTTATGACGCTTTCAGCAAGTGGTGCCATTGCCAGAGTGAACAGCAGCGCGGAAAGAGGGCACCCCTGTCTCATTCCTCTGCCCAGTGCAAAGCTATGGGATGCCAATCTGTTTGTTATGACCGAAGCCGTGAGGTCCGCATAGAGAAGTTTACACATGTCTATGAATTGGTAAGGAAATACAAATTTGTCCATTATCTGCGAAAGGAAATCCCACTCTGTCAACGCCTTTTCCCTGTCTAGCATTAAGTCATATCCAGAGAGGTAGTTGATAGTAGCTATCTCCACTAGATTAACTAAGGTCTTGACATTTTCAGCGGAGTCCCTATTTTTAACCAACCCCATCTGGGCTTTTTACCTATGATCGTTGGAAGAGTTTTCTCTTGTTTTCCAACAAGGATTTTGGCCAGAATTGTATAATCCGCGTTTTAAAAGGAGGTTGGCCTATAACTGCCGAAGGCATCTCCCGGGGAACCTGGCTTATTAAGGACCGATATCCTAGCGGCATTTGTGGAGTGGGGAAGACATCCTAACTGTAGGGCTGCTTCCAAGGTGGAAAGTATTTTCTTAAATCCGTACTTGGAGAAAACCCGAGAGGAGACTGCTGTCATTTTCATACTCCTCTTGCAATTCTGTATTTTTAGAACTAAAAGTAATCTGCCTTTTTGAGTAATAAAATGTCAAATATATTTTATTTGTATTTAGATTTTTAAAATATATTTCTTGGATTTAAAGAATATTTCAGTGAAAGAATAACATGAAGAAGAGCACAAATTGAAAAGTTGGAGCAATTTTAATTGAACCATGTTCGTCTTCTGTATTCGTTACTTCAACCCCTTCGGTGTCGCTTTCGATTAAATGTCTTTGGAACTTCTGCCATTTCAAGTCAGTTCGATATTTATTTGTCACATGGAGAATCCCATTTAGCCAATTTCCCAGCTAGAGTCATTGGCAAAGGCCTGCAGCTATTAACAGCAGAGTTACTGTTAGGGCAAAGAGGAGCCCAGCCAACAGCCAGCCAGGAAAGTCAATGCATAGATTATGTTTAATAGTAGTATGAGTTAAGTTCTGAGGAGTTTCAACATTTACCGTAATTGAAATAATGCAGTGGTTTTGCTGATTTCATATGCTGATGACCGATGTTAACATGAGGCAGACTGTGGAATGACCCATCCGTATATGAATGTTCTTTGTCAGTTGACTTATGTTTTTATGTTGTGCTTTCCACACAAGTAGATATATTTTTAGCAATGATAATTTTTTGGGGAAAATTAATGAGTAGCCAATACAATTGTTAATTAAAATTACAACTCAGTGTCATATGCATTCTTGATACACGTGTTGTGCTATTGGGCCGACTGCAGGGATGAAGCGAGGCTGGCCCTGCAGGAGTCCATCAGCAAAGCAGAAGGGCAGAACGACCAAGTGTGTCTCCAGCACTGCCTGGTGAGGACCTTGCGCTTATGTTTGGTGGGAGCTGTTGATCCAGAAGGGTAGCATCTCGACGAGAGGGGTGCGCGTGTGAGAACATATTTACGTAATACCACCTCAGTGGGCTTTGTCTGGTCGGATAGGGATGGTTTAGTTTTTCTTGTATGAGTTTGGGTGATTTGTTTACCTTTCTTGTACTTTGCACTCCTATCATGTTTTGTATTGTTTTGTTTTTATATTCTTTGGATCTTTCTGTAAAGTTACATAGATAGGTTCAAAGAAAATAACAAAAAACTACGATGTTTCGATCGCAACACAAGCGTTCGTCCTGATGACGAACGCTTGTGTTGTTGCCGAAAGACCCATTGAATATTAATCCCTGCAGTCATGAAAGCTTTAAGTTATTCTTCTTTGGTTCTTTCGGTAAAGTCACGTAGAATGAGAATAAAATAATAAATTGATAAAATAAAATAACACAATAATATTCTCACGACGTTTCGGCCACAACACAAGCGGCCTTCATCAGGTGAAGGGATGAGACTGTCTGGTAGGACAGCGCTGGAGTGAAAGAGCCACGTTCAGATCACGGCCTTTAAGCCTCAACTTTAGCACTTTAAGTTATTGTTTTGTTGTAACGTTCTTACCGCCCCGACTGAACATCTGTGAAGAAGAGCTTTATATTATTGGTTCTTTCGGTAAAGTCACGTAGATAGAAAACAAAAATCAAAATTAAGAGCAAAAAACCCACGACATTTCGATCGCAACACAAGCGGTCTTCATCAGGTGGAGAGAAAAGAGGGGGCAAGCCTCCAAATGTAGCTGCTTTAAGGGCTCCAGAGTGAGTGGGTGGGGGAAAGGGCTACGTGAGAGGCAGGGGGAGAGAGAGGGGGTGGGGCAGAGATAGGGGGGGAGGAGAGAGGGGTAGAGATGGGAGGAGGGATGAATTGCACCACGGTATACCCATCAGAAAATGGGGGGGGGGGGGAGATAATGGGGCAGAGACAGGGGGAGAGAGAGGGGGTGGAGATGGGAGGGGGGGAATTGCACCTCGCTACGCCCATCCACACTGCTGACGGTAGAGGTTGACAAGAAAACACAAATTCAAATCATGACCCAAAGTGGTTGACATCTTTCCAATGATTGCCAAGTTTAAAACCGTCGTTTCGGTTGAAATTGTGTTTGTGTCTGTTTCTATGGATGGCTTCGTGAATGAATCTTTGTTGATAGCCAGTCGGCTTGAAAAGTACCATCGTTTTAGAGAAATCAATTTCATGTGAGCCAGCCGCATTAAAGTAATGGTCAGCTGCGGCAAAAGTATTGGTCCTGCCGTATTTCAGATCTGCCTTGTGTTCACGAACACGGACCGAGACATGTCGTTTGGTTTCCGCAATGTAACTGCTGCCGCAGGTACAGCTTAGTTTGTAGACACCGGGATATTGCATGTCAGGGATCTTGTCCTTCACAGATGGGATCAGGTCACAAATTTTGTGTACTGTGTTAAATCAGACCTGGATCTTGTGTTTGTTCAAATTTTTGGAAATATTTTTGGTTATCCCTGCTATGTAAGGTAAGGTGTGACGGTTTTGATTGGATCTTCAGATGGCTCCTTCCTCACGGTTGGGTTGATGGCTTTGCGGATTGTGTAGTCAGAGTATCCATTCGCATTGAGAGTTGGTGTACGTGTTGGAGTTCACTGGTCAGGTGTTCATGGTTGGAGATACATTGAGCTCTATGGTGTAGCGTTTTGATGAGGGAATCTTCTGGGATGGATGGTGGTGGGAATCAGGTTTTAGGTAGGCATCAGTAAGGGTTATTTTCCTGTAGACAGAGTGGCTCATTGAGCCATCTGGTCTCCTTTTGATTTAAACATCCAAGAAGGGTAGCATGCCATCCTTTTCTACCTCCATGGTGAATTTGATTGCTGGGTGAATGGAATTGATGTGGTTTAAAAATTGTTTCAGAACCGGTCGGCCATTTGGCCAGATGACAAACGTGTCATCCACGTACCTCTTCCAAATGGACGGGCGTAGAGTGGATGCCTGGATGGCATCCGTCTCAGATTTGTCCATGAAAATGTTGGCCACAACCGGAGATAAGGGAGAACCCATTGGAGTGCCCTCAGTTTATTTGTAGAATGTTCCATTTCAAGTGAAGTATGTATTGGTGAGGCAGTGTCTCACCAGGGCTGGTACATCAGCATTCAGTCCTTGTTGGACCAAATCTTCAATTATTGCAATGGTATTGGGCACAGGAACCTTGGTGAACAGAGAAACTACATAGAAACTAACTAGCAAATCACCTGGGGACAGTGAGATGTCTTTAATTGACACTACCAGGTGAGCTGAGTTAAGAACAGATGAGGTGGTCTTACCAGTGAATGGCTGCAAGGTCTCAAACAGATATCGGGCCAGTTTGTAGGTGGAAATAGAAGTTTAAATGGTCATCGGATCCGTCCAGTATAAATACATATTCTGAGTCTAATTCAATATGCCTGTTGAAGTACTGCCAAGCCTATGAAACATGTACAGTATAGGACTACGTATGTAGGTGCACATATACACAATATTATTTTTTTGTGATAAGCCACTGTTAATGACGAGGGTGTTGACTTTTTTGCTTGTGTGCCGCTGTCAATGCGACGACCATTTAAACTTCTACTTCCAATGAAAATATTAAACTCGATGGCAGTTTTATTCCCACCGGTTGGAGGAGTGCAGTTACGTGTATTTTCATGTGTGTGAAACATTACCGCAATTATTCTCTGCGTGCAAGGTTGGTGTCAGTGGGTGCTGTGTAAGTCGTGCCCATAATGTGTGCGTATACTTCAGAGCCTGCTGGCGCACCTGGAGCGAGCGCGCGGGGTGCGCTGCGTGTCCCAGCTGGAGCTGTCGGTGCGGAAAGCCAGCCAGGTCGGCCTATCGGTGAGTGCCGGGATGCCACACATCGCTGGCGCTTACTTCGTAAGTCAGTTGAGTCAAGCAAAAGCACCCTGATAGAATCGCACGCAATTATATAAACCTTTTGTCTTTTTCCCTTCTCAACTTTGCTGTCGGTGCCATTCGGTGAGATGACATTTCCATTGACAACTCGGTCGCCGTAAAAATATGTTGTGTTCTCCAGAAAATAATTGAACAAGAGACAACAATTGATGTGGAGCATACGCTGAGATTGTGTGGTGTGCTTATAACGCATACAAGTGATGTCCCTGTTCGCTGTAGTATTACCACGTGTGAGCAGCATTTTGACGTGGTGTGGAACGGTTTGAGTTGACGTGGTGTGTTCTGTTGTTTTGCGTCCAGCTGACAAGTTGGCTGGGAGTGCAGGCGTTGGTGTGCGCCCGGGCGAGCCTGGGTGTGCGTCCCAGTGTGCTTCTCCGATCGCTGAGCGAGGCGGAGAGGGTTGGGGGTCGTGCCCAGCACGCCATGTCGGCGCTTGCACAGCGGAAACTCAACAACAGCGCCCTGAAGACAGCACTCTGGAACCTCTATGGGAAAAGGTGGGTGGGTATGATGACTCGTTTCCTGTGTGCAGAGCGAATCACTTTGCTCTCCGGTGCTTCATAATGGATACGTATGTAAGGGGCATAGTCATTTGTGTGCTAATTGTATGCGTTTTCCGTGACTTGCGCATATCTGTGTGTGCTCACAGCCTTTGTTTTTGTCTCTGTTTTAACACAATTATTACTTTGTCAACACGTAAATATGGATAACACTTAAAGATTTTACTTAGTCTTTACCTGCATATGGCTTCTATACTAAAATACTCACTTTTTCTGCGTACGGTGCACGGTGTGCAGTGTGATGGCGTGTCAACAGGCCCAGCGCATGGTGTGCTACAAGCCGGTCGTAGACTTCCCATCAACGCACGGGCCTGGGGAAACCAACACTGAGGCACTGTGTGTCGCCCTTTGCCATCTTGCCAGGCTACATGCACATCAGGTAAGTTAATCAATATATGTGTGTGTGTGTAGAAGGGAAGGGTTTCATTGCTGCTCACGTAACAGTACCCACCAACATGCCCGTTCAGTGGTTTAAAATAACAATGTACCTAGTCAACTGAACAACACAAGACAGGGTGTAATTTTAACTCATTTGTTTGTTTGCTGTATAACTGCCTGTGTACATGTTTTACCAGGGCCTGTACCAGGCCTCTATGGAGGTCATCGACTATGCCCGGGAGAAGTTCCCCCACGACACGCACGTTTCTCGGGTAATTATTCTGTAATTTACAGCACTTTGTCAATCCTACCAAGTAGGGCCGACTGAGCTATACGACTCTTTTTCAAAAGCGACCTGGTCACAAATGATAGCTCAAATGATCACTTCCACTTACTAATGGCATGGTACGTAATATTATAGCACCTGCAGGCTTCCCCGAGCTCCTCCCCTAGCTCTCTGTCTCTCACAGTCCCGTGATGCAACATTTCATCGAGAGCACCTGTACATGATCTGCTTTCATAGTCCCATCTGTGTGGTGTTCCTTTTGCCACCACTCCGTTGTTAGCATGTCTTGCCCAAGCCCCCTTACTTCTCTTTAAAGTGAATATGATTAATGTGTTTTCTCTAATCCATGTGTTCCTCTTCACATCAGCATCCTATCAGACAGCATGTATTTATGCATTTTTGTGTCCTTTTCAGTTAGTTTATTTTTCATTTGTCATTTGCCACTGTACTCCACTGTCCAGTGAAGAGTTGTCCATGATTTTTTATTGCAATTTCACTGTCATGAAAACTTAAATTCATGTGAAAATAATGTGCTATGATAAGTTTTACTTGAATGACACGTCAATTGAATGACACGTCAATTGAATGGCGTTACATTTATTTCCTTTTCAAATGAATCTTGCAACGCCAGGTGGGAGCATTATAAAACTCCCTGACAGGGAGATGTTATTTGTATTCAAATTGCTTATACAATGTTTTAATACGTTTTATTATTGGTATGCCTCGTCATACGCTTAAACATGTGCGTGCATATGTTGAGTAAATGTGCATTCACACGGTTAAGAGCTCCGTAACCTGAGTTCAATTCCCGATAATGGCTAATATCAGTGGCAATTGATGTCAGAACTGCTTCAGGCCCCCCTTCAATAACCCAACTCGTGTGTTCCATTATGGTCCAACAACACCCATAATGGAGTTGATGTCAGGAGGTCTTGGAGTGACTTAGTACTGGTCAATCATGCATTATACTACATTTGTGACTTTACCTTGAAAAGCATTTCTTTGCTGTGAAGAAGGGCCATTGCCTGAAACATGAAGCACCTTTTTTGTTCTTTTTAAGGCAGTGTTATTGATAACACTGCCTTTTATTGAAGTTGAAGTGTGTTTATGTGTGCTTTTCACTTATGGGGAGCTGTAGTGTAGCGGTTGCACTGCACTCCTGACCCGGTGAAAAGAGTTCGATTCCCGCTCATGGTCAACACCAGTAACGATTATCTGAACGAGTTCTGGGCCTCCCATACCTGGTGGTCGACACCTCAAATGAGTACCTGGTGCGATGTGTAAACATTGCCACTTGGGAAACAAAGGCGGCCAGGCATGGTGATGGCCACCCACCTCCTCGTTTGACGTGCCGGTCTTCATAGGTACTCGCTAACAGCACTTGCTCCAACGGTATGTTAAGGCTAAAACAGGTCATCTTTGTTTTTTGCGCTAGTTGTGGAAGCTGGTAGAGCTAGCTGTGAGTGTGCAGCGTGAGGTGAGTGCGGGCCGTCCCCACGTCGCAGAGGCGCTCATCCCACACATCACAGCCCTCAACCCTGCCGAGGGCATGTACAGGTACAACACAGGCGTTTACGCCACAGTGTCGCTGCGTTTTGTACAAGCCACTCGTTATGCAGACTGCTATGCACGCCCATGTAAAGCAGGTGCATATATCTATGGGTGCAATTAAAATGTACTTAGGAGGCACTAATGTGTTTTCTCCTGCTTTAGTTTCAAATTAGGAGAGGGAGAAAATTAGAAGGGGTTAAGAATGATGTAAGGTCACTTTACACAAAGGTGGTTACATCTCCAGCACACCTCCATTTGTAACACAATTTAAAAAATGTGAGTGCTGTGCTAATGGTGTTGTGTGTATGAGGTATTACGTGCTATATATCTATGCTTTGCTGAGTAAGTGGTATGCCGCATGTGGCTTTAGTTGGGCTGTACATATGGGCGATTAAAATATTCTGCACATGCTTGTCCATATTTATGTGTGCTGTGTTCTGTGTGTGCTATATTGTGCATGTGTAGTGCATGCTGTATTGTGATGTGTGCATGGTGTGCTATATATATTCACTTTGCGTGGCGCATGAAACGCTGTGCTGGTGTTTTGTGTGGATAAGTATTATATGCTATGTGCTATGCTCTATGTATAGTATGTACCGAATAACGTGTACATATGTATGCGTGTCATATCATGCTTGTGCTGTATACTTGCTGTATTGGGTTGTTTAACGTGCATGGTGTTCTGTATATGTAGTACTGTGCCATGTTTGTGTGTTGATGCATGCACACTTGGCTCGCGCACCATGATGCGTGCGCCATTTTCGTGTGCCGCATGTGTGCAGCCAGGTCAACGTGCTGAGAGCACAGGGCCGTCTGCTGGAGTGTGCACAGCTGCTGCAGAATCTCATGAGACTGTGCGAGGAAAACCGACCTGGATACACACCCGAGCTGCACGCCAAGTGAGTCGTCTGTGCTGCTTGTGGACGTGGAGCGCACAAGTTTTGATCGCAGTGTACCCGAGTTGAGCTGACCTAGGGTCAAAGCCAGATACCACTAACATAGCAAAGCAACCTGCATATGCAAACACCATACACACACATTCGTGAAGGTTACACACCTAAACATATCCACGGATCAACGTCTGTTTTATACAATTATCACAGCTGATTGGTGTAAACGGAAGCAGAGGCCACATTTAACTTGCAGAGGTTTCACCTAGTATGTTTGGAATTCACGACGACTTTTTAATTACGGCATTTATAGGCATTGATCCACTATTAACACATGGTCAGACTGACCCAATCCATTATCTCACAGGTTATTTCTTTCATACCACTTGATAGTAACATCACACACCTGTAGCATCATTTGACTAACAGAGCCAGTGGCATCACTTGACTCACACAGAGCTGGTGACATGATTTGACTATGGGATTGACTGTGATGTCCCTTGACTGTCACACAAAGCTTCGAATGTTACTTGACAGGGTCTGTGACATCATTTGACTACTACACAAACCCTGTGAAGGAACCTGTGGCATCACTGATGCAGAGCTTGTGACATCACAAGACAATCATCATCCTCGATGCCGTTCAAAAGCACATGGAGTGGATTTCCAATGACCGCAACAACTTGGCAAACTCTTTGTCAGCTGTCTCTATGGTGACCTTGCAGTGTAAGAAATCCACATTATGCACAGAAAAATCTTGACTTAAAGTTTTCGTGACTGCAGGAATTCTTATTCTTTTGGTCTTTCGGTAAAGTCACGTAGACAGAAAAAAGAATAACAATAAAATAATAAAAATGAAAATTAAGTGAATGAAAATAAATACATATTTTTCATTCACCTTATTTACATTTTTATATGATAATAAAAAAATTTCGTTCACTTAATTTTTATTATTTTATTGTTATTCTTTTTTCTATCTGCGTGACTTTATCGAAAGACCAAAAGAATATGCACAGTAAACTTGCCTTGTTATTTGTTTAATTTATTTTAATAAATTACTTCCATTTGTAACACATGATGAAATGGCATGTTGCACTCATATTTTCTTCCTCTGCAGATGTATGCAGAGCTGAGTTAGAAGGGCCACCATGAATGATATTGCGATGCATCAATCAGAATGCTTTGTTTTACGAGGGGGTGGGTGGCCAGCAGCACGCCCGGCCGCCTTTGTCTCCCGAGTGGCAATGTTGACACACCACAGCAGTTACTCGTTTTGAGGTTGAGTCGACCTAGGGGAGGCCCAGGACCGGTTAAAATAATCGTCACCGGTGGTGGCCATGAGCGGGAAGCGAACTCGGGTCGCCGGGTTCGTAGCGCGACGCGCTAACCACTACACTACAATGCGTTACGCTTCCACATGCGAGGGTCACGTGACAGATTTGACGTCACAGCTCACTTGCCGTGCAAAAAAATATATGCATTATTGAGCTCCCCCCCCCCTCCCAAAAAAAATAAAAGTATTTTTTTTTGCATTTGCATGGTGTACAGTTTGGAAAGTACCCACATGGCAAATTTCCAGTTTGTTGCATGCCGTGAAGTACGCTAAACATTTTGAACAGACACACATTCACAACTTTGCCTTTTATATATATGGAGATGACATGATGCCAATGGCACAAATTGGAATACAATGAAGAAAATGAAATCACAGTGATTGGAACCAAATTTGGAAACATCAATCATCAGAACAGAGCTGTGTTCAGAAGCTGCAGTAGTTCTTCTATCTCCCTGCTGCACGGCACTAATCCACAGGAGTTTATTTTTATCTCCCTGCTGCACGGCACTAATCCACAGGAGTTTATTTTTATCTCCCTGCTGCACGGCACTAATCCACAGGAGTTTTTTTTTATCTCCCTGCTGCACGGCACTAATCCACAGGTGTTTGCTGGCGCTGGGGGAGGTGCACGTGGCCTGCGGGAGCCCCGAGCGCGCCGTGCCCCTGCTGCTGCGAGCCTTGCAAGAGGCGCGCACTCAGCACGCCCACGGGTTGCTTAGCAGCGCGGCTGTCAGCCTGGCACACGCACAGGTAGGCATGGCGGTGGCCTAGTGTGGTTGTGATGTGCCCGGGTGCAGTTGTGCGTCCCTGCACACTCACTTGCTATGCTTATGGGGTATGGGCCGCAGGGCACACTGTGGTCATGTTTTCATTATCAGTGGAGTTTCTAGGGTTTACCAGAGATGGGAATAGAGTCTGGATATTGATTTTCAAATGATAATGAATTACATTATGAATTTGTCTAAATGCATACAACCAGGTAGGCAATCCGCCAACCTTCAGGAATCTAAATTTCATGGTAAAATTGGTGGAGCAATCTGTTTTTGTATGCACGTACAATCATATTTTGAACGTGCTTTTTACAATTGTTTAATATTCTAGCAATTTAAATTATTTATTGTGGTTCTCCATGGCAAATACTGTTGAATTTAGCAAAGTATTGCAAAAATGGCTGAGTCAAGCACTGAATGGGATTTGAGCTCGCTACCTTCCAACGTGAGTTGGGTACTCTGCCGTTGAACATACAACATTGCCGTTTCACGATGAACATACATGTGAATACGAACGATTGTTTTAATTTTCCAATTTTTTTGTTATTTGACTCGTACTTTCTACAGCACTTGTTTGATAACTAAGTTCTGCGTTGTGTGTTCAATATTTATGTATTTTTGGTTCGTGCAAGAGGAAGCCATACTATATATAATAAACCCCACACATATGGGAACACTTGATATGCACAGGTTGTTCAGAAAATATATAATTATACTCCCATTTACTGGTACCTTGTTAACCTGCAGGTGAGTGACCCAAGCACTTCATGGTTCCATTGCTTAATCCCCCAACGCTGATTCACTGGGGTTAAGCACATTCTTTCACGTGTTTTTTATTCATGCACAGTTTAAAAAATGTACTTTGTTTGCTATTGTATATGAGCTGTTGGACCACATTTGCACAATTCATGTAACAGGATAGCTCTACAGACCCAAATATTAAAAGTTATCCTTTCTACAGCACTTGTTTGATATTTCACAATGTAATAGGACAGTAAGCTTACTTTTATTCCTTGTTGGTAAAGTATTATTATTGCACTCGATCCTCATATATTGTGGCGCTAATAATGCCCCTTCCGTCCGATACAGGACCAGTGTAGTGTGCTGGATGCGTGTTGCGGTGCAGATAGAGAATATGCTCATGCAGCACTCCGTACCACAGGCATATAAACAAAGCAGTTATCGTGTTGTGGAATAGTACACAGTGGTGTCACCGTTCATGATCAGAGTAAAACAAATTATGAAATGTGAAACTTTTGATATGTTTTGCTGCTCAGTTCTTTTCGATATATCGCACTTAAGCATGTCTAAAGGCTGACAGGGATGGAGTGGCGGCACTATGGTTCATACACGGTGTTATAAGCCCAGCACCCTAAATTTTATTCTTGCAACAGCCATCACCAGTGGCGAATGATATGTGAACTGATGCTGGGCACACGTTTACCAACCGGCACGGGGGGGTGACCTTTATTCAGTAATGGATTGATAAAGGCTTGTACTTTACATTACACATTAATGTACTTTACCAAGTACAGTAGTTATAAACCAATTTTCTTTAACTAGTACTTGTTGTGAGGCTAAGCATTGCCTTTTTGGCAGCATAACTGAATTCAAATCTTCTTTCCTGTGGTCTTATCTGAAATCTTGTTTACGTAGATTTTTTAAATAATGAATGCTGATCCATTTGCTTAACACTACTATAGTTTGATAAACGTGTTTTATTTATGTAGAGCTTCTTTCACACCGTACATAACCAACCATGTTACTCGGAGGTGCGGAGGAAGGACAATAAACTAAACACAGAAAATAGTTCGAAAAAAAAATAGTTTTCATCTAATACATGCTATATAAAATAACATGTATTTTTAATCAAGTAAATTTATATATATTGTTTACAACTTTCGACATGAAACATAAGCACACATGTCGAGTCTCAGACTTGCATTGTTTTAGACTTGGTTCAGCTGTGAGATGCTCCACACAACAGCAATGCAGCTTTCATCAGGGGGGGAGACTCTTGGGTTCCTACAGATAGTGATAATAAAGGCATTGGTGGCCAATCACATTGATGTAATAATTATTCATCTGTTCCAGAATGAATACCACTTGTTTACAAAATATTACACGCCGCAGTTAGTAGCATCCTGAGAACTCAGTTTTATTCGTCCATGCGAGCTGCTGTGATATGGTGTTAGGCTGTCATCCTGTATAGACAATCCTGCATAATCTTTGAATGCAATTTATAGATACGCAGTGCACAGCAAATGATAAACGGTGTGACATAGGGGACCGTTCGAGTGGTAATTGATCATGCATGTGGAGTTTGTTATTTATACTGTGACTGGTTAATAATCCTTCGTGAGTAATTTCTGGTAAATGGGTACCAGAATTGGAGAGTGGTTTGTGATGCCCTGCCAGTGGTTAATTTGTGTATGTTATTAATCCTGTGTGACCATCAGTCATGTTGTGTAAGTGATCATTGATTCTGTACAAGTGCTTAGTTATCCTTTAAGGGTAGTAGGCGATATTCTGCTCATGGTTTGTGATCCTGTCTAGTCAGTCATGTTGTGTAAGTGCTCCGTTAACGGTTTTTGTGTGTGATATGTATTCCAGCTGCTGCTGTCCCAGGCGGAACAGGCAAATGCCCTGGTGCGTGGGGTGGTATGTGGAATCCTGGCTCATGGCACCATGTGTGAGAGGGCACGTGCCCTGAGGACACTCGCCCAGACGCAGGCCGCCTTGTCACGCACTGCACACGACTCCAACATCAACGCCTCCCCAGAGTGTAAGGACCGCGGCAGCTGCAACACTAGTATACTAATCGACAACCACATACTCCCGACGTCAATTGCACCCTACACTGCCATTCACCACTAATTGGCAGGCTAGATGAGGCCATATGATGTGTCAAAGACTCAATGGCAGGAAGGCACAGGACAGACATAGATGTTATGGGTTAACTGAATAAGATAACTGGCAAATGTACCACCTGTGCTGCCCACTCTGCCAACTTTCTGCTTTTTAGCTAAGCAGTGTTCTGCTCCATTGTTAAGAATAACTCCTCCAGCTCCCATTGTTTCTGGAGGGTAGTTGCCATCTTACGAGTCCCCTCCACAGAGGCCAGTCATGACACCACTGGTACCAGTTGTCAGCGAGTCCATTCAACATAAGTTTTTCTGTACCACATCAGCCCATCTCTAAAAACTTGTTTTGTGCATATTTAGCCATTTCTATTAATTGTATGCTCACCGATGAGGCTGTCCAGATCCAGTCTGTTAACACCCAAAATGGGTTGTAGGGCAGCCAGCCTCACTGGTTTGGGTCAGCAGAGGTGTTCTGTAAAAAGGCAAGCAGTGCCTGAACGATAGCTAGTTGTCCCCTCAATCATCCAGTCACCGCAGAAATTCCCTGTTAATGTAAGAAATAACTCATCTTGAACCCCACTTGTTTTCACAGGGATGGAGAAGTGCGTGGAGAACCTGGAGCAAGCAAAGATGTACCACCAGATAGCAGGAGAAACGACGCGCGTGCGCGACGTGCTGTACCTGCAGGCGCGGGCTCACCATGCGCTGACCACACACTATGTTGGGGCGCTCAGCACAGATGCGCAGCACGCACAACGGGCACACACGCACCACGTGCTCAGGAACAAGTTTTCTCGCGCCTTCAGGGACATGCAGGCAGAAACCATCACCAGCCCGGGTTGCGTTCCACTGGTGGCATTGCCTTAATTGGCATCTTGCCGCTTGGAATTTTAGGCTGACCTGTGCTCGGCAACTATTATTTAAAAAAAAAAAATCTGCTCTGCTTGCACGCGTGGAAGCATGTGTACCGCCATGTACAGCATGTGGAGTACTTGTTATAAAATATATGGCCACAATGTTTTTCATTCGAGAAATTTCTCCACAACACTATACAAAGTGTGTGAATGTAGAAACGTGTTATTTTAATGTCTTATTTTACATTTAAATCTTCCAAATAAACTTTGTATTGAAGTACTTGTTTTTGGTTAACTTATGACAGTCTTCTGAATAAAATGTACAACTGCGGGCTACTATAACTACATTCTTGGGATCTACCCAGTAGAACCAGTAACAAAGCATTTGCTATTAAAACTGGTGAAACCATATCGTAGTCATTTAAAATCGTCCTTGGTGTGCAATCTTGATGCGTTCATATGAGCAGTTCCCATGACTTGACAAGTGAGATTCATGCAGAAACTGATTTCTTAATGAGTAGTTTATTCATAGGCACTCAATACATGTTCAATACATGCAACAGGCACTTAAACATGTTTAAAAGTGTACCTGAAAACCATAAAACATTAGTGCATTAAGTGTATCCTCACCAGTCTGTAAACACGGTCTGTAAAATGTCAATATGTACGAATTGCTAAACGTGCTCATGAAGTTTCGATTTAAAGCTTTCGTGACTGCAAGGATTCATCTTCTTTGGTTCTTTCGGTAAAGTCATGTAGAATGAGAATAAAATAATATATTGATAAAATAACACAATATTCTCACGACGTTTCGGCCACAACACAAGCGGCCTTCATCAGGTGAAGGGGACGAGACTGTCTGGAGGACAGCGCTGGAGTGAGTCACAAGCTAATCACTCAGTTATTTCAATGCTAAATTCGCCTAGTTATTTCAATGCTAAATTCTCCTGTTTGATTTGTACTCGGTGCCTCGGTGAATGTATATGCTCTGACTTTAACATAGCTATTTATGTGACCAGTTACAAGCTAATCACTCAGCTATTTCAATGCTAAATTCTATGCTAATTCCTTTGTCAAGGAGGGCCTCTGCGGATGTGTATACTTTAACTTAGCTGTTTCAATGCTAAATTATATGCTAATTCCTTTGTCAAGGCGCTTTGTTTCTTCTCACACAGCTTAAAGGTCGTGATCTCAGCGTGGCTTTCTCACTCCAGCGCTGTCCTCCAGACAGTCTCGTTCCCTTCACCTGATGAAGGCCGCTTGTGTTGTGGCCGAAACGTCGTGAGAATATTATTGTGTTATTTTATTTTATCAATTTATTATTTTATTCTCATTCTACGTGACTTTACCGAAAGAACCAAAGAAGATGCTCATGAAGCTTCAATTGCCAGATCATGTCAACGATTGGCTTCACTGCATTTCATGTGCATAATTACCAACTGCTAACCATAGCACTATCAGAAAGCATTTATTAGCAGGACAACATTGAATTGGTGTCTTGTATTGCTACTAGCCAGAACCAATTTTAGACATCACACCCGTAAAACGCACCATTGCTTTATTTTTTTATGTCATTAAGTGCTGCACACTGGGTGTTACAGGAAAAAAAAACCCTTTGAGATAAATAGAGAATCGTGGTGGCGAGGGGCAGCTGCTCCTTCATGATCCATGAGTAGTGATCAGTTTATATCAGCTTTATTAGAATTAGCTCGCATACGTTAATAGGTGATGTATAACCCATTATGCATCTATGACCAAACAACTGCTGGTGACATTTGATACACACGTATAGTTAATGTTATATGTATTATTAACTTAGTTGTGACAATGCAGTTCCAGTAAACCAATGGTATGCAGTAATGTATCCTTATGGCGGTTCCCCAGGGTACCAAATAATACAAAATGGCCGAGGCAATTAAATATTTTATTTCTGGGACACTTTTTTCCAGGGGTGTACTTAACTCCGCGACTGAGGTACCAATCAATGTGAAATCAGTGCCACACTCCGCGATGTCGAAACGCAGCGAGGACGATTGCGCTGAAACCCTGAACGCTCGCACGCACCGTGGTGGTGCATCGTCAGTACAGCTCGTCGAGATGAGTCGATTGCCACGTCGCCGACCATGAACAGACTAAAAATGACTGCATCACGGGGACATTATGCGAGAGCCGGGGTACCGCCATAAGGTTCAATTGCAGAAATCTTGCCCCCTACTTAATGCACCGGGCAGGCTGTCGTACATTCCTTAAGTCCGGTGGTTTGGAGGAGAGGGTTGGTGGCTCCCATACATTTTATGAACTGCCCACACTTGCTGGGCTATAAAGTGAATAAGAATATTGATTGATACTAGAGGAATCCGATGAGCTATAAAGCTAGATTTAAAGCTTTCGTGACTGCAAGGATCCATACTCTTTGGTTCTATTCGGTAAAGTCACGTAGGTAAAAAAATAATACAAAAATCACGAAGTTTTGGCCACAACACAAGCGGCCTTCATCAGGTGAAGGGATCAGGCGGTCTCGAGGACAGATTTATTTTTTACCTACGTGACTTTACCGAATAGAACCAAAGAGTATAGCTATAAAGCTATTTCAACATTTGTCCAGTGGCCAGAGATAGCAGTACAGCAAGTGGATGGGTTCTTTGTGTCCAGAGCTGTTGAGTGTTTTCTCCTTTGTGTGGGGTTTCTCCAGGTAATCCAGTTTCCTCCCACATGCCACCCAATCATTAATGGAACTTGCTAAACATCCCAAATACAGGATCCTCCTGAAAGCCTGAAGACTCGGTGGGTTGCCTGGATGAACAAATGGAATTCCTATAATACAGACTGTAAATGCAGTGCTATGAAACCAGTACAGAGGAATAGGGGGATAATACATGGACTTTCATCTGCAAATGCAAGGCATATGTCCACTAGTAACACTATCCCACAAGCTGTAACCCTAAAGGCAATGTAATATTTTAAATGCAAATTTGTTGACGCTTTTAAAACGGTCCTTATTTTTAGTCAATGTGTGAATATGGAGTTTATATAAGCCAGCCACATGCAAGGCAAAGCTCCATGTTCACTGCACTGTTTAATTAAAATCAGACAGCAACTGTGAATTATGCTGTTGGCATCCCACAGTAAATGAGGTGTAACTGATGTGCTTACAAGTACAAAGCAGCAACTTAAAAGAGTATGCTGGGTTGCACCTTACTGACATGAGGCACATCCCTACAAAGGCACGGTTATAAAGTGTATTCGCTATTGAAAATGGTTTCCTCCGTAATCACCGCATGCCCCGATATCCACAATAACTTTTTCCTCAGCAAATTCTAAACCTTTCAGCATTTAATAAATACTAAGAGCTCCATGTAAATGCACTGACAAATGCGAGAGATGGGCAGGTGGCACGGAGATCAGAGCACTGAGGCCCACACCGTTGAAATCCAGGGTCTGAATCGGGGCAGCCACCTGCAATTGTGGAATTAAGAAATGGAAGTTCTTGGAATTTTTTGTGAGGCGATGCCCGGTCACGACCACACACGAAAACCATCTGACGTTTAATTACATTGTTCACTTCATGTGGCTAAATTTCTGCTCTAAAAATATAAAAATGCAGTTGACTGCCATGCAAATGAACATCTCTTTAGAAGGTTGGACAGTGTAGCACCCCTGGTGTGGATAAGAGGTCACTTTAAGGTATCTCAGAAGCACTAATGTCATATCACTGCTTGTGCTCACCCGTGGGGCCAAGGCACTGTTCTTCCTGCAAGAGTTCCAAATGGACGTCTCTTCGCATAGCGTGATGCTAATAGCACAATTAGAATGACACTAAAAACATTTAAAAACTTTTCTAAAAGAACAAAGTCGGAAATGTTTTACTTGCAAAGTAACCAACTCCCAGAGGTGGCCTACTCTGAGAATACGCTTTGGACGTTGACGTAAATTATTAGAAAACAGTTTGCATGGGCAAAAAGGTAGTAAACAATATATTTTGGAATTGTTAATTTTACAATAGAATTTACATTTTTAAAAGTAGAGTACTACAGTGTATCAAGTATATGATATGACAGAACTATGATGTTACTTAATCTACTTTAATTATTTACTGCTTATAGCACTGTATATGAATACATTCACTCGTATTTATAAAATAGCCCACTACACAAAATATATGGATACACAATGCATACCTATGTTTATACATTATAAGTTTTGTAGTGAATAAAAGTATGCAATCAAAACATTTCAAGCAAAGCAAAGAAGTGCTTTTCTCCGGTTGTTGGAATGCTTTAAACATTTAAAAATAGTTCAACATTGTTTTATGTAACAAGAAGAACACTTTGGCCCATAGAAAGCAGCAGCATGTGTAGTAGCAATGAGCTGCGGATAATTCAAGGGAGGTTATTTTGGATACGATTACTTTTCGGAAAGCCAAACATTAAACTCGCACACCAAAACACACAAAGATAAGCCACGGAGCCTTATAGACGCATGGGGATATCGCCTTTAAAATGTCCATGTACTTACTCTTACACTGCATTCAAGCATTGGGAAGGGATGCGAATGACCTCTGCTGACAGGCACCTACATATAAAACAAATAGTCAAAATGGCAAAGTGCCATTTTTATTATTTGTTATATCGTGAGAGTAAATGCTGTTAGTAAACACCTTATACAGCCAGCATGGTCCACAGTCCGTGCATTGAGCCTGTTTAATCATCTGCCCCCTGGTTTTGTTCGGCGATGATATTTACCACCGTGATGTTCATCTGCCCGGAACGTTTGCAGGCATCAAACTGTAAGCATGACAGTGGGTGTGAGAGCCTGCTGCCGTTACATCGTGGTGGCTTTACAGCTCTTCTGGGGCCTTCCGCCACTCATACTGTAACAGCATGGGGATGTCCCACACCCTGCCAGAATTACATTGAAGTTTCCTGCGCGGGGACATCATTGTGGTGTGGGGGTTCTCCCAGGCAATGATTCTGACTACCAGGCCTGAGACACCAGTCACACAGTGCCTGGACGAAACTAGCAGAGCACCAGGTGAGCTTCGTGGTTTGATATCTGCGCATCTACCGGTGAATTTCATGGCTAAGTTTTTCGTTCAAAACCTGGTCAGACATTGCCGATGGGTAAAATGGTATGCATGGCAGTCTGCATATATTTCTCCACATTAAAGATATTTAGCACAGCAAGGCACACTTGTAGTGCAGTGTTACTTCAAAATAGTCAGCACCTGCTTACGTTCTTGCACTTGTACTGCCTGTCATGCAACAACTACCCCAGCACTCGCTAGCACGGGGTCATAATGCCACCGACCACGGGTAAAACACCTTAAAGCAGTACTCGGAGAGGGGATAGCACTTCTTTCCTGCGGTCTCAATTTCGACTACCAGCATCACGCTGATCGCACGCACTTGGCCTCTGGGAAGAGGATTTAAAATGTACAATGTAAAAGGCTATTGCAAATGAAGACTGCATCGTCTCAGCTTTTGGCATCACGGTCGCAGTTGTAAACGTCCACGAAGGACTTTGGTGTCACAAGTTATATCTATGTGTAAGCCCAGCCCTTCTGTATATTAACAAGGTTATACACAGCAATAAAACAACTAAATGCACGCCTAAGGAAAAAACGTGAAGGACACGGAAAAATACGAAGCCAAGTGATTGATTTAGGTATGGCTTGGGGGTCTGGAAAGACCAGTGGTAATCCTGTTCGGGGACAGTGGGGCCTGTATGCCCCTCGGGCTCCTCGTGAGCATCAGTGCCTTCACATGTGATCCCCCGGTTTAAAGCAGCTCCTTGGGGAGGCAGGCGAGGCGGGCAGGTTCAGGTGGAAGAAGTCTTCAGTCAATGCCGCTGGTTCTACCACACCTCACAATGACTTCTTTCATCGTGCCAAATCTTGTAGCAGTGGTAGTTGACACCTAACCTCAGGGTCTGTCTATAGGTGCCCGACCATATTAAGTAGTGGTGCCTACTTGGTGGCCCCAAAGTTGACTGCGTCCTAGAATGGATACTAAAGAGGGGCTAGGAGAAAAGGTAAGATTAAATTATGAGCATGGGCTGATCAAGGCTAAGTGCTAAACAGTTGCAACATCAGAGGGCATAAATGAGTGGTGAGGCATCACGTGAGGCGATGGAAGAGGAAATGGTCATGTCGTTCGAAGTGTGGATCGGAGAGAGGCTAAACGGCAGTAGGACTCTGCGAGCTTTGTTTGTGCACACGCAGCTCCGTCCCCACGTAACGCGGCAGGCTGGAGGAGCGGCGGGTGCCGGTCGCGCCACGGTTTGGTGTTTGCACGGCGCCAGGTTGCGTGGGGCGGCTTTGCGTGGCGCACGCTTGCGGTGCGCGTGTCGGCGTGGTGTGCGAAGACCTGGCGTGGCGCGGCGGTGTGTTCACCGGCGCGGCTTGGTGGGTGCCGTGTGGCGACGCGCCGCGGCCGCCCTGCCGGTCGTCGCTTCTCATGTACGTACGGTTCAGCATCTGGCCGTCGCGAACTGGGTTGTGCTGTGACGAGACGGACAACAGTCTCGTCTGACCGAGGCTGCCGCCATTCGTTAAGTTATTTGCAGGACTCGCAGAACGCCTGGCCCCAGGGCCTCCCATTCCTGTCGCCGCAGGCGCAACGGCGATTACATTGTTGACCCGGCCCACTGATCGCCCTCGTGGTACGACGGTGGCGTAGTTGCGTGCGGGGCTCCTGGCTTGCCTGTCGCGGAGGGAACGGGATGCATCGCTTGGGATATTCCCAGCACCTGGGCTATTGGAGCGCCTCACTTTGAGATGCGAGGCGTCCACTGCACTCAGCATAGCAGCTCCAGGAGGGCACAGCGGGGCTCCAAGGTTGCCAGGGTAACCAGAGGTCGCTCCAAGCATCAGAGAGGGGCGCGACTTTGGGACCGAGCTCCGTCCTTCCCTCTCGCTCGACCTCCCATTGGCCGGGGGTGACAAGAGAGGTGTGGCCTTTATGGGCCGTCCAGGTGACGGGGTCCTTGCTGCTGTCTGGAGAGAGGGTGGCCGCAGATGTCGGAGGGAGGGGCCTGTTGAAATAAAGCATACATTGGTATTTTCTGTCAGCGACACACACAACTGGTATTGATGCCTGTCTTTTGAGAAAATGCATCTCGAGTGACATTTTCTCATCAATAATGGATTCTGTTTAAGACACAAGGACTCACTCATGCTGCGGTCACGTCGGATGAGATCTTGCGGTGCTCGCTCCCTTGGGGCCGGGTCACGTGCCAGGTCACGATGAGTCGTGCCACAGGGGACATGCTCTCGTTGAGCCCGAGTGGAACGGGACCAGTCGGAGCTCACATCGAGCCCCGGGGCACGAGCCGGCTCCCGGCCGGGATCGCCGCGGGAAGTCGGCTCGCGAGGAGTGGAGGACGAGCGATGGGGTGACACCGGGGCCCCTGAGGGAAACTCCTGGCTGGACGGAGACACGAGGCCGTGCCTCGACGGGGAGGAACCACGCGTTGCAAAAACCGAGGAGGTGGAGCACTCCAGGCGCAGAGCTGGGAAGCGGGGTTTGTGAACCGAGGAAGATACAGCAGGACAGATGTAAATAAAATTTAAAAAATTACACTTCTTTGTTGATCCGCTGCTGGATGGAGGCCTTCCCATGCTGTGTTAGTCATGGTGTTTTGTTTGATCAGACTTCACCATGCTGGGAAGTAGAGGTTGTTGAAGGGCAGTGCGGGACCAGGTATTACCACTGTGGAACTGAACGCATAGTGTAGTACACTAACGACTGCACTACTTACCCCACAATTGATATATTCATGTAAGTTAGACTTTCACTTTACACAAACGTTACATGTGTTGGACCAGGGCTGGAGGTTTCCTGTGAGTCAAAAGTATGAAGCTGAATGTTTACTGCTGTGTCTTGTACAGCGCATTGAGATCCTCGATGGAAGGTACTACGTAAATATAATTATTAGTAAGTGGGAGAGGCTGAGGCCAAGCAGCTTTGTTACGGCGTAGGTTTTTCACAGGTCTGCTGTATAGCTCTCCGATGTGTTGTCGGATTGTACCAAACGGATTTCAGTTCCCAAATACAGTTCCTGAAAAAATCACAAAAACTCAAACGTCAGACATCATGCCGAACCACGTGTGGTACAAATAATCGGAGAGCTAAGCAGCTTCATTTATGTATCAGGTGTGGCGAGCAATTGTGGGATTGTTGGCGCTGGGCCCAGGCCTGTTTCCGAATTAGTATTTAAATACACCTGCGATAAGCAAGGTTGGCTATGTACGGTGAAAAATAAGTTGAACATACATAAAAGGTCCATAGAAACAGGAGATTTGTGTGTGTTCTTGATGAGTCACACCTTCTTCCTGTTGTCTGGCCACACTCTCCACATCTGTAAGGCTGCCCAGCCGGCCCATCCGCTTGCTGGTTCCTGGAGCAACCATCTCCCCAGAGACGATTGTGTTGGAGAAGGTGTCTGCAACAGCGACTAGTTCCGGAGAAGCGAGGGTGAATGTGGACCCGTAACCACGGCGACCCAGCATGTTGTTCCCTATGTCCGGTGGGAGTTTGGGGATATTGAAGTCATCGCCATGCCAACTACGCCTGCGGGTGGCTGCACTCACACACAGGAGGGCAGTACACGTAAAGTTACCACCAAACTTCTGGGAACTTAACCAGGACATTTGGCGAGCTGGCAGTCCCATCAGTGCAACCCACTTTTTAATGACCCGCTCAGGCGCAATTCCTGCCCACACAGTAACAATTTACTATTTCTGACCTTGGTCCTGGTTACTGCTCCTTGCCTACTCCTCTGCCAACCCCGAGCACGAGGCCAGAACATTGTTACCAGGAAAAAAAGTCGCAATTTACGCAACCCTTCTGAAATCGTGACTCTCCCGGTCAAAGTTGGACATTTGGTAGCTTTAACTGCTGCACAACAATGATAAAAATTCCTCTGTTTAGTCTTATAATTGTAGGGAGTAATGTGAGCAGCATCACATTCCTGGTCTCCCAATGCTCATGTTGACACAGCGCAAAGAGAAGGCATTTACAGCAACATTGGGAAGCTTAGAACACATTCTGATGCCACATACCACGGATGCTATGACAAATCTGGCCAGCTGAAATCAGGGTTGATTCTGGTTTGCTAGTATTAACCAGAATCCTCAATGCAACATATTATTAGACAGCCATTCCTTTCAATGGCGATTCCACTTGGAACGCCAGGCTCTCTTCTTACTTGCGTGCCATGCCAGGCTGCATGCAGTCCAGGCCCCCCCTACAATTCCCTCAATCCATTGGCATTCTAAGAATTGATTCATGACTCCAGGCAAAGAATTGTGAGAATGGCCCAGCTCCAATGTTTATGCGATTTATAAGTCTGTACAAGTCACTTAAAATAGTCTAGATCCAGTTTTCATTCAGCCTTATTTTAAATTACATCAGAATCTGTTCATATCGTGAGCTTTATGCCAAGGCTGACGACCATCTCCTATCAATACGGAGGGACACACTTTGATCTAAGCTTGGTTTTACAGCATTTACCGAAATATAACATCAGCTGTTAACGGCTTATTTATACTGTATTTAAATCCTCACAATTTAAGCCGCGCCTCAAAATTCCTACGTCATGCTCCGTGAATTTACACTCGATTGGTAGAATGTTCATAAATTCGCTACGCTTCAGGAACTTGGGAACAATTCAGTGTCATTTAATTACTTGCCTCTTAACTGAGTTTCTACAGATAAACCAGTCTCACGCTTCAACAATCTGCATCCAAATGCTTTGCGCCGGTGTTTTCTGTCCCATATCGCCTCCACCAAGTACCGACTTGTGTTGACGTGTCGCGGTGTGCATGCTGCGCTGTGGCGCGTGCAACGGACGCGTCACTTTGCTGGTGTACGCGCGGCGGGTCGTGGTGTACGCGCGGCGGGTCGTGTGCTGCATGGTGGAGCGCAAGCCATGTCCCCGTCGTGCTGTAGCCATGGTGGACAGCTGTGGTGTAGCCGTGGTGGACAGCCGTGGTGTAGCCGTGGTGTAGCCGTGGTGTAGCCGTGGTGTAGCTGTGGTGTAGCCGTGGTGTAGCCGTGGTGGACAGCCGTGGTGTAGCCGTGGTGTAGCCATGGTGGACAGCCGTGGTGTAGCCGTGGTGTAGCCGTGGTGTAGCCGTGGTGTAGCAGTGCTGCTGGGTACCCTTCTCCAGGCGGCGCGCCAATGCGAGCGTAGCCTCGCGCATCTTGGGGCTCGGGTTGTCGAGCACGCGGCGGCTCCACTCCAGGGCATCCCCATCTCGTGTTGGCTTGCGGCTCGGGCTTGTGTATAACCTACGCACGCAGACACACGCACCTCCGATTAGCATGGTTCGATACGTATGGTGTGAAAGAAGTTCAACATACGTACATACATTAATCTTGACCAGGGGCCACGATGCCACTACTTTAAAACTGATACATTTTGACTCCCCTAAATCGAAATTCTCTGTTATCTTTGATTTCTCCCTATGCGAGCATTCTCGAACATTCGATTGTTTTGCTTACAGCCTTTTGTCAATCTACTGCTGGATGAAGGCCTACCCGCACGATGTCAGTCATCGGAGTTGTTAAACCATACTTTGCTATGCTGATCACTGTCAGTTGGTGAAATTAAGCTCCGGTTATGGGTGTTGTCATGATGCAACTTTCATTGTTACTTGATTTGGAGCTTTTGTGACTGCAGGAATTACTCTTTGGTTCTTTCAGTAAAGTCACGTAGAAAGAAAATATAATTAAATAATAGCGCACGACGTTTCGATTGCAACACAAGCAACCATCATCAGGTACAAATGAAAGAGAAAACAAACCTTGTAAACTTAGAAATGTAACGCAATACAAAACACAGACACGGAGACACATAGACAGACACATAAGCAGAGAGAGATAACAAGGAGACACACAGAGAGACACACACACATAGGCACACAGAGAAACAACGCCTCTGTGTCAAGGCCTTAAATAGAGAGGGGGCAGAGAGAGAGGGGGGTAGAGAAATTTGCATGTTAATGAGGGATTTGGAGCTTTCGTGACTACAGGAAATACTACAGGATGAGGACACAAAGAGGGAGAAAAAACACTTAGTAAAAACGTAGTCAAATTTGGAAATGTAATGCAATACAACACAGAGAGTCGGTCAACACACAACGCATAGCCTGGTTGATTATGTTCTTCCAAAGATTGCTAAATTAGAAGTTAAGTGTGACATTTTGAGAGAGAGACAAGACACCGACACGGAGACACAAAGACAGACACACAAATGCAGAGAGAGACAACACACACAGAGAGAGAAAACAAACTGCAGGAGATACTATAGAGACAACACAGAGACATTCTAGATTTGAAGCTTTCGTGACTGCAAGGATTCGTATTCTTTGTTTTTTTCGGTAAAGTCACGTAGGGAAAAAAATAATAAAATAATAATAAAACAACTAAATAAAATCACGACGTTTTGGAGGCACCCGAAATTACATACAGGTTAAGGGGGGGGGGGGAGCCAGGCAGGGAACGAAGTTGAGGTGGTAGGCTGAGTTAAGCCGCCTTTTGTTATGCTGAGGGTGCGGGGGATGCGGTGGTTCACTGCACGAGGGCAATGGAAAAAAGTCTGTGCACTTATAAGGAAGCTAAAGTTTTACTTGGTTTATGACATCTTTCCAATGGTTGCTTAATTTAAAACCATCCTCTCGGTTGAAGTTGTGTCTATGTTTGTATATCTGGATGGTTTCATGGACAAACCTTTGGTAATAACCGGGAGGTTTGTATAGTACTTTGGTATCGGAGACACACAGAGAGAGAGAAAACACACTTAATAAAGAGAGAAATAATTTGAGAAAACTAAATTTAGCAAATCTTTTGGAAATGTAATGCAACACAGAGAGTCGGCTAACACACAGTTAACGCATAGCTTGGCTGATTACGATTTCCAAAGATTGCTAAAATTAGAAGTTAAGTGTGAAATTTGACAGAGACACACAGAGAGATGTGTGGAAATCCACCCCGAAGCGGCCGGGGTAGAGAAAGAGCGAATGGACCTATGAGAGCCTGTTACATTTTCGAGAGAGAAAAAGGCTGTTTGAGAAAACAAACTTAGAATTTTTGGGGGGAAATGTAATGCAATGCAACACATTTTTTAAATTTAAAGCTTTCGTGACTGCAGGGATTCATATTCTTGGTCCTTTCGGTAAAGTCACCACGTATAAGGGAAACAATAAAATAATAAAAATATAAAACAATAAAGTTATCACGACGTTTCGACTGCAACACAAGCAATCATCATCAGGTGTGAAAACCACAGCAAGAAAATTTCAAAATTTTCTTGTTTTATATTTTTATTATTTTATTGTTTCCCTTCTACGTGACTTCACCGAAAGAACCAAGAATAACAATGCAACACAGTCGTCTACAAGGCTCTGATCGGGCCATTCGATCTTCTTTCCCTTAGTCGCTTCAGGGTGGATTCATTGATATGCTAATTTATCTGCTCCAGCAGCTGCCCCAGCAGACCCACCTCTCTCTCTGCCCAATCCCCCCCCTCTCTATTTAAGGCCTCGACACAGAGGCATTGGGTCTCTGTGTGTCTCTCTGTGTCTGTGTTGTCTCTCTCTGCTTGTGTGTCTGCCTGTGTCTCCGTGTCTGTGTTTTGTCTCTCTCTCAAATGTAGTTCTACCTGATAACGGTTGCTTGTGTTGCAATTGAAACGTCATACTCTATGTATGCCTTCATGAACGAATCTTTGTTGATAGCCAGTGGGCTTGCAAAGTACCATTGTCTTAGAGAAATCTATTTCATGTGAGCCCACCACATTAAAACAATGATCAGCCACGGCCGAGGTATTGGTCCTACCGTGTTTCAGATCTGCCTTATGTTCACGAATACAGTCCGAGACATGTCGCTTAGTTTCCCCAATGTAACTACTGCCGCAGACACAGCTTAGTTTGTAGACGCCGGGGTATTCATGTCAGGGATCACATCCTTCACAGATGGGATCAGATAACACATTTTATGTACTATGTTCAATCGAACCTGGATCTTGTTTGCTCATGATTTTGGAAATATTTTTAGTGACCCCTGCTATGTATGGCAAGGTGATGGTTTTGATTGGGTCCTAAAATAGTTATTTCCCAACGGTTGGGGTGATAGCTTTACGGATTGTGTAGTCTGAATATCCATTCTTCTTGAGGGCTTGGTGTACGTGTTCCAGTTCACTGGCTAGGTGATGATTGTCGGAAACACATCGAGCTCTATGGTGTAGAGTTTTGATGAAGGAATTCTTCTGGGATGGATGGTGGTGGGAGTCAGGTTTTAGGTAGGCATCTGTATAGGTGGCTTTCCTGTAGACAGTGTCCCATTGAGCCATCTGGTCTCTTTTCGATTAAAACATCCAAGAATGGTAACTTGCCATTCTTTTCCACCTCCATGGTGTTTTTGATGGCTGGGTGTATGGAATTGATGTGGTTGAGGAATTGGTTCAGAGCTGGTCAGCCATGTGGCCAGATGACGGACGTGTCATCTACGTACCTCTTCCACAAGGACGGACGTAGAGTGGATGCCTGGATGGCATCTGTCTCAAATTTTTCCATGAAAACATTGGAGATAAGGGAGAACCCATGGCAGTCCCATCAACTTGTTTGTAGAATATTCCATTCAAGATGAAGTGAGTGTTGGTGAGGCAGTGTCTCACCAGGGCCAGTACATCAGCATTCAGTCCTTGTTGGACCAAATCTTCAATGATTGTAATGGTGTCAGGCACAGGAGCTTTGGGAAACAAAGAGACCACATCCAAACTAACGAGCAAATCACCTGGAGATAGTGAGATGTCCTTAATCAACGATAACAAGTGAGCTGAGTTGAGTACAGCTGAGGTGGTCTTACCAGTGAATGGTTGTAAGGTCTCAGACAGAAATCGGGCCAGTTTGTAGGTGGGTGAGACCTCCCATTCACATGCTAATCTCTCTTTAACATGCCAATTTTCACCTGGCAGCCCTTTGATTAGTGGAAAACCAACCACCGTCGGGTTGGCTGCCCACCACTTACATTATCATTGGCTGCTGACATTTGGGCTACGCCCATTTCAAACCCCTTACAGTTAGGGAAAAAAGTATTTGATCCCCTGCCGATTTTGTACGTTTGCCCACTGACAAAGAAATGATCAGTCTATAATTTTAATGGAAGGTTTATTTGAACAGTGAGAGACAGAATAGCAACAAAAAAATCCAGAAAAACGCATGTCAAAAATGTTATAAATTGATTTGCATGTTAATGAGGGAAATAAGTATTTGACTCCCTCTCAATCAGAAAGATTTCTGGCTCCCAGGTGTCTTTTATACAGGTAACGAGCTGAGATTAGGAGCACTCCCTTTAAGAGTGTGCTCCTAATCTCAGCTCGTTACCTGTATAAAAGACACCTGTCCACAGAAGAAATCAATCAGATTCCAAACTCTCCACCACGGCCAAGACCAAAGAGCTCTCCAAGGATGTCAGGGACAAGATTGTAGACCTACACAAGGCTGGAATGGGCTACAAGACCATTGCCAAGCAGCTTGGTGAGAAGGTGACAACAGTTGGTGCGATTATTCGCAAATGGAAGAAACACAAGGAACTGTCAATCTCCCTCGGCCTGGGGCTCCATGCAAGATCTCACCTCGTGGAGTTGCAATGATCATGAGAACGGTGAGGAATCAGCCCAGAACTACACGGGACCATAGTCACCAAGAAAATAATTGGTAACACACTACGCCGTGAAGGACTGAAATCCTGCAGCGCCCGCAAGGTCCCCCTGCTCAAGAAAGCACATATACATGCCCGTCTGAAGTTTGCCAATGAACATCTGAATGATTCAGAGGACAACTGGGTGAAAATGTTGTGGTCAGATGAGACCACAATGGAGCTCTTTGTCATCAACTCAACTCGCCGTGTTTGGAGGAGGAGGAATGCTGCCTATGACCCCAAGAACACCATCCCCACCGTCAAACATGGAGGTGGAAACATTATGCTTTGGGGGTGTTTTTCTGCTAAGGGGACAGGACAACTTCACCGCATCAAAGGGACGATGGACGGGGCCATGTACCGTCACAACTTGGGTGAGAACCTCCGTCCCTCAGCCAGGGCATTGAAAATGGGTCGTGGATGGGTATTCCAGCATGACAATGACCCAAAACACACGGTCAAGGCAACAAAGGAGTGGCTCAAGAAGAAGCACATTAAGGTCCTGGAGTGGCCTAGCCAGTCTCCAGACCTTAATCCCATAGAAAATCTGTAGAGGGAGCTGAAGGTTCGAGTTGCCAAACGTCAGCCTC